TCACAGTAAGGCACGTAGCTGACCTGATTGACATGCGTGTGCGCTGTAACAGTAAAGCTGACTAAAAGTTAGGGTGAGACAACATTTCCAGCATGGCGACATCCATCGATGGGTTTTCAAAGCCCCCTGAAGTAACAGATGAGTGAGGTCAATCAGGCTTCGTCCATTAATCTTTACTCTCATTGCTGTCGCCCCATGTTGAAGCTCTGTTCCTGCATGTCGTTCAGCTCTCTCTCTCCCCGATTTCCTACTCTATCCACAATCCACTCTATCAAATGGACATATAAAAGTCCCAAAATAAATCTTAAAATATATACATATACTGTATTAATTAAGTATCATATACTTCTACTTTCTGTGCAGTACCCGCAACCAAAATTTTGGATACAGTAAATTGCATTTATACGACAGAGGATTAGGATTAGTTAGGACAAGTTTTCACTTTAACTTGCAATCCCTGGTTTATCTGTAAAATGATGAACAGGACACAAACTGTCTCTGCACATGAGACACTTTAACAAGGCAGACCAAACAGACACAAATAGTTGTGTTGGCTTTACTTGTGCTTTTGGCACATCATCATCTTCACATTGTCATAAAATATCAGCACCCTGAAAAGATACTGCAAGAAACTGTGGCTTTTCCAAAGAAAGAAGCACACTGACTTGGAGGAAGATGTCTGCAGAGGAAAATACTTTAAGAGTTGTACTTTCATCATTTTGCGCAGGCTGGTTTCGAACTCGTTAATTTACAAGATTATTCTCGTAAATTTACATGTTTAATCTCGAAATCAAAAAAAGAAAAAATTTAACGTGGCCCTAATCCTCTGTTGTACATTTATACAACTGAATCCGTTTTTTTCCTTTGTGACTCATTTTAGAATCATTAAATTTAACAAGACACAACTGTATTTTGTATAATTATGTCCAAACAAATGTAGAGGAGATACAAGAGATTAGAGTTATATGTGCCATGTTGAGTTAAGACATGTTTCGTAAAACCAATCCAACTGTTTTCCATTTCTAAAAATGAAAACAAACTCACACCACTAATGAAATATCAAGAAACTAATGAAGTGGATAGGTAAATAAAGGAAAGGGAAGGCAAATGTCTACAAATGAAAGGAAAAATTAAGCCTGAATTATCAAGCTTGTTTTCCATGTCTGCAATCACTGCTTATGAAGTTGAAACTGTCATTTTTGGCAGTGTGCTAATTGCCTTTGGCGGGTGGCGGACCCTCTGACTCATATGAGAGACATGGTGGAACACAGATGGAGTGTATCCGAGAGCAGCACAAGACCTCCATTCAGGCCCTCCAACCGCGGATCATGACCAACAACAGAAGTTTAGCAGACGTCTGACTCAACATTATGATTTATACAGATCAAACCTCGATACAGGCAAATTAATCTTCTCCGGGATTAAAGCCATGACTGCAGGAAACACCTTGTCCTGAGAAATATTCTTCAAATTTGCTTAAGTCAATCCAGGTGGGTGTCAGGAAAGCCAAATTTCACGGCGGATGCAAACGAATGCACCCTCCTGACCTGATTAGGACAAATTATAAAACAATTCCTTTCAGTCTTTATGAATTATGTACAAAATGTAGTGAAATTCACCTCACTTAATGAGGTGCCTCAAAATACTGGAAGGCTTCTTTTAACCATGGCAGAATAACTACTGTGGAAAGTAACTGTACTACAACATCGTACTTGTGCACTACTGAAGTGTTTTATTCATGTTTCTTCATAATCAGATATTACATTTATTGGAGAAAAAGTAAAAATAATATTTGATGCATGTTTACAAGATTACCCTGACCCTAACCCAACCGTATGTAAATATGTTTAAAGGGATAGTTCAGTATTTTTATTTTTCATTTTATTTAACCTTTATTTAACCAGGTTAAACCCGTTGAGATCAAGATCTCTTTCACAAGGGTGACCTGGCAAAGAGGGCAGCAGAACACGTCATAGTAAACTTTTTGAAGTGGACTTGTATGAGGTACTTGTCAAAAGTAAGTACAATAGCCACAGGAGACGCAGGTTAGCATGGCCCCTTTAAGCAGTCTGAGTACCGGCACAGAAGCTAAGCTATACATCGCTGCAGAAGGGGCCATTTGTATCCATAGACTGTAAATATTAATGGTCGAAGCCTGAGTGACGTCACCCATCTGTGACTGCAGGGGGCTTTATAGAGACTCATTAATGGCTGTCGTCATGCTTGAAATGCTGACTCAAGCTAACTTCTATTTCTTGTAAGATATTTTTGGGGCAATTTTTGCGTATATTGGATAGCCAGCTGAAGAGAGACAGGAAATGTTGGCTAGAGAGAGAGAGTGATGACATGCAGCAAAGGTCTGACGTCAGATTCAAACCCACAGGACTATAGCGCGTGTATACGGTGCGCGCAACATAACCACCGGCTATGCTAGGCTACCAGCGCCCCTCACCCTAACTTTTAGACAACCTAACAACAGGCTTAAGAGCAGGAGTTAAAGCAGGTTTTAAGCTTCTTGACAAACTGTTACACTGTGCCCGCCTGTCAATCAGGTCAGCTGTGCACCTCAGTGTGAATAACGCTCATCCTTCATTAAACCAGTATGTAGTTATCAAAAAATGAAACCCCCGCACAGTCTGTGCCAATCGACACAGGAGTCTTGGCCAGGACACTCTTGAAAAGAGATTTTGGATCTCAACCAGTTTCTTCCCTGGTTGAATAAAAGTTAAATCAAATAAAAAATAATAAGTCCTATTTCATTTTTGGAACCAGTCTGTAAACATGTTAATTTTTGTTGTAAAAGCTGGTTTTTTTTTTTGAGTGGGTGTGTATGTGATCTCTGCAGCCAGCCTCAAGCGGAAAATCGACAAAATGCATGATTTTGTCCTCCTGCATCGACTTCATTTTACAACAAAGGTTGCCGCTTTGTTTGTTTATGAAAGAGACAACAAAAGCATCCAAACTAAAAGAAAAGCGTTTTAAACAGCAAATGAGAAAAGCTGTTTACTGTGGATACAAGAGGATACATTGGTGGATTACGAGTACACAGAGGAATTTTAAAGTTGATCATAAATGGGACATTTAAGGTCAATTATAAAGGTTCCATGCTACAAACTTTTTTGGAAAATCAACCTTTAATAACAGGAATATAATAAATCCCATCAACTGTTTCAGTCCCTTAACAAAATCAACTTGTCCTGGCTGAAAATGACTATTGATGAGAAATTCTTATCTGCAGCAATGATTTATTTATCCACACTGTATCTGCTTGAACGCTAATGTATTATTGTGAATGAAGCCAGGAAAGGTCTTCATGGTTCAGTATGTGTGAGATCTAGTGCAGTATGTAAACCGTTTGACATCAGTGTTTGGGCCTTCTTTATGAGAACATCTGCAGCAGCTGCCCTATAAATTCTCAGTGTTGAGAAAACAGGAACAAAAAGTTCCATTTTTGTATGGCAGTGTACCATGGCGAGTAGTGGACCTAGTCGTGCCTCATCTGGAGCGCCATGGCCAACGTTTAGGGAAAGTCAAATCAGGGATGTAGAACTGAGACACAGTTAATGTGTGTTTACAAGCCTGCATAGCAACAGAACGCAGAGTGAGCTTATTGATGGCACATCCAGAGGACAGACAACCCTGTGTCTACAGGTCTCTTAATATTTATTTCTACAGACCACCATCTCTCAGGTCTTTAATTCATGTTTTCTAAATGACTTCATTTATTTGACTTGTCAACACTTTTGTTTGTGACTCTTCTGCTGTTGAGTAATAGTGTTTGATATAATGGTGCTGTTTCCTTGCTGTCTCCTCTTTGTCTTCAGTGTCGGTGCTTTCAAAGCTTCTAACTCAATATTTATGTTAAAATGATCCAGTATTAAAATCGGTCTTTTCATTGGTTTGCCTGCATGAGTCTAAAATCATAACAACAGACATGCTATTTTATTATTCTTCAGGAATTTAAGTTAACATATTTGATGTCAGCTGAAATTTGAAAAAAGTTTCATGCACCAAGCACAGCTATAATAAAGCCGAGCAGTAACACATCTTATGAAACAAAAGCTACAGATTAAAGAGTCAAGTTAACACAGGCCTACGTAACTAAAAGGGCAAAAAAAGAGACACATACATGCAACATTTAGGAAGTTATAGTATTTTGCAAACAGTAATTGCAAATAGGCCTTTCATACACCACACAACTGCAGTTGTATTTTAATTAGAGGTTTATAAAACCGATGATGATAATATTGTTTCTGCTGCACACTGTTATATGTGAACACTGTGAATGAGCTGCATAAAAGTGTAAATACTAGTAGCTGTCTGAGATAGGTCTACATCAGGGGTGGGCAACTGGCGGCCCGGGGCATCAACCCTCAACGTGGCCCTCAGGTCAATTTTTACATATCAATTAATTGGAAACATGAAGAAAAACATGACAAAATCTGCCATGAAATCATGAAAACCAGAAATATGTCCACAATAATATTTGATCACTGGTATATGTTGAGTTAAATTTGAGACATAATTGACTGTAACTGTTTTTGTATTCTACAATTTGGCCCTCTGGCAGTCAGAATTAAATGAATGTGGCCCTTGCTGTGACCACAGTTGCCCCTCCCTATGTTGACACAAAAATATATAAATATATGACAACTGATGAAGTGTCACCTTTTCTTTTACTCTTTTAACTCTCGTGCAACTTTCAAGGTTTAGAACCATTAGACTGTGACTATTGAAAACCTGAAAACTGACTGTCCTGATATAATTTGGATTCTGAAAAGCTCTTTCGACACTATGTTCCGGAAGTGATAGTTTTTTTTAGGGGAGGAATAAAAACAAATGCTGTATGGAAACAAATACTAAGATTTTATTAACAAGATAATACCGTATTTTCTTCTTTTTTTTGACGTTTGTTGACGTTTATATTGATTTTAAATCAACATTTTAGTTGCTTCGAAAGTGCGACAGCGGTTGTTAAAATACATAAACATTGAGCAGGCAGCAGAGGAGCCTGAGTGGAGCTGGTACATCTGTGTTTCTGCCTTTTTTTAACAGATAAATGAACTTCAACGGAGAAGATAAGTGAAAGCGACTCACCCAGGATGACCTGACGAAGACACAGGAGCTCGGGTGTTTCGCTTTAAATAGTTATCACCGTTCCTGTGTGGCTAACCGAGCTTGCTCGCAGGCTGCAGTGACTTCTGATGGCTTCAACTTCTGCAGCTGGAAAAGGTTAGAAGTGCACTTTCAAACCTAATCTGTGGTGATTTGGAGCTGATTTGTACAGTTTTATAATAGTAATGCTTTATTGGTAGACCATTTTTCAAGACAGGAGCACAACATGGTTTGCAGAAGAAATTTAAAATGCATTAAAATCTTCAGCGTCGTAAAGACATAAAGGCAAAGGCGTAGGTTTGGATTCAACATGGGGGGGCAAACACTTCATTTCCTGCTCTCTGGTGAACTTTTATGCAACAATTTGTGCCTTTTCTGAATTAATTTATGGAGGAAATTATGATTATTTTTGAATTACTATTAATTATTCAACTGTATTGTTCATAACTTTCTGCATATTCAAAACATTACAGGTGTTTTGGGATGTTTTTTTTTAGGAATCATCTCAAATCAAATCTATTAGAGAATGACACCTTGTTATAGCCTGAGTACCCAAAATTTAAAACTACATAAAAGCCGTTGTTATGGCTGACTAATCTTTCACTCACTATTTGGAAAATAGTCGGATATTGTTCGTGTTTATTGCACTTAAACTCAATTGATAGGCAGGCTATATAAAGAATAATATCATCAAGGCATGTAGAGTTATAGCCTGCTGTTTTTATTAAAATGTTGGCAGGCAGAGGACAGAACAATTAAACAATGAATAAAGCAATAACGTAACACTGCCAAACATCACAATGACAGCAGACTTAGAGACTTCTGTTCTGTGTTGTTTAACACTCTTAATCAACAGCCTAAATCATGGTTAAAAGTTAAATGAGTGATTACTTAAACGATGTTATTTAGTTATGCTGGTTCAGAAGCTCTCTGTTTTCAGAAGCTCTATCTTTTCTACAAATCTACCCTGCGTCCCCCCCCCCCCGAAATCTACGCCTATGCATAAAGGTGTCGCTTGAAATATGAGCTCAGCTCCTTTGTCTGTGATATGAAGTAAAACGTATCGTGCTTAATTATGTCCATTACGGTTTCTCAAAAAGTCTGAAATCATGTTATTTATTCTATCAATGTCAGGATTATTTTGATATTTTCAAAGAGTATCTGCTCGTTGATTTTTTTGTTACCTAATGTAGTGCTTATTAATCGATAGTGACGTGGCATGAAGGTGACAGATGTCTGGCTCCTGACCCGAGAGATGGCACCCTGCGAGAATCCACCATTAGGAGAATGACCTCCGCCTCTGATGATGAAGACGCCACAGCATGGGTGATATTCACTGGTGGCAGTAAAGAGGAGGAGGAGGAGGAGGAGGAGGAGGAGGAGGAGGAGGCGGCGGAGGAACCCGTACCCGTCTCCAAACTCTTGAGACCAGGCTCGGATCATTTCACGCAGGAGAAACCCATGTTTCCAAGAAGCGTCACAGACCCCAGGCTGTGTGTTCCTTTAGATCTGAGTGGTGCTGAAGGAGACAGAGTCCCCTACACCATCAATAGATACCTGAGGGATTACCAGAGAGAAGGCATCAGGTTCATTTACAGCAACTACGTCCATTCAAGAGGTTGTATCCTGGGGGATGACATGGGCCTGGGAAAAACTGTGCAGGTACTAAGCACAACATATTGTCCAAATAAATTGCTGAAGTGGTTACATTTATCTTCACCTGTTTGTTTCTCTCGCTTTTGTTCCCTCCACCTCTTTGATCGTATTTAAGGTCATTGGTTTCCTTGCTGCTGTGTTGCACAAAACAGGCACATGGGAGGACATCGAGAACAACAGGCCTCAGTTTCTGCAGAGTCAGAAGCCCTGCAGGGAAAGTAGACCAAACAAAGTGGGTATTGAAATGTGCTTCTATTAATATAAGTAAATATAAATACAGATTTTTTTCATCCACACCTTTTGGTGTTTCCATGATCTCGTTCAGGTGTTCCTCATTGTCGCCCCACTCTCAGTGCTTTATAATTGGAAAGATGAATTGGACACATGGGGTCACTTCCAGTCTGTGGTGGTCCACGGGCTGAGGAAAGACGAGGAGTTGGCGCGTATCAAGAAGGGACGCACTGAGATCGCTCTCACTACCTATGAGACTCTGCGTCTTAGCCTTGATCAGTTTAACAAGTAAGAAACACACTCATTTTTAATCCTTCCACATCATTTCCTTTTTATTACGTATTTTTTAAAGATCTATTGCACTGTGATTAAATCTGCCTCTCCCTCCCTGCAGCATAGACTGGTCTGCTGTGGTTGTGGATGAGGCCCACAAAATAAAAAATCCAAACTCTCAGATCACTCAGGCCATGAAGGATCTAAGATGTAAGGTCAGTGAGCTTTACAGTATATCATGTTGAATGATTATGTCAGTATTCTGTTACCAGTGATCACTATAGGCAAATGGTAAATAAACTTGAGCTTGTAAAGCGCTTGTCTAGTCTTCTGACTACTTAAAGCACTTTTTACACCACAGGTCACACCTACCCATTCACACCATGTTCACACATGATGGCATAGGCTGCTATGTAAAGGGTCCATAACTGATTCCCATTGGGTTACCCCATAACCCAGTAGTTTCTTCCCCACCACTGCGGCCTGAGCACGCATCACACATCAAGCACACACAAAGATAAATGACAATAGCATAAATTATACACAGACACACAAACGTTTTCTTTTTGAATGATTTGTTTTGTTTTTTCATTTTATTTCGCTGCCTTGGTCTGCACGTGCCTTTGAGTCCTCTGCCTCCTTCCTCCTCAGTTTCCTCCACTGAAACCCCCAACCTATGGAGAGAAAAGGGCACAAGCCCTAAGCTGTCCCACCAGGCTTATGATTCTTTATCCTTAGCCTTAACTAATCACATTCATACTCACTAATATGCTACTGATGCAGCAGAAGGAGCAAATGGGGGGGGGGGGGGGTTCAGCATCTTGGCAAAGGACACTTCGACATGTGTCTACAAGAGATGGGGACAGAATCCCCGACCTTCCTGTTGAGAGATGACCAAATCCGCCACTGAGCCACAGCCGCCCCATTTTAGAGTCCCTCTTACTTTTGTACTGAAACCATATCTTAAACTTGCTAACATCAGAATACACAGCTAAGAACTGTAAGCTTGCTTTTAGACCGTGTTCCGATGCTTGCTTCATGCTTACATTTCTATCAGATCAGAATTGGCCTCACTGGCACCATCTTGCAGAACAACCTGGAGGAGCTGTGGTGCGTCATGGACTGGTGGGTAGAGAGACTTTTACACTGCAATACATTTTCAGTTTTCATATTTAAAACCACTTTTGAATTACTCTGTTACATTTTATTTTGAAATTTGCAACCTTTCTATGGGTTAGTTCTAATCAGCGTTACATCTATATGATTATTGTCATTTTACAATTGTCAATAAAGGCTTTTCATTTCTATTTCTATTTGTTCTATTTAGGGCCATACCTGGTTGTCTTGGCAGCTTGGGACATTTCAAAAATAAGTTTTCGGGTCCAGTTGAACAAGGTCACAGGCACAGTGCTACAAAACGTGCTCTAGCCACAGGGAGACAGACTGTCAGAGCTCTGGTGAAGAAGATTTCCCGCTATTTCCTCAGAAGGACTAAAGCTATCATCAAGGATCAACTGCCGAAGAAAGACGACAGAGTAAGAGTGATGAAGTGAAGCAGGCACCAGGTCCTCTAATCTACAAATAAATGTTCCAATTTCATACTATCCAGATGAAGGGCTCTGATGTCTTGTGTTGTTTGCTCCTAGGTGGTGTACTGCTCTCTCACAGACTTTCAGCAGACGGTGTATCAGGCAGTGCTGGACACTGAAGATGTGATGTTACTGCTGAGGTCTTCAGAGAAATGTGACTGTCAAAGTGGACGCACTCGCAGACGCTGCTGCTATCAAGTTAGTTCAACCCTTTTCCTATAGTGTAATTTCTTTTGTGTTGTTTCTTGTTTTCTTTAAATACTCAAGACTGAAGTAAGAAGAGCCATCCTCTGCAGCAGCACAATCTATTTCACAATAAACTCCCGTGAGAACAATTTGTATGACTTAAGGGTGTTATATTACCTAAATCAAACTAAGTTATTTTGGAAAATCTCTCTGTTCAGTTAAAATTGAAGCTTGCTCATCTGGTGCAGACTGCTATGAATGTGATGGGGAGGACTGAAAACCTCACCCGACCACCAATATAGGAGCAGTCTGTTTTCAGGCTGGCACAAAGACTGCTGTCTGACCTGTCTCACATCCTCCACTCTGAATACGAGCTACTACCTTCTGGCAGACGATACAGAGCCCCCAAACGTAAACCGATACCGTTTGCTCCAGCTTTATTTGTTCAGTTCATTTACATTTTTTTTGGAAGTTAATTATTGATGAATTTTGAATTTCATGAAAAAGGGGCGCCGGTAGCCTAGCAGTTATCGGGCTGAAGTCCTCAAGAGTGGGCAACCCCTGTCCAAATCCAACTTGTGACACCTGTGGCATGCCGTTCCCCACTCGCTCTGCCTGGTTTCTGACTATCCATTAAAAAATAAATTCATAAAAGCCCCAAAATATATATTAAAAATAGAGAAAAATACTCATCAAAAACTAGAAAGATAAGGATTGAGGCCTCAATTAATGTCAGTGTTGTTGTTTTTTCAGGCTAACTCTGACGGGGTTGAAATAAAGGGGCTCTACTTTAGTTACTTGGCCATTTTGAGGAAAGTTGCCAACCATGTAGCGCTGCTTCAGTCCACTGCAGGCACCAGCAAGAAACAGGTAGAAACATGTCGACCTATAATCAATATAAGAATTCAGCATTTATCAGCACTGATACCTGAACATGTTTTCACTGATTCTGTTGTGTAAAACAACTCAATTGTTTCTTTAAGGAAAAGTATGTTGGAAAAGTTTGTGAAAAGGTGTTCCAGAAGTTTCCAGAGTTTGTGCAGCGATGCAAAGATGAATCGTTCGAGGCCTTATCGGACCCCATGTACAGTGGAAAGATGAAGGTATGACTTAGGAAAGAAGGCATGTTCATTAGTATTTAAATGCTGTGTCACTGTCTTTGAACAAACAAATACTCTCGAGTGTTTACGTTTACAGGTGTTACAAAAGCTGCTGAAGTATTATCTGAAAAAGAAGGATAAAATCCTTATTTTTTCTCTCTCGACCAAGGTAACAAGAGCTTCTTTCTCTGCATGTACCTACAGAACTAGTTGTGTGTAATGGAGTGAGTGCTTGCTTGCGGTTATATTTTGCAGAGTGAGAAGTTTTACTACATGAAAATGATTTGATGCTCATAGTGATGTCATCTAAAAGCAGTTAAGGTGTGAGTGAGAGTATGCCTGCTGCTTTTAGAGCGTTACAGTCAGTCACATCAGTCCAGCCTTTAAGTCCATCAACAGGCTTGAAAACATTTTAAACTGCCACAAGGAGCAGATTACTTGTGTGCAAAAAGTATTAGCAGGGGAAATGGTTTATTCGTGAAATAGAATACTATGCATGCTTTTTTTTTTTTAAGAGTTAAAAGATCATTTGACTCTTTTTGTCTTTATAACCCATCAGCTGTTGAATGTGCTGGAGAGCTACTGCATGGCAGAGGGGCTGGACTACCGCAGGTTGGACGGAGCCACCAAATCCAAAGAGAGAGTCCAGATCGTCAAAGAGTTCAACAGCTCCTCTCACATCAACCTCTGCCTGGTTTCCACCATGTGAGTCAAACTTAAAAAACAGATCTTTGTACTGAATTATAAGACTTGATTTGTGAACCAACAATGAAGGCACCAAAGCTTTGCAAACATGTGCTGTATTTGGAACACCTAATAGATCATTTAAAACATACACCAAACTCTGAATTTGTTAACATCCGTCTCTTTGTGCTTTTAGGGCGGGGGGTCTCGGTCTTAACTTCGTAGGGGCAAATGTTGTAGTGCTGTTTGACCCCACATGGAACCCTGCCAATGACCTCCAAGCTATTGACAGGTATGTTGTTGGGCCATATTAGATATCATTTTATGCATCATTTTAATATAATGATCTTAAACCTAGTCATATTCTGTGTTTTTCTAGTAGAATATACCAAATGTTTTCTTGCTATAAGCATGACGACTGTGTGTTAAAATGTTTGTTTCTCTCTGCAGGGCATATCGTATTGGCCAGTACAGGGATGTGACTGTCCTCAGGCTCATTTCATTAGGGACTGTAGAGGAGGTTATATACCTCCGACAAGTGTACAAGCAGGTATCATAACCAAACTACAGTGCACAAGAGATGCACATCTTTGTATTTTGAGCTTAGCTCCTTTGTCTGTGCAAACACTTGAACGGAAAATCTTTGAAATGTTCCTCCAACTCATGTTTGTGTTTGTGTACACACACCACAAATGATTCCTTTATTTGACTATCTGACACAAGATGACTTTTGACGTAGCTTCAGGATCTGATCTTTTGCGTTCACTGTCTCTATAAACGCGTTTCTCTATCCGCTTGCTCGTCTTCCAGCAATTGCAGAGCTCAGTCATGGGTAAGGAGAGTGCACGGCGGTACTTTGAGGCGGTGCAGGGGCGCGGTGTTAACAAGGGGGAGCTGTTTGGGATCAAAAACCTCTTCCGGCTGCAGATTCAAGGAACGTGCCTGACTCGCAAGATATTAGAGGTGAGATAGCCGACATGCCCATTCAGTGTTTGATATTTGATGTCGTACTGAACCAAACTGCCTCAACTCACTTTGTCCTACTGACTCGGATCACCAGTCACAGCACGAGTCTTACAAAACTTATAATCAATGTGTAGTCTTTGGGAGTTACTTATATGTGGTCAAATTAACATTAAGTACTCACAGTTTTAGAACAGATCCTAATCAGCTGTTTACACTCAGTGTTATTTCCTGTGAATATCACCTTCATATATTTCTTACAATAATCACTAAGTGCCTGATTTAAAAAAAAAAGGCAAAAAAATCCCATCTCTTATTGGTGATTATTACTGAAGCCCTAAGATGACATGCATCCATTTTTTAACTATATTTTCCCATGATAAAAAGTAACTCGAGATCTTGACTAATTTTCTTGATATCTCAGGTATCTCGGTATCTCAAGAGATCTAGAAAACAATAACAATAAGCAGCCCACTGTGATAGGCCAGACCACGACATGCCATGCTGCCAAAGCCCATATCTCCGGGGATACCAAATAAATAAGTCAAGATCTCAAGAAAACAATGAGAAATGACTTTTCATCGCAGGAAATCTGAGTTCATTGTTTGTGTATTGATGGATATATGTCTCTAACGTTTGCTCCTCCTGTCAGAGAGAGGGACAAGTGGCGGCTGGGATAATGACAACCAGCACACACATGAGCGAAGAAAAGGAGGAGGAGGCGAAGGGAGCTAGCGTGAGTAACTCTGCTCTTCTCAGGGACCCAGAACACAGGGCGCTCATCTTTCCCACCCCTCAATCTATCTTCTCTCCCAGGCTGCCATCTCATCCTCCTATTCCCATGTGAAAAACGGGGGAGGGGTACCTCAAACAGGGACCTTCCTGTCTGCAGTCAACCCAACACAAATCTCTCATTTAGCTTTTTCTGCCAAAGCTCTAATTTGAACTTTTAATTGCTTCCTTTGTTCCTCTTTGTCTTCAAATCTTCCCATTATTTTTAGAGTCTATTCTAAAAATCGCAAATGTCCCATTTTTGGGAAAGCACCTTCCGCTCGACATGATATTTTAAAAACAAAGAAAACAGAGACAGTAAAGCTCCAGACAGAGTCAGGCTCCCATCCAGCTGTCGGACTAAAAGGTGGCTGTAAAATGTTTGTAGTTTCCTCTCAGCAGCTGTGGTTAGCCTGAGTTCAGGCAGCTACAAGGCATTCATATGGAGATTCTTTTTTTAAGTGGAAATAAGCAACAAAAAGAACATCCTTAATCTGCCTAACCAAGACGCTCAATTTCACTGCTTTTACTAAATGTTACACCATTATTCTACTACTATGAAATAATGTTTTTGCCTAAAGTGAGATTACGCAACATACTGAGCATCAGCTTACTTTTTTCACATGTTTCTGCGGAGGTCGTTTTGCTTTTTTTTTTTTCCCCCCTGAAACCCTTTTCCAGGAAAAATCCATTGTACCTGATTTAAGTGAGATTGCCTCGGCTCTGTGGCGCTCTACATGTAAAAACTAGAACATACTTTTAACAGCAGCCTTTTAATTTGATAGGGCATAGGTATGTGATTCCTCTAAAAAAAAATCGCAACGCAATAGATTGAGGATGGAGTATTACTTTAAGGTCTTAGCTAAAAATAAAGATTTGTATTTCAGCAAAACTGAAGGATGAAGTTCTCGCTTGTCTGCTTCTTTCTCTCACTTTCTGTCTGATTGCTGTGTGAAACAGCTGGATGCAATTACTTGGATGTCCTAATGGAAGAAGCAGACCACACTGAAGCCTATCTTCTGCTTTTCCGCTATTTATTTACACAGTGATACTCCTTATCATCCTGTTCCCAGCCAGGTCCCCCTTTCTTTTTCTTTTCTTTTTTTACAGTGCTGCCGTTCCACTGAGGCCGTACAGATTCTTTCAAACATACAGAATTCACTGGGGTGCCTTTACACGCACAGACAGAGGCACGAGGCGTGTAAAGACTAACATGCACATGAGCACAGCAGAGCTAGGACGGAGTCATCTAGTGGGCACAGTCACTGACGCTACTATTAAGGCCCATTAATCTAACACCAGCATGCTCTCAGCACTTTGTTTTCTTGAATTACATTATCCTAAAGACGGCATATGTCACATACATTTCAGGTATGATTTATGGTGCATACGTTTGTTTTGTATTACGCAATGAAATCTGTCATTGGTTTGTCCGGTGGGCGATGGCAGGGGCAGAGGGAAGTGAAGAATTGTAGCCGTGAGTTAAAACTTTGGAGTCAATATTCTTCAAACCGTGAATACACGTCGGGTTCTTATGTAACCCGCTGTAAACTAGACTTCCTATGATTTCTTTTTTTAAAGATTTCTTTTTGGGCTTTTTGTGCCTTTATTTGAGAGATAGGACGGTAGATGGAGAGAGAGTGGGGATTGACATGCAGGAAGGAAGCCACAGGTCAGATTTGAACCTGGACCACTGCGCCACCAGAGCCCCAGGCTTCCTCTGATTTCTGCGCAAATCTTTGTCAGTCTTTCTCAATGTGTCCTTGGGCACAACCCACAGTCGCTCCCGCTGCTGCTTCGGTGGCGGCTTATGAATGTGTATGAATGGGATTTGTTACTTCTGATGGTCATGCAGCCTCTGCCATCAGCGTGTGAATGGGTGGGTGTGGCCTACGGTGTAAAAGCGCTTTGAGTAGTCAGAAGACTAGAAAAGCACTAAACAAGCTCGAGTCTATTTACCTTTACTTTTGTACTTCTGTGCCAATCTACTTTTATTTACCTTTTTCTTTCTACATTTTTACTGAAGGACGTTGGAGATTTTCCGCCTACAGATTGCCCCGTACCAACCGTTGAACCAACCAAGGAGAGCAGAGATGCATCAAACGTCCCTGGAGGTGTCCTGGACTTCAGCAGTGGGAGTGAATTAGATGAAGTGGAGCAGGAATTTAAGAGGAAGATCTCAAACCCCAGTACGGTGGATGGCAAAAGGAGTGGAAATGCATCCACTGGTCCCGGTCGAATGAGTCTCCTCCTGCACGGTTTCTCCAAACTCTTAGAAGAGGTTAAAGGAAAACCGGAGTCAGCCGAAGGGGACAGTAGCACAGCGATCGAGGAAAGCCCCTCTGAGGAAGATGATGAGGATAAAAAGAGGGAGGTTGCCTCCTCTGTCATCTGCAAGAGCTCCAATCCAGGAAATGATGTAGTCTGTTTGCCTAAAATTGAAACAAGAACCTGGGCCATGTCCAGCACTACAGACGGAGAAAAGAGGGTTTCTCTGTTGACAAAGAGTGACGATGCTGTAAGAAAGAGGCAAGATCTGAAAAAACATGCAGATGAGAATGACGACATTTCCTCTGCATACAAAAAGACTCCTAACAAGCTCAAAGTCCCGAAAGTGCACCACGTTCAGGGATACTCTGATGAATCTGAAGATTTGGACATAGAGGCAGTGATGAGGCCGAAGAGTGCAGCCTTAGATCCACACAACAGAGGAGGAGACAAAGTGAAGGGAAGGCTGGACCGCAACAGAAAGAGGCAACGTGCTAGTGTCAGGGACAAGGCCAGCTCCAAACACACAGAGGACATAGAGACATTCACATCTTCAGATGATGATGAACACACGCCGGTTAAGAAAGGAAGATCCCCAATCTGTCCCTTCAAATCTCCACAGACGGAAAGGTCCAGAGTTAAGGAAAAAAACGCTGGAGAAAAAGCTTCAACAACCAGCAGGACTGAGAGACCAGCAGAGTCACCCAAAACTGGTTCCTTCACAAATCTGAAAAGTCAAACATCCCAGACGTCCAAAGGAAAAGATGGAACCATCGACAGTGTGCTAGGTTAGATTCATCCCCTGTTTCCAAATGCTTATCATTTTTGACATTTCAACATTATTGATGAATATTTGTGTTTACAGGAGGCGTACAGGAGGTTGTATATACACACTCTAACCAGCGTGTGGTCGGAGGGAGCAAAGCAGAGGAGCTGATCAGCAGAGCGGCTGTACGAGACGTGTTTGAACGCAGGATGTACTCGCAGCTCCCGGCCAATCACCTTCTAGACACCATGGAGGTAGATATTAACTTAACCATGGTCTGGATCAACAATTCTTCTATTATATGATTGTGTGGCAGGCCCATATTAATGCATCTGCACATCCAAATATATACAAATTAGAAAAAGGAAAAAATATTTGTAAAGTGTTCCCTGGAATGCTCTCAAGATGAAGCGTGATGTGTGGAAGTTTGGGGTTGAACTTTGATGACGTCTTGCCATCACAGATTCAATTAGAATGTTAAATTAAATAAGGAAAAGAATCACAGGAATTCCTGAACCCCTGGCAGGATTACCCAGTAATCCACTGACCTCTCAGTGTCATATGAACCTGTTCTCTGTCAGCGTTTGTCTGGCAACTCCACGTTTCAAGACGCTTTGCCAGAACTGTATCAGACACAGATGCTCACTACAAGATGACAATTTCAGTAAACACATCTGTTCTGTGTAGATTGAACTTAAACTTAGTACTGCAGCAGAGCCACTGGAGCTGCTGCAGTGGATGGAACCTTTATTACGCTACATCCTGCTCTGGCATAAACCTGTAAGCAAGAGTTTCCAGTTCTGATGAGGGAGCCAGCGGGTGAACAAACTTTGCTAAATATATTCAAACAAGTGGTTTAAAATAAGACATATCTTACTGTTTGTAAATATTTTATATGTATTTATATTTGGATCGCAATGGATTTTTTTTTTAGGTGTGATTCAAAAGGTGAAATGATTTGGTATGAGAACAAATGTAAACGAGTGCTGCACATAACTGTGTAACCCTCCTTAAAAGACGCATTCAGGGGTGACGGTAGCCTAGTGGTTAGTGTGCACGCCCCATGTGCAGAGGCTGTAGTCCTCCAAGGGGGCGGCCCGGGTTCAAATCTGACTTGGGCTCCTTTCCTGCATGTCATTCCCCACTCTCTCTCCCTCTCTCCCTCTCTCCCTCTCTCCCCAGTTTCTGAGTCTATCCACTGTCTTATCTCTAAAATAAAGGCCCAAAAAGCCCAAAAATAAACCTTTAAAAAAAAAAGAAGATATTTTCAAATCAGAGAAACCATACGACTTTTTAATTAAGGCTTCTGCCGCCCCTCTGGACAAAGTATGGATTTTGGATTAAACATGGATTTTTTTATGATATCATCTTTCCTAACTTTCAATATCTAACATGCAACTCACAAAGCATCCTCAGCGTAGGAAATTAAAAAAAAAGGCTGTTTAGGCAGTGTGCTGTTAATCCAGGTCTGACATCTACCACTCAGAAAGGATGACCGGCATAACAATAACTATATAGTAAGTAATGAGTCTTGTTAGTAATGGTTCCATTTGCCTTTGTTGGCCATATAAAAAAAAAATATATTCATTTCAGTCTGTTTCATAAAAATCTAAAATATCACCTCACAGGGTCTTTAAGGAGGTGGATGCAGGGCCCTTAACACCAAATAATGTTCCTATCAATGCAAGCTCTAGCTCAGCCTTCATCTGGCCTTTCCTCCTTTAAAACTCCACTCTTGTTTGATCACACCAGAGTCTGTTAGAGAGCCCACCAGGCAGTCCTCCACACCCTTCTCCTGTGAGACTTGAGAGGCCCACTGTGGACCATCCAGTCACCTTCACCAACAAGAGTGTGCGCCACACCAGGCACACCACCTTCATCATTGGAGAGACTCCCCAGGCTATATGCAGGTATGTAAACGGTCTCAGAGGTGGTGAGTTGTAACCAAGCGACAACCCGGACGTCACATACACACAATAGCTAAAAAAAAGCCTGTTTTCACATAAGAAACTAACAAGTTTACAACCTGGTACACAAAAAATGAAATAGGTCTGATTAGTTATTGCCATTTTGGGCACACACTGTACGGGGGGGGGGGATTTTTTTTTTTTTAAACGGCTTGTTTTGATTTTATGAAGGATTCATGTTATCAATAGTAAGGTGCATAGCTGACATGATTGACAGTTGGGCGCGATGTAACGGTTCGCTTTAAGGCTTAAAACCCGCCTCAGCTCCAGCTCTCAGCTTGTCGTTAGGTTGTCTGAAAGTTAGGCTGAGACAGGATTTCCAGCGTGGCAGCTGCTGCAGGTGAGCTTCCTAAACCCCCTACCGTAGCAGATGACTGACACTCAGGCTTTGTCCATTAAAATGTACAATCTATGGGTGTAACTAAAAGAACAGAAGTGTAAAAGCCTACTTGAGATATGTTGAAAACGAAGAAAAATGAATATTAAATGCAAAAAAGTGAAAGAGGGATGGGTTGTCCTTGGTAGACATTTTGACCTTAAAATTTAATTAAGATAAAGAAGCTGAGGGAAAAAGTTTTGCATGGGAATAAACCAGTTAAAGAAGGTAGGAGAGGGAGTTTAAAGCCTGAAGTCCGAAGAGAGGAATTCCTGGCAGTTCAGGGAAGTAGGCCAAAATCTCACCACAGTTATGGTGCTGAGCGCCCCCACCTGGGCCACGGGAATTGTGTGTGTGTATAAAGTGTGTGTGTGTGTGTGTGTGTGTGTGTGTGTGTGTGTGTGTGTGTGTGTGTGTGTGTGTGTGTGTGTGTGTGTGTGTGTGTGTGTGTGTGTGTGTGTGTGTGTGTGTGTGTGTGTGTGTGTGTGTGTGTGTGTGTGTGTGTGTGTGTGTGTGTGTGTGTGTGTGTGTGTGTGTGTGTGTGTGTGTGTGTGTGTGTGTGTGTGTGTGTGTGTGTGTGTGTGTGTGTGTGTGTGTGTGTGTGTGTGTGTGTGTGTTTAGTAATAGACCACCTCTGAGCTTTCCCTTCCACTGATTTCCCAGCATCATGCCAAAGATTACCCCGTTACGTTCATGCCCAACAGTGCAGACGTTTTCCCCTCCACAACCACAGCCCTCCTGAGACAAACCAAAAATGATCGCCTGAGGACTTCCAAACCCACACTGATACACACACACGTACACACAAACACGTCCCAACAAGCATTTACACACACACACAAAATACACACCTCTGTCCTGCTGCATCACCTCCGCCCCCTACCTTCCCAAAACACTCAGACACACAGACACCTCTGTGGCTCCAAGCTCCCTCCCCAAGGGGAAGACTGCATCTCAAGCCCAGAGACTCACCAGGGAGGGAAAACTCACACTAGTTATATTGATTTCCCCTCAATTAACCTCGCTGTTTAATGATTGAAATCCACATGCAAGTCTGGTTTTACTGCCGCTGCTTTTATTTATTGTTTTTCCACTGAAAGCCACAAACGGTAATAACACTACCAAAATGCAGCTGTAGCGCTCGTGACTTTGAAGTATTTCTGTCCCAGAGTCTGGTTAGACCGAAGTCTTAATGACTGCCAAGCAGCTCAGAAAAAAAACATATCGTACTTCAAGGCTGTCTGGATATGAGCCTGAATAAGTTGAGCACTTTTCATCTTAGGCTACGCTCGACATGCGTGCAGAATATCAGATTTAAAGAACAGAGCTTGTGGCTTTCAAACAAGTTGTTTTACGTGTGATTTAAAGTTCATTATCACACGGCTGTTAAAGGCTTGATTCTGATTGGTCCATCATGCATAGCAACAGTCTGTTCTATATCGAGGGTTAGCAGAGTAGTCGGTTGCTAGGGACGCGGCGCTGGAGGACAAACAGTCATCATATCAATTCAGCAAAGAAGTAGGGTTCATTTGATGTCAGGCTGTTGACTTTGGGAAAACAAGAAGATGAAAGCAGCGGTGAGAAAGAGGTTAAAAGACGCAACGTCCTATATGATAGGACAGAGAGATCTACACAACTGAGGATGTAAACACGTGACCAAACACGATTTGAGAATACGGTGGTGTTTTTAAAGGCTGGTAAAAGGAAAAGTAAATGTCAAAAGACTCTAACAGGGCTTTCACACTTGCCGAAAAACTCCTCTGATATTTGCTGGAGGAGCTGTATGTGTGAAACAAACGCAGACTTCATCCTGCCAGCCCTCTAGTCATGTTTTTATGCAGCAAGTCAGAGTGAGCTGATGAGAACGCAGCAGGATATAATCAGGCAAATTCACCTCGAGCGAGTGGGAGAGGGTGTTGACGTTTATCTTCTGTGACTGCTGCACGACCATCGACTGTCTGCATGCGACCGCTCCGATCTCCATGCACTTCATTAAACTGCTGCATTACGTTTTCTGTCCACCAGTACGTGCTTTCTGTCTCTTTTTGTTGACGGTGTGATTCCTCCAAACTACACATAGCATTGATATATAGGCCGATATTCCCGTTATAGCATCATAAAGCGGACTCTGTGGCTTCGTCCAACACGCATGCAAAGTTTTTTTTTTGACATCACGTCTCGCCTCAGGAGGGGCCTCTAGTCTGACAGAGATAGTCTCCCGCTTTGAGGTGCATATGTGAACAACAAGGTCAGGAGAATATCCAGAGCAGTCCTCCTGAAACTGTTAAGATATTTTCAGAAGAGCATATGTGAAAACAGCTTTACAGTGAGGAAAATCATTCAGACTTCTAACTCGGGACACAGCTCTAGCTGTAGATTCCATCTGACTATTTGTTCAGCAGAAGAAGATTTTCATTTTTAAATCACTAAAAATATTTCCCAAAAAATATTGACACCAATATCTGTCTTTGTATTCTTGTGTGTAGGCAGCAGCTGGAAGAAATGGCCGGAAAGTTCAGATTCCCCTCAGTGCATCAGTTTGCAAAGGAGATTCTGCAAAAAGACTCAGCCCAAAGACTGGACTGGCTGCGGCAGTATTACACTTCACTAAACCACCCTGACCTAGCTGAAACAGTCACAAGCAACTTCCCACAGCCGGATCTACAGCCGGCTTCTTCCTCTTCCTCCTCAACATCTACCAAAACGGCTGCTGCCCACTCAACCAGAACCCCACAGAAGGATGTCACAAAAGCCAAGAAAAGGCCTAAATACACCAAGAGAAATCCTGAGACTGAAATGGAGCAAAACATCCCACAAAACAATGTTTCAGCACCACTGAAGAAGTCTAGAAACCCACTGAATGGTGTTCGAGAACCCCATAAAAAGCAAAAGAGCCAACAAAAGAATGTTGTAGAGCGTCTGAGTGATGTCTCAGGCCTGGAGTCAGAGGAGCAGGAAGAGGATGTGTGCAGTGCCAGAGGATATAAGGGGACAAAGAGGGGTAGTGTTTCTACTTCTGGTGCTTTCAGGACTGGTGGTGGTCTTGGCTTGGACCAGGCCAGCGGCAGTGGTCTGGGGTCTGGGGAGGCTGCCGCTTTCCTGAGCCGCACACACAGAGATGTCCCTTCTTCTCCGGACCTCAGCCATGGCAGGTCGTCGGTGATGTCCAAACCCACGGCGCAGGGAAGGGAGCGAGAGCAAAAACTGTCTTCAAGGGCCGGTAAACCTTTTCAAGGCCAGGGGGAAAATCCTTCCCCTGCTTCGAAGGCCACATCTCCCTCCAGTGATCGTTCCTTCCTCACAGATCTGATAGGAGACACTTCCGTCCTTGATGATTTGTTGAAACCAAGACCCAGGGGTGCACAAGAAAAGAGGACTACAAAACCACCCCCTGCACCATCCTCGACCTCAGAAAGCAAACACCTCACCAACCCGTCTCCATCCGCTCTGAGAACTGATTCAGGATCAGCACAGTCCGACACACCGCTCACACATCAGGCAGTATCAAAGGGCAACCGCAAAGACTTCTGGGACATCCTGAATGAGGGTAATGAAGAAAGCATCAACAGGTTAACAGATCCGGCAGAAGTGCAGAGGGTTTGCATCAATACGAACTTTAAAGTTAAAAAGAGATCAGAAGGAGAGGAGGAGAGAAAGACTCTGTGGAAGACTAATGACAAGTTTCTGTGGAAGAAATAACACGAGAGACTAGAGAGATAATACATTTACATAAAGGTTAGGAAAGATTAGCTTGACACTTTTATACTTTTTACTTTTGCAGGTCTTAAAGAGATTTTTTTAAAAACATGAATGTACCGTCGTTATAGGTTTTCCTACCTCAAAGTTTAAGATTTTATTGTTTTAAAATATTGCTTTGTCTGTACCTTTTTTTTTTTTTTTTAATTGAGTTTTTACTTACCTGTTGTTTTAAAACAAAATCTGTATTTGAATCTGTTTCTGATTGAATTATTAAGGTAGTGGCACAATGATGACTCTTGCCTGAATAAAGAGGATGTTAAAGAAAAGAGACCTTAAAGAAATATTTATTTATTTGTTTATATGACATGGACATAAAGTAACATTGGCGCTGTAACATTCAACCATGCACGAGTCCCAGATGAACTGCTCTTAGTGTTTATGGCAAAAATGCTAATTTGCAACACTGGTACACGGGAGACTAAATAACAGAGAAATAAAAGGAAGAGCAAAATGAAAAGAGTTCTGTTATGAATGCAAAGTAGTTAAACCTTTCTTCAATCTGGTTCATCACAGATCCAAAGTTGAGTTGATGAGTTTTTTGCAGCAGTTAGACCTGCAAATAAGATTTCCCTAAAGGCCAATCAGGTTTTATCCCTGAGAACAAAGTCTTCATTGAACTAAAGTAAAAACGGTTGTTTTGGAATTGGGAATTAGACCAGAGGTAGGTTACAAAAGGACATTCCCTGAAGTCATGGAGGTCTGTACCAACAACGTGTTGGTTACATTTTTCAAAAATAGTTACAATTTCGACATGTAAATGTGTGCGCGCACATGTAGGTAAAGCTCAATGTCATTGTTCAATCTGTTGCGGCATCTGATATTATGTGAAGTGGGAGAGGAAACCCGAATCTCAGGAGGAAATAGCCATTACCGTTATCAGACACCATGACTGCCATCGTGGGACAGTTGGTGTCCCCGCCTGCAGAGATATCACTTCAAACTCTACTGTCATGGTCGCTGCGTCGCTGTCCCTCTGAACACCTCACCGGCCCTCCCTCCCCATGAGAGTGTGCACATTGTGTCGATGTGGTTTCCCCTGCTCAGTGTTCAGCACCGTAACCTGATAGTCTGTGCCTTGAATGTCTCTTGGAGTGGAAGCTGCTGCGCCATTAGTGAAATAACAATAAGCAGTTTAAGACTTAGTGGAGCTGGAAGGAGAGACGAGGAGGTTTTTTTTTTTTTCCCCCCACACCAAACCATTAATTCTTTCTCTTACTGTTAGTTTAAGTGTGTGCCTCAAGAAAACACTTTAATGCACCGCTTATATAAAGCAATAACTGTTACCGACATATCTCTTCTATATCTTTTAGCTTAGCATAAATGTGAAAACAAAGTCCTTGCTTGGGGTGTGTGTGTGTGTGTGTGTGTGTGTGTGTGTTTGCAGCTGTGTCGGACCTCTTTCATGACCCAAAGAAAGCTGCTCTGTTGAGCTGATGTTAAGCAGAAATGAGAAAGTGCTGATAGCTATCAATAAACATGTGCCCCGACAGATCGTGCAGCCTGGTAAGGTGTGTGTGTCTGTGTGTGTGTGTGTGTCTGTGTGTGTGTTTGTTACCATTTAGACCTTCTGGGTGGTAGATCATGACCATCTTCACACACACTGAGGCCAGGCATCTGTCACACCTGCTCAAATCGCAAACAGAGCAGAATGAAAAAGCCCTTCTTTATCAGAAACAATCCCGTCCCGCTCTTCTTTTCTCTCTCGGTTTCACCTAAAATTGAGATTTGCAGATCCCTATCTGTCTTTTTGTAGTCATAGTCTGGGCCAAGTGAGATAACACACAGAGGCTTAGCATTCTACTGACAATAGAAAAGGCTCACACTCTGATTGACGGAGCTTGGAGGCTAATGGAGGGCAGCTAACACGGCTCAGTGGCAAACAAAGCGTTCTTATCCGTAATGCTGACTGCAGGATTCTGCCTGTGGATCTGAAGTGAGACGTACAGCCAGAGTGGGTTCAGTGACAGTTTCTCAAGTCAGTCTGATGATTGTATTTTATTTCATTACATGCCGTGAATAGCGATGTTTCCATTACCTAGGGGGAGCATGAGAAAAGGGAAATCGTGTGTTTCCATTTGTCTCATTAGCGTCTTGTCTCTTTGTGTCAAGGGCGGGTTGAGAGGTCTGTTTAAATTTCCTGCCACTCTTAACTTATATGTCTGTGGGTCTCTTATAAACAGGATGGTCGGACAAAGCGGTACAGAGACAGCGCTCTGCAGCGTAGGTTTATTTGCAGAAGTCAGTCCCTGACACCTAGTTTGATTTCGTTAGTAAAAAAAAGCTGTGAATGAGTGCTGACCCTGACCTGGGCCTCCAGTCATCTTTGGCTCAGGTTTCCAAACATTCACTCGGCTATGTGGTGAGAAGTTCTGCAAACTGATTAAAAAACTAGCTCTTGTACGAATACATGAAAAACGTTATTAAACCTCAGGAAAGTTGGTGTTAAACTAAAGTTTCCCTCTATAACAAATGTCCACGACCATGTAAGTCACAAGTATGGTGAAGTGTCCCAAGTCATCCCAGCTATACATGGATGATTTTAATGTTGTTAATTTTTTTATTCCAGGTTCTTAACATACAGTTTTGTACTTGTATTTACAGTGAGCAGCTATCCTCCTACGGTGGTTGACAAAAGCAACTGATCTGCAATGACCATAATGCAGACATTAGCACCTCCCTATAAATGATTCAGATCAGTTGCCCTTGTCGACCGACACATCCCTCCCCCTCCACCAGTCTTACTCAGAGATCGACAGATACTGTAAAGTGGGCTAGCTCAGTGATATAGTGGTTGGCAGGATCTCGGTCAGCAAACAATATCTTCACATTTTTCAATGACACATTTGATATCTAAGTATTTACTATCCATCTGGTCTCGTCCTGATATAACAAAGGGGAGAAACGTGTGGTTTGTCGGTTCAGTCCCTTTTTGCCAATTTAGGTGCCGATCAAATTATATTCTGGAACAAAATGCTGTACGCTTAGCAAATATCCTGTTTGATTCAGAAACATATGAAGGATGGCAAGCCTACCTCAGTTTCACCATTACTTCAAGTTTAACACTCAACAACTTTGATTTATCTGCTTTCTTATTTTTCAAGGGTTTATTTTGGGGCGTTTTGGGCCTTTACGTAGACAGTGGAAAGAGTTAGAAATCGAGAAGAGAGACAGAGAGAGTGGTCGAATTGGAACCCGGGCTGCCCACTTGGAAGACTATGTCGCCCATACATGGGGCGCACACTTACCACTAGACTACCGGTACCCTGACCTGCTTGATTGATTGTTGGAAACCAAAATTTGAATGCTGCTAAAACCTTGTTCTTGTCGGAAGGATGTGCTCACCACCCACATCAAACCAGTCAAAAGTGCCCCCACCAAGACCAAATCCAGTAATTCAATATTAAAAAAAACCTACTTGTACATATCAAGAAATCAGTGTATTTCTGTGTGGTTCCATCACCCATTGTAAAATGTTTAACGAGTTTTTAGAGGAAAAAACTAATTCTAAATAGCTGTGTAATTCTCCTCAAGGACACTGTACTAATATAAAAGTAATGAGCACAGGTGTTTACGAGAAGAAGCCTGAATCTAACAACAATTTAAAAAAACATTGAGGTGACTCAGCAAGTAAACATTCAGGGGTACAGAGTCCTTCTGTTGTTATGGTAACTGGTCAAGGAGGTCTCTTTAAAATATAAACAAGAACTGTCCCCCTTCTTTAGAGAATTACACCCCCATTACAATCCGGTTACCACAGCAACAGTTAGCTGTTGTTTGGCTCCCAGACCCTTCTGTTCCCCATTGGTCCCCATCATAAAAGGGATAACATGGATGCAGAATCACGCACAAACTTGTACAAACAAGTTTTTAATGCAGTAACACACAAAGCGAGATCTATCCCCTATAATAGGCCATGCATTTGAATAGTAAGGAAATACACTTAAGCTGAAATCTATTCACTCCCCACACCTGTGCACGGCTGCAGGAGTGAGTAAGAGAGGGAATTCTTGTCAGTGTTGCACAACTGGTGGACACAGAGCACCCTCAATTTAAATTTTGCACAATCCTTTCTGACCCTCAAAGGTCGAAGAAGCAGAAATTGAGGGAGGTCAATTGCTCCGTGCATGACAAAAAGGAATGGAAAATTGTATGTTTCCCCATGGGGTAAATATTGAGAGCAGAGATATAAACGTACAGAAGAAAGGCTTTTCTGAGCTGCCTGGCTCCTCTGTTGCACTGCCAAAAGCCTGTGCGTCACTTGATCCATTGTTTAGTGTAGAGAGGGTCTCAGTAAGCAAGCGGCGGCCTCCGCGCTCCAGCTGCAGCCTCTCTACTGTTTATGTTTGCAGGGCCCTGCGCCTTGAAGTGAGGCTATACAAGCAAAGCCTGGCCATATGTGAGCACTGGGCCGTCAGAGGAGTCACAGGTCTTTTCTTTCCCTTCTCTCTCTCTCTCTCGCTCTCTGAAACTCTTCTTTCATTTTCACCAATTCTCCTCCCTACCTTTTTTTTAAATCAATTTTTGTCCCTCTTCCATCGTCTTTCTCATCCTTGACAGCCTGCGTTTTTGGAGAAGATGAAGGATTGGAATTATCTTCTCGAGTTTCAAAGAGCTCCATACAGATTTGGAGAGAAGTGGTTAGGTATTATTACCCCTGTGAGAAATAATTACCCCTAAAACTCCCCTTTCAGAATGAATCTTCGTGTGCTCAGCAACAAAGTCTGAAAGACAAGGTTGTAATTATGCCACAGAAATATTTCAGCTCGTGTAAATATTCAAATATTTATACTGGTGTGTCATGCTGACATGCACTGCACTTTTTAGGAGATGGAAAACATTCAGAGAGAAAGCCACTGAAGGCAATATGGAGTCAAAAATGTAAAGCCTTGTAACTAACTATTTGAGTTTGTAGCTTTACTTATAATCACTGCATATTTTTCATCTGGAATTCAATTTTTATAATGCATTGCTAAAAAAAAAATCAATGTAAGATTGTTTTTTCTTTCAAGAATGAAGGTGAAAGACTTCCAGTCTTTAACTCAAACTCCTCAGTCAACCAGGAAACACATTCATGAGGCAGGTTTCTTGTGTGTCTCTGCGTGCGTACGAAGGTTAGTGGTCCTGACCTCGGCTCCTGGGTGGGCCGCGGTGGCTGTGTGCTTGTCTTGGATCATCTTTGGACCCTTCTGTTTACTGAAAAAATAAGCAATCAGCGTCCAAGGAGGAGATTCGAGTCACACAGGGAACGTCCTCAAAGGCAGCACCTCTCTCCTTTTCTTTCCACTTCTCACAAAAACACACACACACACACACACACACACACAAAGCCACATGCACACAAGCTGCGTGTAGATACTGTCCTCAGATCCCTGACCACCCACATCAGCAACGGTCATCGGTGAAATCAAAACTATGACTTTCCCTTGACCTCCTCCCTTAATGAATGTCTCATCTGCCAGAGGCGTTGGACATGTTGAGGCCAGTTTGACTTCATATTTGTGCTAAAATACGATCCCATTGATGGTAAATCCATTATTCCACAAGTGAAGGACAGACGCTCTCCCACCTTGATGCTCTATAAAGGAAGAGAACCTGCTTGGCTGGCAACAACCGGCTATTATAAAAGTGGTGATATTAAACTCTGCACTCTGAGAACCTTATTTGATGTTGGAGTGGCTTTGAAACCAGCAAATTAAAAGGTGTCATAAAAGCGTTTGCACTAAATTGCGGATAACCTGAGGGGAGGAAAATCCCCGCTGTGTATAACCAAGGTAAACAACTTTTGATTTGGAACTGCAGGTGACACACACACAACGCTCTTTTGGTGCATCTTTGAAAGTATAACTAAAGAAACAGAGATTAACAAAAAGGAATTCCCCACTGATGGAGAGCAGTGTCATTACAATAAATTAAACTAGTGGTTTAAATCATTTAAAGCTCGTCTGAGGAGTTTTCAGCTGGTTATGGAAGTGACGGAAATTACTATAGGCACCTCCGTAGGACTTACAGAACTGAGAAGACTAGTTCTATTAATATTGTTATTTATAATGTGTGTAAACACTGCTGCGGGGTAGATGTCAGACTAGACGATAAGCAGCACGCTGCCAAAACCGCCTTTTTTTTTTTTTTTTTCAAATATTGTCCACAGCAAAGCTTTGAGTGGGTGATATTTTTGTCTGTTAGAAGAAAGCAGGAGGATATTTTTTTGCAGAAAACACTACTGAGACATGTTTAGGACAAAATAAGCAGAACTGATTTGTCCACAGGGGGGCGCCAAAATCGACACAAACCAAAAGTTACTCACAGTAGGTTGATTAAAGAAACATTTTGATAACAAGACATTTTTGCCGGGTAGTGAAGAAATTTTGATTACTTTTTTTAAAATTGGAAATTAATATTACTTTTTGTAACTTGCCACAAAATACAACACTGGAAAATATAGTGAGTGGTATTTCTTGTTGCTGTACTTTTACTAGTGTGACTACATTGAGGTCTATTATGTTAAGTTTTCATACCACGTCAGATATACTACATTTATATATATATGCTATATTTAATTCTATTTTAATCATTCACACTGCTCTTTACATCTCACAACTCTTACAGTTATCTCATTAATTGTCCATTTAATTGGTCTCACTCTGCTTAACTTATCTCAAATTGTTCTCTATTTCCTTTAGGTTTTTCACCTTTTTACACATGAGGGTTGATCATTTTTGTCTTTAACTTTTCATGCTGCATGAGTGTGTTTGATATGACACAAACTTTATTTGAAATACCTGACCCTTCTGCAGTAATGAAATATAGAGCTTGTGTGACTGGGTTTAATACGGTAATCTGAAAGCAATGTGAAACCTTGTCAGTTAGTTCCCTCTAGTGGCTACTTTGAAAGTTACAGTGATAATTGCAGTAGTTCTCAAGCAGGACATAAGAACTTTGATGTGCTTAAATGATGACTACGTTTAAAAAAAAGTATCAAAATTATTGTCTTTAGGTGTATACATATCGAATTTATGCAGACTCTTCAACAGTCAGATAACGAGTGTTGAACAGAAGCAACCCCAAAACAGACTGTAGGAGGGTGATTTAAATATTGACATTAATTTGTAGATAAAATGTATGTGACAATAGAAAAACACTTTACAATGTTTTATTTTAATCTTTATTTAACCAAGAAAACCTCACTGAGATTAAAAATCCTGGATGAGACAGCTGACAAGGTTTCCTCATACAAATGTGAATATTATTTTAATTTAACACTCTTTATCAATCCCTGAGGGAAATTCTGGATTACTTTGGTTTACTATGGATGTTTTAAATGGGCTACATAATTCTTGTCTATTATTCAGGTTGTTGATTTTCTTTTCTGTCCACAAATTGTTAAACAAAGTGACTTAACAAGTATCATATAATATTAATGAGAATAATAATCATCATCATTGTAATAATAAACTGTATTTATAGCACTTTAATAAGGTCACAAAGTGCTCCACAAAGACATATAGAGATTTTAAATAAAGGCAAATAATACAGTAGAAAGACAGATAATACAAAATACAGGAGTTACAGGAGCAACAAAAACATATGATTTTTATTTGTCTTCATTAAGTTTTAAAAAGTTTTGGGACATCCAGCATTTAATGTCGCTGAAGCATGTAAGTGCACTGTCTAAACTGTTGTTATTATTGGCTCGGAGAGGAACATACAACTCAGTGTCATCTGCATAGGAATGATGGGAGATACCATAGTTCTGAATGATCCAGCTGAGTGGTAACATTTAAATGGAGAATAAGAAAGGACCAAGAATAGATCCTTGGGGAACACCTCAGTTAAAATTGAAACAGAAGATACGGTTCTATGAGAAATGTTAGGAGGTGTAAGCCATTGCCTTTAAGACCGACCCATGTTTCAAGGATTAAAACAGAACTTTCGCCACGCACTGAATGTCACATATACCCAATCAAACCCATTCACACACTGATGGTAGTGGTCGCTATGTAGTATCATTCATCAGAAGTAACTAATCCCCTTCATACACTTACACCGAAGCAGCAGGAGCAATGCAGGGTTAAGTGTCTTGCCCAAGGACACATCGGACATGTTGCCCAGCTGCAGATCAACCCTCGACCTTCTGGTTGAGAGACGACGACTCTACCAACTGAGCCACAGCACACAACATTAGCAGCATTAGCACACAACCTTCACCAGGGCTGTCTCATTACTGTGATGTGCTCTTAAAACCAGATTGAATTGATAATATGTTAGCTTTGAAATTAGTCTATAGTTGTTCAGAGATAAGGGATTCAGTACTTTGGTGAAGTCAACTTTTTCAGCGCTTTTTTCATAGTCAGACTAGACATGGATCATCTTGACTCAGGGTCACTGTGACCCCTCCTCTCCCTCCAAAACCACTTTTCATTTTCCCTGCACTATCCCTCATGGGAAGGGTCATTCATCACGGCCGCCTAAACAGCTCAGTCATCCTGTGATTAGTGACTTTTTCAGGTCAGACGTCTCTGCAGCTCACACTAATTCGGTGGTTCATCTGCTTCTGAACAGATGAGTAAATGTTTGTGCATGATTTAAACTCTGTACATCATCCTGTAAGCAGCAGGATATCAAACTTAAGTCTCCAGTGTGTTCTCATTTGTCAGAAACCACATAGAAGCTACTCAGTTCTCCTCCAGCGTTGACTGGTTTTGTGGCTATCAGGACAGTGACTGACACCTGAGGTCGTCTGCTGGTGAACTCATCTGATCAAATGTTTCCTCCATCTCAGAGGGGGAACGGAGCATACTAATGACAGTTACAGGTGTGTTTGTCTGTCTAACAACGTAGTGTGTGCGTGTGTGTGTGAACAAGATGGTCCATTCAGTTCAGCACATAAGGCCCTGACTCATAATTAGTCATTGGCCACAAAGATTTATGATTATGGTAAAGACTCAAACACACACAAGACCTCTCAGAATGTCTTCAGCCCAAGAACATCATTTTAATTTCAGTTTTAAAAGTCACAATTCATTAAAAAATGTATGTAAATGAAGTTTGAAAACTTTCACTAATGTATTCAAGTTACATGCCTGTCTAAAGTAATGATGGGAGCACCAACTTTTTGGTGTTTCTTTACAGCACAAGACAAAATAAGCCATTAAGTTAGTACAAACAAAATTAGAATACATAGAAATAAATCAAAATGGAAGGTAAAACTGATTACTAGTAGGGGCAAAATAAACTTTCCATACATTTATTTATTTTCAACTTTGGCCATGAAAACAAATCAGAGTTTGTCCAACAGGTGACTTCTAAAAAAACCCTCTTCTCTGAATCACCATCAGCTTGAGACATTGTTGCATGCCACGTTATTTGTCCGTTACTGATGTTCAAACAATACATCCAACATGTCGAGACATATAAAGTGATTTTAAGAAGTTTTTCCAACATAAAAGGCTTTGATCGTTGGTCATAGTGGAGGTCTGTGATTTCTAGTTTCCTTCGTTTACAAAAGCTGCCTGTGCTGCAGATTTGGCTGCTGTTTTCTGCTTAACATAGTCTTGGAGGCTGTGTAGCATAGACTCTGAACAGAGGACCTTAGGAGGAATGGACTGCAGCAACCACCCCTGTATGGACAAACACCCAAACACACACACACACACACACACACAAAACACACACAAAACACACACAGAGTCACACGGACAAATCATTCTCGTTATTCTGCATTATCCTGTGGTTGTAATTCTCACCAGAACCATGTGGCAGATGCTGCCGTGTGTCTTGTCTCCAGCTCTGATGTACTGCAGGGAGCTTTTCACAAATCCCTCGGGTGACAGCGTCACAAAGTTGATCTCTGCGTAAGCCGCCATTCGAGTGGAGACCCCAAATGGAGACACAGCCTGAGAAAAAGACAACAATACAGAGAAAAGTATGACAGGTAATAACATCTCAATCCCTGTTCTTATAATTTAATTTCATAATCTTTAGATGGATGATAAAAACTGTAGCCTACCTGTATAATAATCCCTTTATCTTTGTATTCAGCTTGCAGAGCTTGAGAGAATCTTTCCACAAACACCTAAAGAAATACATGTTATAACACAGTGATGATGTAACCATAAATAAGTGCACTGCAGGAGCTGTAGTTACCTTAGAAGCAGCATAGAGGGTGTACAGTGGAAATGGAACAGAAGCCACTCCAGAAGACATGTTCAAAATCACCCCTTTCCCCCTGCAGAGGCAGAAAAAAAGGTGGTTTTCCTTGTGTGACCAGAACTCAATGTTATCAGCATAATATTATTTTACACATATTACAAATTACATCTCAAGAAAACATGGGAGGGAAACCTGTTATCCATGCCTGGAAGGATTATTTTGCACATCTGGAGGAAAAAGATAAAAGTTTACACTGGAGGCAAATATAAGGCGTGACAGGGTTCTATGTTTTTGAAAAAAACAAAAAAATCTCAACACTGCCTATCAGTTTTTCTAACAGTGATGTTGTCTGCATCAGACCAACAGACAACTGTTAATTAAAATGTAAATAAGTGTTGTCTATTTGAACCCTGGTGAAGAACTGAGGACAGAAATGATGAACACTTTTTGTTCTTACTCAGCTATGAGACTTAATGGTTTGCATGAAATGTTGTGCAATTAAGGCATAGAGTTCATTTCTTCGAGAAAATATAAACTCTTACCTTGGCCACTGTTTTCACATTGCAGTTAATCAGCTTTGTTATTGTCTGAAAGAGAATTAAACATGGGTTCTTCATTGAAGGGAAAGGATATTTTCAGGGTTAGATAGAGTTTAAAGTTCACTTTCCATTGTGAAAGTCACATTTTGTCTGTGATCATGGCTTGAATGAGCAGACTTTATTTTAACTCATTGTATGGGTGTTAGACAGACTGGTCTAAGATCAGTAGTTAAAGGTTTACTGATGTTCTATGAAGCTGTTTTTTTTTTCATTAAGTTCAGTTGAGTTTGTGTATCTTATGCAAATGCATGATGATGCTACCCAGCATTGTATTATTGAATGTAAACATACACACACATACAGAATTAACACATGATTTATAGGGAGGGAGATGCATTCAATATATATGTTTAGTGCTCATGGACCATTTTGGTAAGGAGCATTGAATGTTGGCACATCTTTTGTTTGTTTCATAAAGATAACTCCACAGAGCATCTAAACTGCTGAAGCACCACTGACCTGGTCCAGCTCTGCAGACTCAAGGAATTTGCAGGGGATGACTCTGGGCAGCATGCCTACATTATTGACTAGGGTAAAAAAAAAAACAAAAAAAAAAAAAAAACAACCTGGTTAAAACTTTGTGGAGAAAAGAAGCAGATCTTGCATTTCTTTGTTAAAATCATTTTTATTGTATTTGGTGCAATTCATGACTTGCAATACACAACAATGTAAAAAGTCAAACCTAAAACGCCAATGTTGAGATCCCGAAGCTGATCCTCAATTTCCCCAAACACATTTTCCTTCATGAAGTCTGTTACTATCACTTTCACCTTCCTCCCAGTGGTGTCACCTATAAAGGATAAACATCTTGTGTCACAGATACACTTTATACAGTGTATATACCAGTTTGATGCATAGCCCAAACTGCATATTTGGCCATGTATTCACAGTTTTAAAGCAGACACAATATAAAAAAAGAGGAACAGGAAGCAGGTTTTACCTATTTTCTTGGCCACCTGGTCCAGTGTTGCTTTGGTTCTACTCATGATCACTACATTCATTCCTTGCTCGGCCAGCTGAGGGAGGCGAAAGTGCAGTTTGCAGAGACACAGCACACAAAAAGTTTTTTTTGTTTTTTTTACCTTTATGATGAACTGGGAAGGGCAGAACCTCAGTAAAAGTCAAATGACCAACAATTAATAGATTTGTGGCAGGAATAAAATCTACTAATTTCACTCATAGTTCAGTTTTGAAATTTACCTCAAATGCATACGCTCTTCCAATGCCTTCTGAAGCACCGGTCACCACTAAAACAGGATTGCATGGATTAGTGCAATGAATGATAATCATGAATGATGATTAGCTTATGCAGTTTCCAGTATAACAACTGTGAGTCAGAGCTTTGCTAACTCATATCTGATGTCAGACAAATCCCAGGATTGTGTTTGTTTTTGTTTACAGTACCAAACCCATCCTGTTACAGACTGTGCTAATGCAGCCTGTTCCCGAGCTCTGATAAAGAATTTGGTGAGATCAGACTAGGACTGCTTGTTTCTGGGTGCTCACTACTCTCCCATCTCCTCCTCATCCTGATCCTAACAAGCACAGAATCTTCCCTTCACTATTTCTAGACATAAAGTGTAGGACATCCATATCTAACTGCTGCTGATTCAGGAGGCTGATGAGAAAGGCCCTGGTTTGGGCTGTTAGCCTAGAAATAATCCCCATGAGTAATTTGAGACTTGTTTCTGCACTTAGGTAAGCAGCAGTTGAGTCTCTATTCATTCAATTTGTTCTTACGTCAATAAGCAAAACTAATGCTCCTCAAAGACATGCATAGTCTTTGTATTTCACCAAATTAGAACAGTGTCAGATGACACAGCTCTTAGCTCCAACACTTAGCCAAGGTTGACACATACTCCAGTGTAAAGTTGATTACATGCTATGTTCTGCTTCACAAGATTAAACCAGTGGTCTGTTTTTTTTGTCATGATGGACTTTTGTTTTTTTTTAACATAAACCTCTGAACAGCTGAAACATGACACTCAAAGACAATTATAATCTCTGCCACGCTGACCACAACTCACATTTTTGTGAAATGAGACACCTCCAAACTGGCAAACTAAATCAGCTGAGCAGTATGTTTTTGAACAGACTTGCCTTTAATTGTCGGTGTTCTCAAATAAAAAAGGTGTGTAAAATGATCTGTCTCTAATGTTTATGTCTCCACCCCTGTAAAGTGGTGTCACTTATTGTACTGACAACAACAACAACAACAACAAAATAGAAATCACTAGCATGGTCAGTCTAAAAATCAATGTATGCCGAGAAAAGGACAAATGTTAGAATGCAAATATAAAAACTGCTGAACGTTCATTGTTTTATTGAGTTAATGGAAACTGCTATTCTGTAAATAACACCAAATTGAAATGTTATATTTCATATACCCAATTCAAATTCAAATCACTTCCGTTCTACGATATGATAAGATATGTTATAATATGTTGCTTAACGATAACCTTCCAAAGCACACACTTTATCGTATACGATGTGATACGGTACGGTACGGCGGGGGCTCCAAAACTTTTCAGCTGGCGACCCCCAAAATAACGGTGCTAACAACTGGGGACCCCCATTGTCCCTGGAGGTGGTTAAAACATGAAATGCTGCGCACAGCCGGGCACACTATGAGGAGTATTTAGAACTAGGAGTATTTGGAGATTTCTCTTTTAGACAGATATCACTCTTTCCACAATCATCCCACTATACGGAAATAGATTTTCTTTCTGTGGGTAGAGACAATGTTTGAACTCTTTTCTAAGGGAATTCTTGTAATTCTTAAAATTTAAGAATCGGACCAAAAAATGTGTAAAGTAAAACTACGTGTTTGTGTTGTTTGTCCCCATCTGAGTTGCGAAGCATAATTTCCATTCAGCATTATGTAACGTTTATGATAGAGGATGCCAAGTCAAAAATTTTAACTCTCTCTCTCTATTTAAAAAAACATTGAATGTTGAAAACTCATTAGTAGTTATAGTTTCACATGTATTTCCTGACAGGACATCCCTTCTTTGATATTTCTATTATGTTTGGTTATATAATAATGGATTATATAAACAGCACCCACTACTTTTTTTAATTACTCATGCACCAATTGTTCTGAATGTTCTGACCTTTTTGTAACAAGTCTCAGTCACGGCTGTTGGATATTCATGCATACTTTAACCTCAGTTGACCTGCGCACCTGATACATTTCAGGCCTCTTCAAATAGAAAAAAAATAACTTTGGACAAAACACAATCCCATGCAGATTTCGTTACAGATTGTCAGGGTAGTCATTAATGCAAAGGGACAGGGATTCTGTAGACTGGAACATACTGTTCTGATGGCTATTTTCCCCCTGTACTAGAAAGGAATTAAAGTGGTATTTGGGAATAAAGGAAAGGTCAGCCCCAGTATTTTTTTTTTTTTTTATGGGGCTTCATTTAGCGCTGTGGGAGACTGAATAACCTCTTAAGAAGATGCCAAAGGATTTCTTGTAAGTGAATGAGGCTGCTCTGGAACCTGCACAGGAATGTTTTGCTGTGATCACTGTGACTTGGTTCAAGTGGAGAGCAAAGTTGAGAGTATCTTTCTAGCTGTGTTTGGATTCAAATGTACTTAATCAATTCTAAAGGACGGTAACACGTTTGATTGCTTGCACCAGTTTTTTAAGAAGAAGCATGTTCCTTACTGTCCTTATATCGCTCTTTCAATATGTCCTAAAGGCACTTGATCTGAAAATGTTTAAAGAAAGCAGGGCAGTTTTTCTGTCTTGTGTGTGAATGCAGAATCTGCATGCGAAGATCTGCAATGAAGAAGACATTGGGATAATCTCAGACAGTGTGGTATTCCAATTATCGCTGTGTTGTCATGTTGTGATTTTTATGGTTGGCAACATATCGTGCATTGTTTTGTGAGTTATCCTGTGATTCCATGCCTTAGTATTGTCCACTAGCATATCAGCCAGTTTTGGTTGTATGCAGAAAAAGATTTTGTGTGGTTTGCAACAGAGATGCTATCCTGACACTAGTCAGGTCATAGATGTTGTCTCCCGACTAAAACCCTTAGAACTGTTAACAATGAACAGAGAAGAGGAAGAAAGAAAGTCTTGGGCTGGCAAATCCCTTACAGTTAATCTTCATAATTTGAAGACCTAAAATATCAGCCAATGCTGCCATAGGCTATAAACTCATCCTGTGATAGCCGATGGGTTCTCTAAGCTGGTACATAACACTAGTAATCAACTTGATGAGTCAACCGAGGTTTTCCCGATGAAGCCATGAGCAAGTACTTATGAAAGTGCCAGTATTCTGCAGCATGTGACCAGTTTCAAGCATGAACACATAATGGTAGAAGACTGTCCAACTTATTTTTTAGAAATAGCAAACTATAATATTTGTAAAATATGAAGAAGTGAACCAAAATGGCATGCTAGTTTGTCAGCAACATCTGCACTTAATTAGTACCAGTCGTCTCTCGCACCAGTACCACCCATCTTCCACCACCATGATGCATTTGTAAATAATACCAGGAATTTTGCTCTATGACATTTACTGTGGTAAATGATTGAAGTTTTTCTCTTTATTGACTTGCATGGTTGGCCAAGTCAGTTACTACTAAACTTATGGTACCATGTTGCTAAACTATTGCAGAGGCTCCCAAAGTGGCATGCCTCATGTTGGTTTTAGATCTTGGTGCTGCTGATCGTTATCTCTGATAAGAATAAAATAACAAAGCTCAAGGAACAAGATAACTGATTGAACAGACCAGTGATGCTTGTAACACATTGACTGTTATTTCCTAGTTATGCATATCCTGGTCTGGAGCAGGTGAGGTCACAGCATAGTTAACTGTGAAGTTAAAGTTTAAAGAAGAAATCCCCAACATAAAAGAGAGAACCCAGGGTAAAGCCTGCAGTAACCTTGCTCACCCTACAATCCTATCCTGCTGTTCTGGCCTTTGTGTTTGTTTGTTGTGTTTGGACTGACCACCGGTAGAGTATGTGTCTGCCCTGTTTTCCAGTAAAAAAATGAAGCCTTCTCTTATCTGACTTTTTTCCTGCATCTGTCTCTGTGATGAAGCCTCTGCTCAGCCATACAGTAATTGTTGTTATCTTTCCCAAAAAGCAGTGAATACATAGCAGGTAATAAAACATTTTATGTCATATTTACAGTAATTTGGGCATTTATGTTAATTGTATAAAAACATTGACGACATCTCTCTTCTGCAAATGTCTATCTGCCTTAATGGTGTGAACAGATGGCTTCATAAGAAAGTTAGAACTTGCCAACGAAGGCACTAAGATTGAACAAGTTCATTCTCGTGTTAAAGCCAAGAGTAGAAACCCATCCAACTATACAACTGTATCTCATTTTCACATGCCAAGGCACATTCTGGTGAAGTACTTTGGTGCATATTATTGCACACATATTATGAAGTCTGATCCCTGTTGATTTGAGTCAGCACCATTTAGTAAATGTTGCACAATTTTAATTGTGTTTGTGTTAAAATGCATCCTGGCTGGATGTGATAGGACATGTTTGCAAAATTAACTTTTAATAGCAGATTTGTGCATTCATATGTAAGCCAGAGATATACATGAGTAATGTATTTTAATCATGACCATGATTATATTACCTATATATATAAATAAATCTACTGTTATTGTTAAGAAGAAATGTTGTACTTTTTTTAGGACTTTTTCAAAGTTGTTAGATGTCATAGTTGTTAAAATGCTATTTGTCGCATCCATCAGTCTTGGCATTTTCAAGCCATACTCTTTACTATACATACATTGCAGTACATGTAAGCCTCACAGTACTCACCTGCCCACTCTCCCATAGAACTGAAAAAGTTTTTTGGTTGTGGAAAAAACACTTTTGGAAAAAGCATCCTACTGAAAAGCAGCAATTTTACTCCATAGTAGACAATAACTGCAGTACCAAGAAAAATAAAAAACAATTCAATCAAATCCATCTTTGTTCAGGACAACAACAAACAGCAGCTGCTCGTCTCTCTGTGCTTGTGTCTGCTCTTCTTAGTTTGGGCATTCAGTAAAAAAAAAAAAAAAAAAGAATTACAGAATGAGGGTATAACTCTGCCAAAGGACACTCCCATTTTCAAGAACTGACACACAAACTTCAGAACACACTCAAAAACACACTCAAAAACACACACACACACACACACACACACACACACACACACACACACACACACACACACACACACACACGGTACATGTTATATCAAGTCATGAGGCTTTTTTGCTATGGGGGTCTTTCAAAACATTTCAAAAGTAATTTCTTGGAAAGCCAACTGTTCAGAGCTTAGGGGTTGACATTGTTTGCTACTTGTCTAGACTTTTACAATGTTAGCGCAAGAATTAAAACTTTCCAACACCCACAGTAATGAGTGATCCCTTGAGAGCGGTTGTTTGTTTTTGCTCCTGTTCCGCGCTTTAATTACATCTTTTATCTTCACCTTATCCATAAACAGATATCTGCATATGAATGCAAATTATGTCCAAATTAGAGCGTAGACGTCGTGTCTCCACTTCAACTCCAATCTTGAATCTCAAGTTGCTATTTGGATTGTAAGCAATGACCAGTACAGGGGAAAGGAAGTTTTGGCCCAGATATCCCTCATTGCTTATCTGACACTGGAAGCCGAGAAATTGGCCGTTGCCCCAAGCGGCTAAATTGTCGCCAGAATGATAGAGACTGACCTCAGAGCAGACAGTCACAATTCTGTAGAGAGGTTCCTCGAAGAAAAGGGTATCATCCATTCAATTTCGTCCTCCAATAGATGGTTCACTACGTACCAAGTTGATATCACATCATAGGAGCGACTGTTTTTTCTGTCACTGTTTTTTCTCCTTGTAGACAAAGCTAGGCTGTATGTTTTTGGTAACCTATTGGTAAAGAGAATTCATAAATAAGCGTTTCTAAATTCGGACAGTATTGAGTAATCCATTCAAACAAACCACCTCTGGGGAAATTGGGAAATTCTAAACAAACAACAACACGTGGACCGACCGATCCAAAATGGAGACGTATGGATAAACCACTTCTCAAACCTTTTTGGCCCCATAGAGCAGAACAAAGAACAAAAACACATACAAGATAAACTACAAAGTCTAGAGTCCATTATTAAAGACTATCGGAACCCCTTGGATTCTCCAATTACCCTTAAAGGCAGAATATGCAATTTTTTGATCCAGCAGATGTCGCCCTTGAGCACCAACATGAAACCAAAACAACTCGCACTGCATTGTTGTGTTAGCATGCTAATGCTCTTTATTATACTCGTATCTAAACACTGCATGTTAATTTATACAAAATGACCGTGATCTAGAAACGCTGACGTGACATTCAACTAAGAAGTGAGTACAGTATGTTATTCTTCTTTTCTCTACTCCCTCAATTAAACAACTTTTAAACGCAAGGTGATGAGCCGGCCGGCCGTCCCGGCGATGTAAACAAGCTATATATACGGCTCGGAAAGCTCGGAAAACATCACAGACAGTGGGACTCTGACATATTCTGCCTTTAAAGAACTACAGGACAAAATAAAGTCACTGGGAACTAAAAAGATTGTGGTTTTGATGGCATCCAAAACGAAACGATAAAGTTTACAGACCAAAATCCTCTGTATGATCGGAAGCACACACTTTGTTGGAGCCAATTTCTTTGTTGTGTTTTTTTGGGCTGAGCACTCGGTGGCACTGTGAACCCAGTGAACCAAACTTGATTTAAAGGATGCTGATTGGCAGCAGGTGTTGCACACAACCGGAGGTCAATGGTTTTTGACTGTGGCTCATCATGGCAAAATTAATGAGAGAACTTGTAGTTGAGATGTTCTTGATAAATCTTAATTTATGTAAATTATTTAATGCATTGGCATATCCAACATGAACATTTTTTTGTCAGAGTGATGATTCTACAATTCTACAATTCGCTTAGCAGACGCTTTTATCCAAAGCGACTTACATCAGAGAGTAAGTACAACACAAGCAAGGATCTAGAAAAAAGGGAACAATGTCAGTAAGAGCAAACGATCAGCTGTGAGTCCGGTTGGACTCACAGGTGCTGACAGGAAGTGACCAGAGGCAAAACACAACATTGACAGCAGTTCTTGAGAGCTCTAATCAGTATAGAAACCGTCTCATAAGTCGTCGTTATCAAACAAAAACCATCATCATCATCATCATCAATAATATCGAGACCATCATCATTAAGTCAGTAGGTATTCATGAAAGAGCTGGGTCTTTAGCTTTTTCTTAAAGGTGCAGAAGGACTCTGCAGATCGAATGGAGTTTGGAAGTTCATTCCACCACCGGGGGGCGACAGAGGAGAAGAGTCTAGTCAGAGACTTAGGACCCTGTTGTGAAGGTTGGATCAGACGCCTTTCATTAGCAGAGCGTAGCGGGCGGGAGGGAGTGTAGACCTGGATGAGAGAGTTAAAGTAAGGAGGAGACGTTTCTGTCGCTGTTTTGTAAGCGAGCAGCAGAGTTTTAAATTTGATGCGAGCAGTAACTGGGAGCCAGTGTGAGGAGATGAACAGCGGAGTGACATGTGCTCTTTTAGGAAGGTTGAAGACGAGTCGTGCTGCTGCATTTTGTATCATCTGCAGAGGTTTGATAGTGACTGTAGGAAGACCTGCCAGTGATGATGTTTGTTTATGTTTTTTTGGACTCACGCGTATCCGACCCGGTACAGAACAGTTTCCATATTCTCCAGGATGCAATCAAACACTCGACACAATTTAAGCTACAAACAAACAAACTACTTTCAATGTAGGTTTTATTTTTGATTTACTCCATAACTTCAGACAGAAGAAGAAGATACTACCATCAGGGGGAAACTCAATTTTACACTCTGTTATTTAGACATGCTACACACACACACACACACACACACACACACACACACACACACACACACACACACACACACACACACACACACACACACACACACACACACACACACACACACACACACACAGGCTGAAATACACACACACATGAACGAACAGGATCCCATGCAAAACATGAGTGAAACACACCACAGCTGCTGCAGTCCCTATTCACGCATGACGTCGGCTTTGAATTCACACACGTCATCAGTACGCGCCTCCAGTGTTGATCGCGCCATTCCTACAGGCGTGTGTTTTCCTCTCCCACTTACATTACCACTGACAGAGCCTCAGCAGCCGCTGCTACTGCGACGAGAGTCAGATTTTCTGCTCTAATACTCCCTAGGTGAGCCGAAGTTGTACATTACTTTTACACGTTTGAGGAAAACGTATGATAGAGAAAGTGTATTGTCGGTCTTACTGTTTAGTTTAGCTTCCCAGCTAACATGAAGCTAGCTTTGGCTTTTGGGGGACTGAACGTCTTCATATCGCCTTTTTTATTTAATTAACGAATAGGTGGTTGTTTTATTAATGTTCAGAATAACAAAAGAGGATATTCAGGTTACAAAAAGACCCAGGGTGCACTACGAAAACCAGTTTAATTTTAAATAATCTGCCCTCTTCTCACCTTTATTTTCACCATTTATTTTGTCTTGTGCTGTCACGACTTGAACCTAACACCTGACATTTATATGTCTTACCTTTTGACAGGATCCATAACGTTTACTGATGAAGTGACAAGGTCGTTCAGGCAGGTTTTTAAAGCTAACTTAGCTTCATGTGTTAGCAAGCTACTTGTTACATGATTTACATTTTTGCCTTGTCAGTGACAGTCAGTCAACAAGCAGAGGCTCCTCTTCACACACTGACACACAGTTTGTGACTGGAGAGACAGACTGATATTGAACGGTCTTGTATGCACTCTGTAAACAGATGTGGGCCTTGTACTGTATGTGACACTAAGAAGAGTAACTTGGCTGACTTGGTTGTTATTGTCCTGGTGTTCTGCATGCGGACTCACAAAGTCATCACTTCCTGCGTCAGCTGAGAAAACACGGATTGATTGATTGATTACATTTGTTTCATATCAAATAAAATCAAACATATCAAAAATACAAAACAAAATGAAAAGCACGAAAATACAATAAACAAAAAACAATGTTTAAATTATTTCACAAAAAAAGAAAATTACATATATTCAGTTGATCTTCCTGAAAAGGAGTATAAAACTTATTTAATCCTACCCCTTTTCCACAGCTCAATAATTAATATTTATTCAATTAAATTCCTGTGTTCCTTTATAATCTCTCTATATATACAATCTATCTATGTACAATTTGCTATACTATATTTATGATACTATATTTGATATTTACAATCCAATGATTTTCCATACATATATATACAACTTATATACAATATATACAATCCATATATTTATATCTATATATACATATCTATTTGTACAATTTGATGTACTATATTTACATTTTATATATTTATACAATCCTTATATCTATACAGTTTGGTACAGTATGTTTACAATTATACATTTGATACAATCTATATCTATATACAATTTGATATAGGCTACTCTATGTACAATTTACATATATATAATACCGATTAACATACACCTGTGTATACAAAACTTGTAAACCCTAATATAATTATTGTTATTGTTATTATATTTATTTTATTATTAATATTATCATTTATTATTCATTTTCCTTCTTAAAGCTCTCCCTCATCCCTCTACCTTTTGAAAATCATTGCTTTGTACATTTTTTTAAACTGGATCATGTTTGGACAATGCTTTAGCTCCGTGCTCAAACCATTCCACAGTTTCACACCACCAATTGCAATGCATTGACTTTTTAAAGTCGTGCGAACAGCTAGCATCTTAAAATTTAACTTTTCCCTCAAATTATAACCCCCCTCTCTGTCAAAAAGTTTGTTTCTTGCTTTGAACATGATTTGTGCCACTTGATAGTCAACCAGGTCAATGAACTTTATAGTACGGGAATCTTCTGGATGCATCTTCAGTGTTGTTGGTTAATATGTGCTTCAAATTAGGGCTGGGCGATATGGACCAAAACTCATATCTCGATATTGTTTAGCTGAATGGCGATACTCGATATATATGTATTTTATTAACAGTGAAAACACATGGAAAAATAAACTAACTGTTTGTGAATTTAAAAAGTAATATTATAAAATCAAAATGTTCCTTAAATACAATAAAAGAGAGAGAGAGGAGGAGCAGGGTTAGGAGGGACAGACAGACAGTCATCATCATTGAGATGAGAAAAAGGTGAACTGGCACTTCTGTAACGTTATTTTAATACAACATAAACTATATCGATATTAACGATATTGTCTTACCCTATATCTTGTTTGAAAATATATCGATATATCTTAAAAACTCGATATATTGCCCAGCCCTACTTCAAATGGTGTGTACAGATTTTCTGCCAATCGTTTCCAGATCTTTAACACAGACTGTCTACATTTTATATTCACATGGTAAGATCAGATTTGTGTGCATTTGGTATATCTACATTGGTTGATGTTTTAATGACAGAGGGGTCAGTAACAGGTGCGTGTGTGAGGCATCGTCTCGTGATGGTTTCCTGGCAAAGGGAGATCCATCTTAATGTTACCTTCCAAAAAAATGACACTGGCACGTTTGGGTCCATAAGTCAGAGGCTAGCTACATCAGACAGACTTGGAGGGAGAGAGAGAGAGGGGGAGAGAGAGAGAGGGAGAGAGAGAGAGGGAGGGAGGGAGGGAGGGAGGGAGAGAGAGAGAGAGAGATTTGCTAAAGCAGCTCTGTTGAACTTCTGACCTTAAAACAAAACAAAACAAAAACTTGATTGGAAAAGCTTTTTTAAATTACACGCAAATGTGTTTTTGATCAAATTTGAAAAGTACATTTATGCTTTTCAGACTGAAAAATCACTCAGGTAAAAATCTAGATGTGAGCTGGCACTCTGAGCAAGGTCAACTTATCTTCAGTAATATTTGCACGTGAGGGCACAGAATCAGTGGGCTTTTTTTTTACCTATGTCGGTTTAAGATGTGCAATACTGATGCAGCTTACACTGAGTACCTGTAGCTCACAAGTGAAGTAATGCACCGATGTATCGTTTGAGCATTGGCATCAACAGATACTTGCCCTGTTGACTGACATGTACTGTATTTATTTATTGAATACATTTCTGGCTTCGTTTTTATTAATTTCTAAATGTTTCTAGCTCTGGCTTCTCATTTGGCAACCTGTCTGCCTGCTGAATTGTTGTTACTCTGGCATGTGAATGTAATTGTCTAGTGACTGTGTCTGCTTCCTTTATATTGTCTTGGCTTCTTTGAATGACTGGGTAGGCTGTGAAACTGAATTGCCACTCTGGGTTGAATAAAGTCGTATGAATCGGAATCAGTAGTTGATGTTTATCTGTTGTGTTACATCAAGATAACAATGGCAAGTTTTTCATGGGTGCAACCCACATACTCGGCTCTGCTGCTTATCCCACAAATGCATGTTCCTTACAAATGTGGCACCCTTTTAGGATTTAGTGCCAAGAAATAAATAATCTACCAAACACAAATTTCCTTACTTTTTGTGCGATGTTTATATTGTTATTGAAACTAGCATATTGGGGGTTTCTCAAAGCTGAAACAAGTGTCAAGTGGTTTAAGTTTCTGCAACCAGGATATGATGTTTGTGACGGTCACTGCCTTAGTCAGGCTATAACTAATTGATTCTGTCCCCCTAGTTCTTGAGGAGTCGGATGGTCCATTCTGTGTTTGTTTGTGCTATGGTTGTGGGTGCGTTGTTCAAATAAATCATAGTTGCACGTGCGTGTGTGCGTGTGTGTGATGTACTTGCTGTCAGAAGGGATTTTATTTCCTCTGAGTGTTTCTTTAATGCACAGAAATTATTCCAAAGCAACATCCCACAAAGAACGAGTTGTCTGACCGCCACTCTAAGTATTAATTGCCTTCATTTTACACAGTCACAGTAGATACTACTTCATCTACGATAGCTCCCTATAATACAAACTAACTTTCACAGAGTCACTGGAGACTCAATGATTTGTTACTGAGTGAATTATTCATGCACTGATTATTAAAAGAATCGTTCTTTGGTATGTGACAATGGATTTATTTAACCAGGAGAACCTCATTGAGATTAAGAATCTCATTTGCTAGAATGTATGGCCAAAACAATGCCGCTGTGGAGATTGAAAACTCCATTTAAAGAAGCGCACAATGGATCATGGTGCTTTATATTATTTGGGCAGTAGATGGCAGCCTTGCACAATGTTTCCCCCTTTCAGACTCCTGCAGACACTGAGATAGGTGATTTAATATTGTAGCTGTTTTGTAAACAGAGCGTGTGATTTGATCTAAGTTTTTTTTATAACTGTAATCAATGCTTCCTTTGCATTCCTTACTGTTGTTTCATGACATAATTATTTAGAGTATTATATCACAGAGTATTACCTTGTACATTTTTCTAGCAGTTTTTCATCTGTGTCTGTCAGAGGAAATAGAATAAATGTTATATATGTTTTATTGTTGAGGAAGATAATAATAAATATATTTTTAGCAGGAGTTAGACTGTTTTTGACAAACTGATGTGGAAATGTTGAAATATCCCACATTGGACACTTAACAGATCTTAAATCTGGTCTATAAAAAAACCCCTCATTATTCTATCAGTATATTTTTGAGACACAGAGTCGACTGACTTGAGTTATTTCTTTTGGACCTGAGAAGCTGTATACAGTCTTAAAAATGTTGTAGTAAATTGAAAACTCTGCATGGTAAAGATGACTGCCGGTGTGAAGTTATTTAAATGACTGTTTTAGACAGTCATTTCAGCACTGCTTGATCTATAATAAATTTGGCAGAGAAAGAATAAAGGCTGACAAAAAGAAGTCAAATCCTTGTTCTGATTTTTTTTTTTCAGCTGTCATTTGCGGTGGTGAAAGTATTTGAAAGATTTTTTCCTAAACTAAGCAAGAACTTTTCACGACTCTAGTCTGTTTCTGCCCCCCCCCTCCTCTCTTCTCCCCCTTCAGATATATCCAGCCATGGATATAGACGGTGCCAGTTCCGTGGTGCTGCAGGCGTTAACCCAAGCCACCAGTCAGGAAACAGCTGTGCTGAAGCCTGCCGAGGAGCAGCTCCGACAGTGGGAGACCCAGCCAGGCTTCTACTCTGTCCTTCTGGTGAGGGACGATATCAAAACATGGAATAAATCTGCTTCCTTGAACACAATTTAAACCTATGAATGAAGATGCTAATTAATTTGATGTATTTTACAGAAAAGCAGTTGCATTTTGGCTAAATGCAAAATGCACTCTGGCTTTTTTTTGGTTCATTTTTATATATTTTTTTTAGAGATGGGACAGTGGATACAGTTGGAAATTGGGGAGGGAGAGAGAGTTGGGAAAAACATGCAGGAATGGAGCCAAAGGTCAGATTCGAACCATGACGCAAGCTTTGAGGACTATAGCCTCTGCACATGGAGCGGGCGCACTAACCACTAGGCGTCCAGGGCCCCTACACTCTGTTTTTTAAAGAACTTATTTCAAAACATGATAGGGGAGTGTTTTCAGGGAAGTCAGGTTTTAATAGGAGGGCTTTATGATCTTGTAATCTGAATAACAATAGCAGATAAAGAAGCTTTATGTTTTGTTCTAAAGTGACATTTCATCCTGGAAAATTTTGCACAGTAACTCTGAGCACAGATCACAAGATTTTGGGGGTAAGGAAATGGAGAAAGAGGGCGTTTGGTTTGTGTTAAAGGAATAATGAAATCTCGTTAAAAGTTGTTATAAGATTTATTAACAAATCTTTCAACGCCACGTTATTCAGAATGTAAATAAGGCTGGAGAGTCAGTGTCGGGTCATCTTCTTATCAGCGTATGTTCACCGTAAAGCCCATGTTGGTCCTTGAAGGATTACACAGACGTTGTGTTTGTTTACAGTGTCAGTCAGGCCTCAATGAGAAGATGGATTTTAGTTTCATCTCTACGAGCATTCAGAAGAAAAATTGGTCCTGGATGTGTTCTGCTAAGCTGAGCGCAAACACGTTTTCCATTCTACATGAAAATATGATTTTCTATATATTTTTTATGATAATTCGATTTTTGGAAAAGAGAGAAAACACGACGACACTTTTTAAGTCAGAGTTGATCAGAAAGGACATTCATCTAAGTAGAACCAAGCTGCCTGATTAGTCCCACTTCTGGGATCAAATCAATCAATCTTATGGTAGTTTTAATAATGTAGAATGCACAATATGGAGGAGTTTGTATACCTAAGACATGTCAAATAAATCACCAGCTCTGCCAGCTAGTTTTAATAATAGATGCAATAAAGTTTGGTGGCAGTGGGCAGGTTCTTCTTGAATGTATTTTGTTCTTGGTACTCTGCTCCCTTGAAATGGCACAGGGTTGTTTTATATCTGTATTAAAACAAATATAAAAACCTACTTTTAGCTCATGTCTCCCCCCTCCCCCCCAAACTTGATAAAAAATTCAGAAGCCAAGAGTCCAATCACTTGATATTACTGTGCTGTTCTCTGGGGAGCTCCTGCCTTTGCTTTGAATAGGAGAATGACTTTGAGAACACTTTGAAAGTACTCAAACTGATTTCTTTTTAGAGGTATGACTGACTTTTATAGCTCAGAAATGCTGCACTTATGAAAGAAATAGAGAAATAACAAATGAGTGTGTACAGCCTTGAATACAAAGTGAGTGTGTTTTAATGTAGCTGCAGCTGGAAGTGTTGCTTAACAGCATCAAAGAGCTGCATCATCATCCTTGCTTTAATTGAAAATAGAAAAAGAGGTAACATATTAAATGTTGAAACGAGTGTTTTGCTGCATTGTTTTTTTGGTAACTGAGCGGACCCCCGAGTGTAATTTTTTTAAGTCGCCCAATAAAGACTCAAAAATGTTCAATAGGTGATATTTAAGTTGGGACTGCAGTTTAGCACCCAGATGATTTCTTTTTTTAAAGTTTTAATTTTTTTGGCCTTTTCGCCTTTACTGGATAGGACAGCCGAAGAGAGACAGAAAATGTTGAGGAGAGAGTGGGGGATGTCATGCAGCAAAGGGCCCAAGGTCGGATTCGAACCCACAGCCGCTGTGCAACATACCACTAGGCTATCCGGCACCTCCCGCGCCCGGACTCTTTTACTACGGCTCCATGCTGTTGTTCTAATATGTGGTCAATGTGTTTTTGGCATTGTCTTGCTGAAACAATCAAGGCCTTCATTGAAAATATCTTCTCTATTGGTTATCATGTGTTGCTCCAAAGCCTTTTTCTATGATTCAGTATTAATGGTGCCTTCACAAATGTGCAGGTAACCCATGCCAAGTGCACTAATGCCCCCCCCACACATACCGTCATGATGCTGGCTTTTGAACTGTGTGCTGGTTGTGGTTACATGCCAGTGAATATGCTAGATGACAAATTTAAAATGGGCATATAATCTTCAGCAAACAATGGCATTTCTCGGTCTCTACATTTGATATTTTGTCTTTGAGCTATTCTCAATTAAATATGGAGTTTACAAATCTTAGCGTTCTGTTTTTATTTACATTTTTCACAACGTCCCAACTTTCCCTGGTCCTTTAATCACCTGGTATAATACATTTGAGATGAGGAAAAAAACAATGTTAACTAAGCATTTCTTTTTGTTCTACCCCTCCATAGAATATCTTCAATAACCACATGCTGGATGTGAACGTCAGGTGGCTGGCTGTGCTCTACTTCAAAAACGGCATTGACAGATACTGGAGGAGAGTAGCGCCTCAGTAAGTGCCTTCTTGCGTCTTCTTGTTCACCATTGCTGTCAGCCTTATCCTCAGCCTATTCCATCGAAGGCGTTTTCTCCTTCTCCTCCTCTCTTCCACTGTTTGTCTTTATTCTCCTCTTCATTGTCTTATTCACTCCTACTGTCTCTATTCATGAGTCTTCATCTCTGCCTCTCTTTCGGCCTTGTCATTCTCCTCAGATCTCTCTTTTTTTTCCTCTCTCACAGATTAGTAGTTGCATGTTTCTGCCTTCTCGTCCATCCTCATTGCCTTCATTCTTTCCCCAATTGTCTTTCCTTTCACCACTTTACAGCTTACGTCTGTAGTTCCCGCTTCCTCCATCACTTTTCACAGCGTTCCCGTTTCTCCTCTTTTACCTCTCATACTCATTTTTTTCAAACCATTGTGCTCTGATTTTGTACTCAGTTTATTCTTTTGTGTCCCGTTTGTCTGGTGGTTGATCCGCTTTGGCTATTCAAAGCCTTTGGTCTTTCTTTGGGTGGCTAGCTGGCTTTTGTTGGATCTGAACTGAACATTTGCTCTTAAACTTGCAGGACAGCAGTTGGCCCGAGGTAATAAGTTCTGCTCAGCCGCTCTTTGAACAATTCACAATTTGGCTTTTCTGTTCTCTCTTTCTGAAGTTTTCCTCTCTTACTGGAGTCGTTTCTGTCTCTTCAGTGGTTCAGTAAACTATTTGCTAGAGCGCTGAACAGTGCTGTTTATTTGATTACTTTTGGACCGTGAATAAAAATTATAATTATTTTTTTTTTATTCAGCAATTACTTTTATAAGTGTATGAATCACAACATGATGGCACATATCTCCATTTTGACCTTAGAGCTCCTGGGAGGAGTTTTAGCCGGTTATAAACTATCTGAACTTAGTAATGTTGTCTCAGTATGATAGCTGTAGACTGACAGGACAGAGGGATGAGAGAGCGGGTGACCAAATAGCATCAGGATCGTTGAACCTGCTATCAGACGAGCACAGTAGCCTCATGGGGCGCCTCCTCTACCAACTGAGCTAAATCGACACTCCGAGATATTTAAGTTTAATGGAGCCATCATGAACGTTATTAGTTGCACCTGTCTTTTTTTTTTGTGTGTGGCAAGTCAGAAGGGCGGCTGTGAACAAAAAGGTCAATTGCTTTTTCCTAACTTCCAAAAAGTCCATGTAATTAATGCCGTCCAGGACTCTGTCCAGGCCAATCCATTTCTGTGTAATGCTTTATGTAAATCATGCACAAACTACAATAAAGCATATTCAGGATCTAATAAAAACCAGTATTGGGAAGTATAAGAAATATGGGTTATATGTGCTGACCCTAGAAATACATACCTCACTTTATGTATTCTGTGAAGCGTTACCTTGACTCTTTTTAAAGCAGGAACAGAACCAACCTATCAGGTTTGGAGGTTGATCTCATGTCTGGTCTGTTTTCATTGCCCTATGATCTCTGCAAACCTCTAACTGTGTACTCCAGGGTCATTTCAATTTTTCAATCACCAAAAATTGCAAACAGAAAACTTTGTGCATGCATGTTGATTTCTTTACCTTATTAAATGCTTGATGCATGTAAAGGCCAGTTATTATCAGATCACCGTTTACAAAGAGATGCTAAATAAAGTGAAGTCAGAATCCCCAATCAGAAGGATTTTAATTGGCCTGAAGAAATGTCTCTCATGTAAATATAGCTATCGATGACATAGCAATAAAACAGAGTAATGGATGATTAGAAGGTTTTGTCCAGATAAAGCCAGACGCTTTGCTTTTGTCACTCGGTAGTGGGGTATTTTTGGTAGGACGTATTCCAACCAGTTTTTGGTATGGGTGCATTAACTTTCACCTCAGAAAAGTAAGGTACTTTGCATTTTGCCAGGTTAGGAATACATTATTCATACTGACATTTTTGAAAGTCACAGATGAAGTCATAAAAAAGAACTAAAAAAATGTCTGAACCTCGGCAGTTTCTGTCTGCAGTCAGACTTAAAGGGAACACTCCTGGTCTTGGGTTTTTTGAGGTGATATTTATAATAATAATCATAACTTTATTCATATAGCTCCTTTAAAAACACGAGTTTACAAAGGGCTTTGACGTACAGCAAAAGCATAAAAAAATCAAAGCAAACGAAAAGAACAGCAAAGAACATAAACCACAACAAGAACATTGACGACGCAGAAAAAAAAAATCGACATAACCGCAAAAGAACCCATACAGCAAGATACCCAACAAACATATTTAATAGACCCAACCATCATAAGACCCAACTTAAGACCCATAATAAAAACCATCACAAGACCCTTTATAAGACACATCATAAAGCTATCGTAAGAACCTGAACATACATTCATGTTTGTTATGATCTTTGTAGATATAATATCTTGGGGACAGTTTGGGAGAATACTTTTATTTGTACTCGAGGATGAACTTTTTTGGGGGTTGAGGTCAAGGTCACCTTGATCTTTAAAAAAAAAAAGAAAAAAGGAATAGTTCCCAAATGTCTGATGCACTAAAATGTTGAAGTGATGACATATTTAAACAAAAGGTCAACTCTAATGTTACATCAAAATGTCCTAAAGAAACACTTTCCTGGCAGCTTTTCAGTCCCATTCTTCAAATGGTAGATACCTTAGCTACTTTTTGTAACATTAAAGTGTTTTTTAACAAAACCTTTTGTCTGTTTTGAACTGTTGACAGAAGCTTATGCACTAAATCCTTTAGTGATAAAAAGATTTAGATGCATTGCAATGGATTAAAATGAACTATTATGCTGTGCATTTGCATTTGAACTTAAAAGAAAGTATCCATACTAAAATAACGTTGTGGCTCATCTGACATTAGATGGCAGCCAAAAAAAGATTAAGGGTTTTTATTTTCCCTCTTGTGTTACAACAGCTTAATATTCATACTTTCTTTCCCCTGTCATCAGATTTTCTGGCTCTTTTAGCTTACAAATGCGATTCATGTCTCAGGCTTACTCTAACTGAATATATCTTTTAATCTGTCGTCTATATTTCTTTAAAGCTTAGTGCTCTGTCAGAGTCTCAAAAATATGTGTGTTGTAAATCTTGTTTCACTAATTCACAATCTCCCTCCCAGTAATTTGTCTTCCGCCCATATCTCTTCCCTCTCTGCCCAAGGTCACAGCCTGATTTATTCCTTACATCAAACACTCTCCCACCCCATCTAGCCTCAGTAGCATTTGAAGTAGCAAGAGCAGGTTACATAGGCTATTATTTATCTATTGTTAAAGATACTGGCCGTCACTGTTTTGCACACATGCTTTTCTGGCTGCAAAAACGTACACATGTTGAGCACTGCAAGATGTGAGCTGGGGGGGAAGGCAGAGAGTTTATCCAAAGCTTATTGATTACATTTAGGGAAGCTGGCAGGTCCTGCACTCTGCTGTGTTGTACAGGGATTTAAATGGTCCCATAAAAACTTGGCAGATTGATGCCACATTCAGATCTTAACCATATTAAAGTTTTAGGGGTTGTTGTTCAGAATTTGAAATTAAATTATGAGGAGTCTCTTAGGGTATGAGCTGCATTCAGCAGTGCCAGAGCGACTGGCACTGATGAGGCTGATGGCTCAGCAGCACTGTCACCTTGCTGTATTGTCATTGGTTCAAGAAGTGTCTGTTCCTTTATCTTTTTACTTAGTTAAGAACTTGCAATATGATGTTTTTCTTCGTGTTGTTCTTCCTTGTGGGAATACAAATCTGAAATTGAAAAGAAAATGCTCAAATTGGCAAATGTTAACTGGCTTATAAAATACTGCATCAATATTTTCAAATATCCTCTGGTAAAAACAGTTATTGAGAAATATTTCATTTTCCCCCAAATATCTGTGGACTCTTTTTGACTATTTTTTTTTTGGGTGTGAATTATTCCCTGTGGCATGTCACTTAATGACAGTTTGGTTGTAAAGACAATCAAACCAGGAACCAGACAGGAGCACCTGTCCACAACAGGTCCGGAGGGGACGGTCACATGTTGTGTGTTTTTGTCCATTAATGAAATATATCAACAAGCAAAATGTCCAGTGGTCGAAAAAAAATGCGAAGGACTGTTTCTCTGAAGTACATCCACATTTTAACGGACAGATGAGCTTCACAATTATTATATTTGTTTTCAACTGAGCTGTGCCACATTTACTGCTCAGTTACAAAAAAAATATAACGGCCCGGCCGATGTGGAATTTTTGGAGCCGATACCGTCATTATCGGCTGGCTGATTTACCCTTCTTATACACATAGTGGTTCTCTGCTGCTATGCAATGGATAAACCCTCCTCACTTAAATAAGTAACCCACATGTTACTCTTGCTCCTCTTAAAAGATTTTGTTGCTTCTTTTAATCATCTTTCTGGTTGTTGTTTTTTTTTTTTACAGTGCTTTATCAGAAGAGGAGAAGACATCACTGCGTGCTGGACTTATCACAAACTTCAACGAGCCTGTGAATCAGGTGAGTTTACAAAGACACTGCAATGAAGTTTATTAAAGAGAAAACGACAAACTACTGTATACCTTACAAACAAATCCCAAACGTTGCCACCCCCCCCCACCCTAAAAAAATTGGTTAAAGCAATAACTGAAAGTGTCTGTAAAACAAAGATAGAAAGTTAAAAATTTAAGACCAGAATTGTGCAAATATTGAAGCTAACTTTGAGGTCCATAAATCTTAATGTGTAACAGATCATTTTTACATGATGCATGTTTAAGAAATATTCGGAGGGAAGAGAACATTGTGTCATGACGTTGTGAAATTCAGTTGTACTGTGTGAATTCACACCAACCAATAATACTCCATTACAGATGCACTGTGCGAGTTCACAGGAGTAATGACAGCAGGTGTTTGTTATGTCGCTGTTGAAAAACCTCAATCTCTAAAGGGTTATGACTTTCTTCATTGGCAATTCTTTTCACAGTTCAAAGGAGAACGATGCAGCAAATAAATATTACAAGATTCAAGCTATATGGAGAAAGGGTGGGACAATATAATGCTATGGCAGTGTGTTGTCCTCCTGTCTCTGGTAATACAATTATCAAATCACACGTGTCAATATTGATAACTCAATAAATAATATGTCGGTCTGAACGGATTGCCCTTGACTCACTACGTTACTCGTTCATGTCTCCTCGTGGTGGCTCTTATGACATGAATGAGGGTAACTTAAACAGAAGATCCTCGGCCAAAGAAAAAGCTGACGGCAGACATCAAGACTTATCATTATAAACTTGCAATATTTCGATTATAGCAGAACTGATGTATGATGTAATTATTAGTTTCCTGGGCCACGTATCGCGTATCACATCCTATCCTGACGTGTTATATCATATCGTGAGTTACCCTGCGTTTCCCAACCCCTTATATGGAGTCCATTTGGCTTAGGAGACAGTGAAGATGGCCTTGACTGTTGGCCCTACATCCTGTATCCTGCAGCTTTTACATCTACAGTAACAGTGTGAGAGAGTGCCCTCCAACATATGGGCCCTATCAGGACTGATGGGGTCCATATGGCAAGCAATAAGGGCCATTTAAACCCCATATGTCTCACCAGTCTAAGCCCGTCTTTGGCAAATCAAATCTCTAGATAGGCTTGTGCATGTCTACAAGTGTGGTCGTGCCTTCGTGATTTTGACTATTAACATTTTTTCAAGTTTCTGAAATGTAACTTTTGTAAGCTCCCCTGACTTCTTCTCTTCTGACTTATTGATACCTGCACATGAAAGTTGCATTGACGGATTATTAATGTTGTAGTTAAATTAGAATAATAAAGTTAACTGAAGCATGCACTCTGTAGACTATGCCATACATTCTCGTTTTTATAGTCTCTGACTGTTTTTGATCCCAATCATTGTTTTATAGCTACCATCAGTTAAAGTGAGCAATGTGCCACCCCGGCAGATTTCAGCTGCCATGGGGTACAAACATGAATTTGTGATTTAGAAATCAGACTGCCATTACAGAATGTCATTAAACATATGGTACTGTTATACAAACAGCCCTTTTAGTGTCATCTTCAAATGAAGTGTGAGATTTCCAGGGTAACAACAGAGCCAGCAGCTTTGTCTACAGTCGACGGATCGTGTACAGAAACGAATCGAATCAAAAACTTCTACGTTTATAACGATACAAATCAACATCACTGCAAACTTTTAACTTCCAAAATGACAAAAAAATTGACTCCTCCACAAAACATTCGAATAAAAAAAAAAACTGGATGTCATGTAAGTTGCAAATGAAAGCTGGGCAGGATTAGTTTTGGCTGTGTATACATAAAGTGGAAACTGTATGAGCGCATCTGTCGTTTGCACCAGACAATAGATCTCTGAAAGTTAATAGAAATAACCTACATCTTCCATTTTCAACAGCGCTTTATATTTATGATAGAAGTGTGTTTTTAGCAGGATGTATGACCCAACAGCTTTTCAATTAGGTGTACAAGGTGTCGGGTAGAAATCCTCAGATAAAGGTGATGTTCAAACAGTACCATGATCTTCAATTATTCAGTGCTCATTAACTGCTGGGTCATAAAGTGTCCTTATCAGACAGGACGTGAGACCTTTCCATTCATGTTGAATGATTAAGTGTCAGATCCTTTTGGCCAATGTCAAAGAAAAGGTCAGATTTAAATGTTAATTGTTCAGCAAGAACACATTCTATAGTGTCAAGAAATATAATGACAAGTGAAGCCATCACAAGGTCGTACGCCTCACATTTTAGAGACAGCGAAGCCCTGACACTAAAAGCTTGTTTACGAGTGTGATGTAACACACATCTCTCTAATGGTAGATAGATTTAGGAAAGTATGTTTCCCATAGGGGTGGGAGAAAATATTGATATGATAATATATTGTCATCCTGTGAAGTGAAAACATGGATCCTGAAAAACCAATCATATTGATTGACACATGTTTGTTATCCTTTTTCGTTGTCATGACTTCTTTATATGGAAGACAATTTTGTGTGTGTGTGTGTGTGTGTGTGTGGTACATATGGCAGTATGCTCTTAGTGGGTGTGGAGGGAGGGTGGTAGGTTTTAGGTCAGGGAATGTGGCCATGATGTTATCTGGTTTGTGTGTCTACCTGCCCAGGGACTGCAGATAGAATCTAGCCAATCAGCTAAATCTGGTGCAATGCATCTCCTCTCATTAATTGAGATTAATACATATTTTCTGAATGATCCCTGACAAACTAACCAAAAATCTAAACTGAACTGTGTGATTTAAGTATCGATCAATGTTTCCAAATGAATGAATGAAACCTTTATTGCCCCTTGGGGAATTTGCCTTGCACAGAGAGCATAAAACACTATACAAACAAACATTTACAAGACAGCACATAAAACACACGAAAAACCCATCACATGATTAAATGAGGGACTTCAGCAAGTTAAATAAAGTGCAGAGTGCCAAGTTTGTCCTGTATAATCAGCTCTAATTAAGCAGCTGAGTACTGCGCAGTACAAACGATGTAATGCCTCTTTTAGTCCTCATATCGATACTTTAGAGATAAGTGAACATACTTTTTTTGCCAATTTGACTCACCGGTTCGCTTCTTCATGACTTTTCAAAGTGTTGCTTATGACATGAATAAAGGTTGTGAGAGAGGGGATGATGTTATACAGTAGTGGTTGGGCCCTGCTGCATTTCCCATTCCTAATTTTCTATGCTATTTGCTGTATGATAATTTTATCATGTCATAATAACTATAAAGAATCTTAATTTCTCATGGTCCAAAGTACTGATTTGATATCATATCTTGAGACATTGCATTATATGTTGCTGTAATCCAGAATGTTCATTCGATGTAACCACCTTTTGCTGTATTTATTCTTTGCCTCTGGACGTTTTTATTTCCTCTCTGTGTTCTTTCGACAGATAGCGACCCAGATTGCAGTACTGATAGCCAAGGTGGCCCGTCTGGACTGCCCCAGGCAATGGCCGGAGCTCATTCCTATTCTGCTCGAGTCCGTGAAGGGTCAGGATGGCCTGCAGCAGCACCGAGCGCTGCTAACCTTCTATCATGTCACCAAAACCCTGGCGTCCAAACGTCTGGCTCAGGACAGGAGGCTTTTCCAGGATGTGAGTTCAAAGTTTGAGCTATTTTATGAGTTGTTTTCTCACCACTCTCATCTTATTATAATACCTTACTTTTCCTGATCTTACATTATGACATCATGTATAAGTCTATATTTTCTTCTCTTCCTTTATGTGCTCATCACTTGATGCAGCAGCTGTACAAATCTTGAATAAAAGGTGGATTCATTCTCAACAAAGGGGAATAGGAAAACCTGAACATCCTCTAGGGCCTTCACCTCTTTTTTTGTTTAAACTTGTATTCTTCACTCGGAAATATTCCCTTTTCTCGTCTGTTTCCTTTTTTGTGACATTTGATCATAAATAGCTGACTAGTATGATGATCTCAAGTGTAGGTTCTTTTCAGTTTCACATTTTGCCTGAAGGAGATGCTGTTTACCTGCCGTATGAGGGAGACATGTCGAATACAAAATGAATGGCAGCCAGATTTACTGTGCATGCCCGTGGCTCTGTTTTCATGCATGACCCGTGCGAGATTGACGTGTTTTGGAATAGATTTGTCTACGTTTCTAGCTGTTTGTTGAAGAGATTGTTTTTGGGTGAAGGCTGTATGTGTGAGGCAACTTTCAAAAATGCAGTGAAGCTCAGAAAATTGCCTTTTTTTGCCATCCCTGGTTTTTAAGAACATTTATGATATAAGAAGGAAGACCGTCTTTTTTGTTTAAGCGTTTCCCATAAAATGACATGTATAACTGTATACACCTGGTCTCTTTTTTCCCCCTCACGCTGGCTTGCCCTGCGTCTCTCCGTGTATGCCTGATGCACAGAGATAGATAAAAAGCCAAATATACTTTGGCTTTGGTTCATATAGCTGGGAAACACTGGGCTGATAAAATGATTAAACGGACCCACAAAGAAAGACAGAGCAGAGGAAATCAGAGGCACGGACTGAGATCAAATAGCTGGACTTTATGCAAAGGTATTCTCTGTGCCTAAAAATGTGCCCATAGGCAATATGAGGAACAAAGGCAGCCTGAGCCCCACTTATCAGTAGATTTTTTTTTTTTTTTTTTTTTAAATGAATCACTTATGACTTTGATTCTAAATGGTCCATGCACAGCATCTTCTCCCTTGTCATGACATAACTGGCTTTGGTAGCCAATGTGTGTGCTCACACCACACACAGTGAAGAAATGACACAACAAAATACAATGGTAGCACTGTTCAGTTCTGCTCCAGGTGCACTTTTTTTAATATATATATATAAAGCTTAAAGGTCACATATTATGAAAAATACACTTTACCATGTTTTTCTAACACTGATATGTGTCCGTAGCCTTTCTACAAACCCCCCAACTATGAGAAAAGTCCATCCTCTCCGTCTTTTGCTCGCTCCACTTTTCAGAAAATGTGTGCTAAAACTGGCCGTTTGAAGATTTTCCCTTTGTGACACCGCAAAGGGCAGTAACCCCTCCCCCAGCTGGGTGACACTCCCACAGCTAGCTGTTAGTTCTGTCCTCTGAGTCTGCCTTCTCACTGTTAACAATAGGGCATGGAGCAAGAAAGCCTGAGTCACCCGAGCCCTTCCAGAGGTGCATGGTTGAAACCAGCTCACTTGCGTTTAAAGCTACAGACACAGAAACAGCCTGTTCTGAGCAGGGCTCTTAAACTTTTCTTTTATCTCATGGTATGGTAACCTTTCACTGCACAACAAGAATCGTCTTTCCAGTATCTTTCAAACAGTCAGTAAAACAATTGGCACACAGCAGCTTTCCTTATCAGATATCGGGAACAGACAAATTGTGAGGAAAACAAAGTCCATCTTGTCCAGTTCTGAACAATCCTCTCTGGGAGGAATTTGTTCTTCTCCCCTCTGTTGGGGAGGTACAGGCTGCCCAGGGCCAAGAGCAACAGATAAAACTTCTGTATTTTCCTCATGCCATTCATACACTAAATCATCCTTAAACCATGACTGCACTTTAAAGCAGCACTGAAGCACTTTATTTATATTGCTATTATTCCAGTGAAAATTTTAACTGCTGGGGACTATTTTTAATTTTCTTGGTTGTATTCTTAAGGTTGTGTTGCGCTTTCCTATATCTTTTTATCTGTTGTGTTTTTATGTCCACTGCTGTAAATCAAATTTCCATTCCAGGGACAATAAACAAACCAAACAGCGGAGTTTGGTTTGTCAATTAAATTTAAAATAAAGTGTTCTTAGAAATATGTTCAAAATGTTGCAAGAACCGGAAGAAGGGACTGACAAAACTGCTTTTGTAAAAAAATAAAAATCACGGTGAGTTTTACTTAGTCACTGGTGTTCCTGACATTTATCCAGAGTCTGCATCGTCATTTAGGTACCTCCTCTAGTCTACTCTCACTCTTTTACCCTCTTATGTTTACACTTTTACTCTCTCACTCGATTTAGTACGAACATAATGTTTGCATAAGTGCTTTGGATGTGTGAGTGTGAGTGGGGGTGTTGGAGTGTGTCTACTCCTTCCTGATGACTATGTGCACTTCTCTTATCCTTCAAACCAACCAAAACAACAACCGGGTGTGACAGCATCATTAGAGTTTATGTCTTTGCTTATCGAAAGGACAGGATGTTGCAGGTGTGGGCTCAACTCTTTTCACCAGACTCATCTTACCAGATAGACGTAGGAAACCGGGAAGAGGAGGGGCGATAAAGTGGCAGATGGTGGGTGTGTAGATGAAGGGATTAAAGTGAGGTAGAGTTTCTGATGACAGAAAGAGGGATCACGCCATCCTGTAGCTTTGTTCATTGCGTGTTTTGGACAATTTTCACCAGCAGTATGATGCTGAAGTACATTACTCGCCTTTTGAAGTGTTTCTCTTCGTACTCCGTGTTCACATCAACGGGATCCACGCATATGACGTGCATCAAAACGAACACCGAAGCTGCAGAAAAATATGAAGGAAAAAAAAAAAAACACATCGGAAGCCACAGTTTTAAAATGAGACATAGTACCATAATCGTTGCATTTACTGGAGAGATGTCGACAGTGGACTTATCGTTTTCTATTTTTCTCTCTCTCGCTCTCACGTTCAGGGATTTTATTGATAAACCGAAAAGGTCGGGAAATATACCTGGGCGTCCATAAATATACCCGGACGCCCGCCACTACTAATTGTCAGTACTAGAGAAGAAATTAGATACGCTATTATTGATGAATAAACTCATTGCCACCAAACCGGATTCTTTCCTGTTCTCAGGCTTACAGTTTAACTGTGGTTTGCTTAGCGGCAGCATGTTAGACAGGATGACAGATTTCATGTAACTCAGGGGTATCCGTATCAATGTGGATCACAGCACAGGAGCGTCAACCTTGATCCCAACAGGCTGCCTGATATAATTTGCTATCGTTCACCCAGGATATCATATATACTGTATACTCTCCTGTGTTTCATGGCTCAGCGACTCACATTTTTCAGGTGCCATACTTTACAAGAACAGTATAAATACGTTCACAGACGGACACAAGCAGTTACCATATTTACTGATAAATTCTGTCAATCATGTTTATTTGTTATATTATCTTTTATTTATTATATAATATAGTTATACTATTCTCTTAACACAGAAGTTATATTTATTAATCTTTAAAGCAGATCTCAAATCGATTTTCATTAGCTATCCCCACTTCCATATAAAATACATGGCCTTCAAAAGATTGAATTTCGTCACATAAACAGAGATCTTTTCGTTATCAGCATCAGGTTGATTTTCAAGTAAGTTTACAAATATAAGGGATCTGACTTGGTATAGTGAAAGAAAAAAAATCATGGATAACTCTCTTGGATCTATGTTCAATCTGTAGAGATATATAGATATACACATTTATTGCGTTGATCCCGCAAATTAATTTATCAAATACTTGTGGAAAAGATATATAAGGAAGACAAGATGGTCACTTGAAAGTCAAAACTTGTCAAATGTTTTCAAAAGGAATGTAAAGCAAGCTTGAAGAACATTGGCACAGCATTTTCCCAGAGTAAATCCTGTATTCGTTTTGGAAAGGGGGCCATAAAGACGCAGCATTGTTGTAAAGACCTTGTGCATGTTGAGGTTGTTTGCTTTTTGTGACTCTCAAAGTTTCATTAGTGTAGAGATATTATATGGCACAGGTGAAAACCAACTTCTGGATTTGTGCTGTTCAACAGAAGTAGAGGAGCTGAAGCCCACAGAATGGGTCATGTACAGATTGTCTGCACGAATAAACTTCACTTTTTGCACTCTTTATCAAATGAAGATAATGTTTGCTTTTCTTGGAATTTGCCACCCTGTTGTCACACACACACATACACACACACCCTAAGTCACCACATGGATAAGAAAAATAATTGATTCTAAGAGTCATTAGAATTTCCCTCTTGAATAATTCACAAAAGCCATTAGCTGGAAGTCATGTGTTTCCCTGTTCACTTTGGCCAGCTACATTACTCACGTCTTTCCTCTTCCATGCCACTTTAACAACATGCAAACCTACAGTATATAACCATACTGTCGATAATTGGGAGAGCAGGCTGAGGTTGTCTACTCACAGTAATGAAGTTACAGTTTATGGAGCTGTAGTCTCTCTGTGCTGTGCAGTCAGGGGACTTCAGTAGTTTCTAGTTATGGTGTCTTTTCAGGTGTGGCAAATGTTGCTGTAGATTTTTTTATAAAGTATTTTAGTGCAGCGTAGGACTGTCTCCTATAGCAGAACTTTTCAGAGCAGATTTCCAGATCAAAACAAAGGCTGTCTTCTAAGCCTCCCACCTCTCCTTCTGTCTCCACACTTTGTCCCTCCCGTCCTGGTTTCACTAGCAGGGACGGAGACGGCAGCAGATGAATGCCAATAAACATCTGTAAACAAGGTTCTGTGATCAATTGTAAGAAATTATAAACATGTCAAAGTTGATCCGGATAGTCTTTTCTTTGTTTTGGAAAGTTTTTTCGGTTCTCCTTCTGTTGTACTCTCGCAGCGACACTCTCTTTTAAGCCACATAGACACAGCTTCCCTGAGAGGGTGGGGCCGTGGCTCTTTTCCCCACGTTGTGTTAGGGCTTATGGTTGGACAGGGAGGGGTTCACTCGGAAAAAAAAAATCATGTATGAAACTAGTTTCAGAAAAGCAGGCTGAAGGAAGCGCCGTCCCATCCAATTGAACACCGTCCCGAGATTAACCAGTCCAGAAGGAGTTTAATTAACTGCACAATGTGTTTATGTTGGTTATAATTTATTTATTTGCCACCTTGACATTCAGAATGTCACAGTGTGCCTCTAACCTTAGATTTCTAACAGTATCAGACAATTTCATGGCCTGTTTCGATACCACTGCTGCAACTACAAATAGAAGTCATAGGCACCAAATATTGGGGTAAAAGTTTTTAATAAAACAAAACAAGCACTAGAAACACAGTGACTGTTAGAGGATCGTGTGCTCTGATGTCCAAAGAACTCTAATAAAGGTTTCCACTTGTTTTCATATTCTTTTGTCCTTCCTTTAGTTATGCAAGTCGGTCTCTCCAGTGCAATACTAGATGTCATCTTCTTCATCCATATGCTTACCATCGACATATCCTCCAGGATAAAGCTATCATCCTCCCAGCCTGCAGGAGTCCAAAAAGTTTGATAACCTTAGTGCAGTGCAGCACCAGCAGCCATGGGAGACTTTATAATGCGGTTCAGTAAATTGAGTCAATCTCTGTAAAGCCGCCCCTCAGGCTTCGGCCAGGCTTATCAAGTTTTTATTGATCATATCTGAACACTTATCAACTCCATTTTTTTTCCTGCTTTCCATCCCCTCTATCATGTAGATGAATGCAACGCTCCCTGACGTCACCTCCGTGCGTCCAAAAGGAGGGTAGCTCAGATCACAACAAACAAGTGTCTTACTTTACTGAGCTCGAGTTTAAAGACTTACGGGAAGTAAGTCGGCAAGAAAGCTCTTGTTTCCCGAGCTACTGTATTGTTTCGGTCACTGCATCCTATCTAAAAAGCCCTTTTGAATGTTTATTCCTAGGAGGAATTACAGATTAAATTATTACAAGGTTTTTAAATCCTGATTTGAAGTAGTAGAAGAAAGTTGATTTTAATGTTATTTACAGAACCTTTTTTTTTTTTTAAAGCTATAATTACAGTCTGTTGAGACTGTAATTATTCGTGACACCTTTAACACATGCCTGTGACACTGTACACCTATGGGATATGTTTATTTATTGAAGCTATGTTTATACCTGTGTTTAGTCTGCATGCGTGAAGATGGGAAAGAACTGCCTGGCAAGAGAGAAACATTTAGCAGGAAACCTAATTTTTTTTATGATTATACAGACTCATGTCTTAAGGTACCTCGTGAAGTTTCTGCATTTTCTCTTGACAGGGAGGGAGGATAAAACTGTAAGCTTTCACATCAACTATAAAAACCGTTGACAGAATTCATTAATAGGTGGTGAGAATGCGAGCACGCTAAAAAAAGTCCTGTACATTTTGAACATTAACCATAGGTTGTCAGAACTTTAAATCCTTAAGATACTTTGCAATAAAAAGTGTTGTAAAAGAATACCAACTCTGGTGTTTTATGAATGAATCAATAGTATCGAAAAGTACCAAAGCAAAAAAAAACAGATCTTCAGCTGCCTCAAACAAATGGGAGAGAGAGAGAGAGCGCAGTGGTGGGTTATTGAAATTCACAGGTTGGTTGAACTTTAATGTGAGTGATATTTTGGGGAATCCTTTAAAATGGGTCTATACTCTTTATGGGGACAACAACTGAAGATAATGTCTAAACTGCATACAATCCTGGAAAGAAGCTGCTGTCTATCAGGACCAAAACCTCACACCACAAGAACAGCTTCTTTCCCCTCTGCTGCCCGCCTCATCAATAATGTCTCTCCCCTTCTCCCCTCGCATAACACAGACTCTCATTAAGCCCCATTACGCCTACTGGACTTTAATATATTCTGTTTACATGCACACTGAGGAGATTTATACTACAAGTTATTTTCACTGTAAATAAATAATACACATACCTGCACAACGCCTTCACCGCACCTTTTGTACATTTTGTGTTTTTATAGTTTTATATTCTATTATACGTTTAATAGCTTTTTAAAATGTTATCTTATTCTGTGTAAGTTGTCAGCAGGAGCTCTGCTGTTTTATAGCTTCTTACTATTTTTGCTTGAGTGCTTTGCTCATTGTTTTGCACCAAACACCAAATCCAATTCCATCTGGCAAAAAAAACAGATTCTGATTCTGATTCTTTGGCAAAGTTAGGCACCAAATCGTTGCCAATGTAGTTTTGCAATTTGAACATTATGCAGAAGTTTACTTGCAAAATGGGTGCCATTTCATTTGTCTTGTATTTTGTTTTGTGTTTATTTCAAAAGTATTACTTGTTGCTGTGGTATTGGAGCATGTATGGTTATCATTTGATTTTCACTTGTATAGTATTAGTGTTTGAAATTCTGGTTTTGTGACCACCACATTGTACACCGGCCAATTATCTCCTAGTTGTTGAATCTAGTCATGGTATAAAACCTATTTCTGGGGCGCTGGTGGCGCAGTGGTTGGTGCGCTGTGGAGGCTATGGTCCTCCAAGCGGGCGGCCCAGGTTCGAATCCCACCTGTGGCTCCTTTCCCGCATGTCATTCCTCTCTCTCTCTCTCTCTCTCTCTCTCTCTCTCTGATTTCCGACTCTGTTCACTGTCCTGCCTCAAAAAGCCCAAAAATAAATTAAAAAAAACAAAAAAAAAACAGATTTCTTCCTATGCACAATAGTTTAAATGAACTCGGAGCCTATTGAAACATGATAAGACCAACACCACTTTCTCACATGTCATTTGATTGCCTGAAAACTGAACACCAATGGAGAGAGAGTCCCAAAAAAAAGAAATGGAGATTATTTCCTAAACTTGTTTCATCTTATTTAGATTTCAATGCTTTGGATTAGTTTGTGATCTGAGGAATGGGGAATATGCCGAGCTGAGAAACTTGCCAGTGTTGCAGTTTTTTTCTGTAAAGAATCTATCAAAGCTGATGCTGTGCTGTCAAAGTGAGGATTTCCTCTTTCAGCAGACATGCAGTACGTCACCATCCCGACCACTGGTGCTCAGAGTTTTCCTACTTGGCTTTTCAGTGTTAAAAAAAACCCAGTATTGTGATGTCAAATATTCATTTTTATTTTTTCTATGAAGAATTATGATTGGAATTATTCACTGGCTTATTTCAATATTTGTTTTTACCTTAATCAGGGGGCGAGAATTACTTTGAAAGTTACAGCAGTGTAGGAATATTTGAGTTGACTCAAAAATGTATTTTATCATCGCATTAACATAACATTGCTGTAATGGCATGGACAAAAACTATATGTAAAGAGCACAATTGTGCCTGACCTGAATTCACAACACCCACAGTGCCCCCAGTGGAGGGGTGTCATTACAATGAAAAAAATCAATCTCAGGATTTCCCTGAATTGATATTGAATTGGGAAAATAATAATTGCAATGCATTGATGAATCAAATATTTTAACCAGCCCTAATATGTAACGATACAGATTCCAATAATTTTAACTCTTAATTTAAAAAATAAAATCAACTAAAATGCGTAAAAGTCCTGTTTCTCATTTGAGTGTAGTTTTCACACCTTTTGTCCCACATGACGCCTCAATGTGTTGAATAGTTACTCTTATATGTTACCTCTTCAGTGATCTGTTTCTCATTTTATAAAAACATAAACTGAATCATCCTGTGGTTTGATATTTCTGGTATGTCTTCTCAGCCTAGACACTGTAGTTGACACTTAGAGCATTTTTGTCTACTTTTTGAATTACAGTGTTTGCTTCTAAGGAGCGTGCCTTCATGGAAAATGTAATAGGCTTGGGCCTGAATAATGTTATATCAGTGGTGGTAAAAGGAAGTGCATTTGCTGTTAAAATAGCAATGGTACTCCAGGGTCCCTCTTTTCTTCCCTCGTCTATATTTGTCTTGTGTTGGTGTATAACGTGGAAATGGCTGACAGTCTGGCATCTCTTACCTCCGACTCACCTCAAATGCCCGCTGTTAAAAGGTGACCACTGATCCAGAATGATCTATCCCTGTGTGATTGACTGCACTGTTTATGTCCACAGCTGGCGTCGGGCATCTACAGCTTTGCATGTTCCCTGTGGAGCCATCACACGGACTGCTTCCTGCAGCAGATCTATGCCAGAGATGAGGCTGCAGCGCTCAGCTCACTGGAGAGGACTCTGCTCTCTCTGAAAGGTAGCAACATTTGCAGACACGCAAACTCACACATGCTCATACAGACACTACTGCATGACATTCAGAGCAGTATAATTATCTTTTATGATGAGACTGGCAAATGGATCACAACGGGTTATATAACAACAACAAAAAAGCATACTGTTGGCTTAAAATGTGATTATCTATCAATCTTTATTGTTATAGCAGCGTTTCATGCCAAATTTATCTCAAGACGCTTCACAAAGACCATACTCTTCGTTACATTATTTACAAGCCAACATTAATCGACCATGAGCACAGCACTTAACAACATTTAGCAAAGTAACAGTGGTGAAGGAAAAGTGCCTTTAGACAGGCAGAAACCTTGAGCAGGACCAGACTCATGAGAAACAGCCATTTTGCCGAAACTGTTGAGTTTTGATAATGGGATAGAGGGACATGCAGAAGCATGATAGAGACAAACAGAGCAACAGCAGTGAATAAAATAGATTTAGAGCTACAATGCCAGTAATAATGGTAAATGTAGTATCAGAGATACTATAGATAACTTTTTTTAAATGTCTGATTTTCAATTCAAAACTTTTCTGAACACATTCTTCTTCTTTCTGCCTCTTCAGTGCTTCGCAAGTTGACAGTCCATGGATTTCAAGAGCCCCAACAGAATATGGAAGTGATGGTGAGTCATTTGTTTTCAGCAGTGGCCGCCCATACGGCCTCTCGTCTTTTTGAAAAAATGATATATTTGCTGTTGGTTGTTTTTGAGTTGAAAAATGGCTACAATCATAGCGTGCAAAATGTGGACGGCCACGAAGATCGAAAGTGCCTTCAGCTTTGTCTCAGTTCAAAGAGTCACAAGTTTTGTATTAGCTCCTTTCCCCCATCCTCAGCGCGAAGAGAGCTCATCACCATGAAACTGGTAATTCAATTTCATTTAAATCTCTGTGGTGAGAAAAAAGAGGAGAGGAAATTTTCAGTGTGCCTTTTGGAAGGACTGTGGACTCTCTCATGGCTCAGAGTTAACAGAGTCATTTGCATAAACAGGCCCTGTTTTCTGAATTCAAGCTGCATAGTCTGACTGACTTAGGCTGTTTGGTCAGCCGAGGTCTGTTGAAAGAGTGGCAATGCTTGAGGGAGTAATAATAAAGGAGGTAAGCAAGAACTATTAGTAGGAACATTTAAATGACTTTTGGAAACTGCATTTTTATCTTTATATGTTTAAGTACAATAATCTTTGATTGCGCTTGTTATATCCACAAATGTCCACATTAGAGTTAGCTACTGAGAAGTAACTAAATCAAACAGCCCGGTCTATAATAAGGGAAATGCTTGGATACATTACAAATAAACGATCTAACAGGGTATTACAACAAATATAAAAAATAAAAGGACAATTATCTTTTTTTTACGTTTGAAATCAAATCAGTGGAACAGAAACACTGATCCCTTCATTGCAGTTTGGAAAAGCAGCCTGGAGGCAAATGGTTGTACAAGTAATACAGAAATAATAAAAAAACATATTAAAAAAAAAAAAAAACTTTCTTCACCTTATTGAACAAAATACAAATTTAAAACACTGTGTCTGGAGATCTTGGGATAATTCATTGATTCTTTTTTTCACATTGAATTGATTCTTCGATGACAGAAGTTCCACTGACTGTGTTTTATTATTCCTCTAAAGATGCAGCTTTGACCTTGTGGGCTGTGTGATGGTTCAAATAGTCCCATTAGAATATCATTAGCCTTGAGCTGTCCCTTGTTATTCCACTCAGTGATCAGTGGTAACGGTTTGCAGTTAGGATCTCTTGTTTAGATGTATTTGCTGGTATTATAGTTAACACTGTCCCTCCCAATGAGTGAATTATTATTTGCACCTACTACTATTTAACGCTTAACTCATTATTTTCATTAAAGTTGGTTTCTTGTTGTAGTAAAACCTTTGAATCAAATTTATTTGGATGTTTATTAATTGTGGTAATTTTCAAGAGGAAAAAAGGAGTTCCGAATGTCATTGGTTACCCTCTTTTTGACTCGCATTATTTTTCAAAGCTGAGCATTTTAATGTTTCTAAAACATGCCTGGAACACATTTTTAAGATTCAATATACTGCTAATAACATAATTTGGTGTAATCTTGTAAATAAAGCCAAGCTTGTAGCGTCTCGCAGCCTTCCTTTGGCTTCTTTATTGATGCAGAAAAACTGAAGTCATTCACTCAGCAGTCTCAGATTGATATCAGAGGTTTCTGTAGTTCAGTTGTTTCTCTTTGTACCTTCCCAATAGCAGTGTTTGCTCCTGTTGTCTCGCACATAATGATAAACAGTGTTCAGAGTCAGATTTCAATTTGGATGTGTCTAGCGTCTGCTTTCATAACCTGAAGCAAATAAGGTTTTGTTGTTATTAGGAACAGGCAGTGTGAGACAGATAAGGGTAGTGAAAGTATATTCAGACCTTCTGTGGAGAATTCTTAACTGGTTATGAAACTGTCTCAATTTAAAACTGATGCCTCTGTTTGACCTCCATAAGCAAACTAGACCATCATGATGAATCTTCACTTTTTTCTTTATAGTTAATCTTAAAGGAGCAATATGTAAGATATCTTCTGGATTAAATCATAAAATGACATCACTATATCATCAGACATTAAGGAAACATGCTATGTTGATGTGCTGGCTTCTCTTGTGCACCAGCCAGCATGACCTCCTAAGTTTTGATTCCGGTTAAGAATGGTTTGTTAAAGTTTTGACCAGAGAAGGTAGGCAGTTTTAAGCCACACGTTTTGGACCCCCCTTGGTTTGCCAAATATGAGAGCAGTTATCACGGCAAACCAACAGGTTTTGCAGTGATGGAAGCGGGCAAGCTAACTGGTTCAGGTAGAAGTGATATTACCTAAAAAGGCTCTGCATTTGTCTAATAAGCTCCATGAGCAGTAATGTGGTAAAACTTTCGGATACATATTGGAGATGCTTTTGAAAAATGGAGAGAATTTAGAGCTCAGAAAGGTTTCAAGACCAATGCGGAGCTGGTTAATGTGTCACTACTGAAGCATGACATGGAACATGGCAACCTGCGCGTCCATCGACTTTAGAGAGGAGGGGTCGGAGGGCAGACAGCTCTCTCAAATCGTTTGAATTTGACTGCAATTCCTATTTAAAATGCTAGGTGTCATAGTTTCATATTGCTCCTTTAAAGTCTGTCACCAGGTCGAATTCCAAAATCAAAACAGCTTTATGCATAATGCCAGAAGAAATGTTTTTGTAACATACGTCGTTTGTGTTAACTTCTCGATTGTTTTTTTGTTTTCCTCAGGTCAATCTTCGGCCCCATTCTATTAAGAATTGGCAAACAAAAAAAGGTCATTAGGGGCTTCTAAAACTGATAGGAAAAGTTAGGAAGGAGTGCTGTCTGGACTCTGAAAAGTGTTTGAGGTGCTCTTTGGATTGGGGATCAAGCAGTTATAGAAAAAATACAGGGCACTCTTTCAAATCAAATTGAAATTACATGATGTTACATAAAAGGGCCTTTATTTCACAGCATGGTCATGTGGACCCCCCCAAAAAAAAAAAAAAAAAACTAAACAGTTTGACGTGTTTTGGCATCAACCCTTAATCGGGAAGTCAAACAGATTACAAGGAACACCAAGGCATTTAAAGGGGTACTCAACCAAGAGGACGTTTCCCTCTTGGAATTCTAGTTGTTGATTGCAGAGGGTGTGTGTGTGGTCTCCTAAAAACTCCAGGAGATGGCATTATTTGAGTCGGTGTAGAAATACATACCTACTCCTACATTCAACACAACATAATTTAACACTGAAAAGTTAGAAATCAAAACCATATCCTGTTCTATTTTTGAGAAATTGAGTCAATGCTAAATATCTGATTTTTTTTTCCAATTACTGCCATTGACTTAGGGATAGTAATATGAAATGCACATCCCTACTCAAACAATAAACTCACGCCTCTTGTTCAGCCTCCTTACTGTGTTGTTAGAATTAAAGTGAACACCTGTTCAAGCAACATCTACATGCCCAATACCCTCGGCACACATTACTGTGGAGCTGCAGTAATACTTTAGTTTGACAAACATTGGCAGCTTCTCAGCTAATAGCTAATGCTATGCTCAGTTACTGTGGTGCTAGGAAGGTAGCCCACGTATGCTCAATGTAAAGTACATTCAAGTTAAATGTAATTTGCTTTATAAATAAAATTATATTGCTGATGTTTATTGCTATGTTGCTAGCGCTGGCTCGCACACCACCTGCATTAAACCCTAAGCAGCTGAGGCTCTCCCAAATTCTGACAAAACACATCTATGCACACTGCACACACATCCTTAAACCCTTGGTCAGACATATGTTGTCTTGCTGTTGTTTTGACGACCAAAGTTTTTCATGTGGAAGAAGCCATGACGGTGGTATGTGAGCTTTATTTGTGTACGTTACAATGATCCGTTGTCTAACAGTATCCCCCACAATTCACTGCACACCTGCCTTAATTCACATGTGTTGGGGAGAGAGAGAGAGTGTGAGCTGGTGTGCATTTGATCCAAACTGATGCCGCTTCTCTGGCCAGACTGTCCTGTACACGACTAAGCAAACGTTTGCTCGGTGTCAAACAGGGACATTGTCAACATTGTTGTGAATTTGTGCAGGATTTTCCTGCATATTGAATTGCTCTGCGAGAAGTACTAAATGGTATGGTGGGTCACCCTCAGTATTCGATGGTCTCAAAATGATGTCTTCAGATTCAAATATTGGATTCAGTGTATCTCTGATTTATAAGCTAAATACAAAATCCACCACAGCTTCTAAATCCAGAGCGAGTTTGAACACATAATCTTGGCTCCACACAGCTGAAATATTCACCAGATTGTAGTTTGACATTGCCACTCTATTGCAACCTCCTTTGGATCCTGTCTCAGAAGAAGTCTTTTGTTCTGTTTACTCCTCTCCTCTCCCTTTACAAACTACTTCTCACACTACTTCTGACATGCCCATTTGATGCCCACCTCTCTGTCTCCCTTTTCCCACCCTTTTTTTCCAACGCCTCAATCCATTTTCCTGACATTCATTTTCTTCTCACTTCATCCTTGTGTACTCTTTCCCAAACGTGCCATCAGCCCCTCTTCCTCCTCCTCTTTAGCTGTCACAGCCCGTTCATCATGACTGATTGAGCTGAAAATGTCTATTTTGCAGCGCCCGGTTTTTGCATTAGTCGCTTCTAATTTCCTGCATGCTCTGTTGAAGTATTTTCCCCTCCTTTTCTATCCTCTGCTTTTCTTCCTCGTATTTATCTAAATCCCACCAATAGATTAACAAACGCCTGCCGCGAACTCTGTTCTCCATCATCTCCCACCTTTTTCTTCTCTGCGCCGCATGTGACCCCCTCTTTCTACACTAACTCTGTTAGCTGTGATAGTTTGTGGCTCGGCTTTGTTGGCTGGATGTGTGATTAATGGCACTGCTGTTGATCTCATGGCTGAACATTAATGCAGAACTAAACCGATTCCATCTCGATCTATCATCTAATTTCCTATGCTAAGCTGCGTCTACACCAGGCTACAGAAAATTGATTCTCTTTCATACTGTGTAGCTGGCACTTTTATTTAGACTCCTGAGTACAGAGGCAAGTGTGCCCACGCACACATCCACGCACACACACTTAAGTTATTCCCTTGTTAATATATCTGCTTCTGGGCAATACAGATGAAGCAATCATGAGGGATTCAGCTGCAGAAATGTCAAAGAGATTAAACTTTATCTCACCCTCTCTTCATCTCCTCCTTTTCAGGGTTTCCTGAATGCGGTGTTTGAAAGGCTAAAACAGTTCTTGGAATGCTGTGAGTACTCGTCTCTTTCCCTGTCTTCAATCTCTGATCCAAGGCTTTTCCCTTCAGTAAACAAACTCTGTTACGGGTGCTTGATCTAATGCATGCAGAAGGCATCTACTTAAAAGTCTAAAATACTTGAGTTCGAGCCTTGGTCTCATGATCGCATCATCTAGGTGTCCAAATTAAAAGGTTCAGGCTGAGTCATCCTTTTCATCCATATCAAGAGTTTGTCATCTAAATCATTGCCAATCAGAGGAGCTTTTAGCCCAAGTTGGTCTCTTTTAGATTGATTTAAAGTTATGAGGCAGACTTTTTGAATTTGTTAGGCCTTCCAAGAAAATGCTAAAGACACTTTGCGTCAATGTGACAAATCTTCTTTGGTGACCTCATCCCGCTCTAGAAAACGGGAATATAAAACTCAAGCAACAAAACTGTCTTGAGTAATCTCACCCCTCTTTCCCTCCATTTATATCATTTGTGAATCAAAGTGCCTGGTAAACACTCCACTGACAACCTATTGGTCAGAGAGATATACTGTCTTGGTTTAAGTTGTGTTGAAGACAAATACATTTACAACACCTGGCCACTATCATGAAACAAACCAAACTAAAGAAATGACTTGTACCACTTCCAATAAACAGGAGTCAAGTAGAAAGTACAATAAACTATATTATCATTGTCCTCACAATATGATGGATGCAATATACTCGCCTCAATACTTCCTAAAGCAAATAATTAAAGATCAAACGTTTTACACATATACACAATGCATTCACACTTGACACCAATTTGTTTGAGGTCAGGACTCAAGGGCGATGCATTCACAACAATTGGCCAGTCCGATGGAGTCCAAATTAACCTTAAGTTTCTGTCAATTTGGTGGTCGCTACAAATGTAGCTAGTGTGATGACTATGGAAGGACAGACAAGGAGGAGGACAAATTGAGGAAGATGTGGTTTATCATTGTGGGGATAACGAACAGTGCCCTCTGCCAATTGGAATTTTTTGGATTGAGGCGCCATTTTCCAAAACCACTTTCCATGTTAAGTCATTAAACATCGCTGTAGATCTCTTTTCTTAGTATTGATTCTGGAGACTGGTAGAGTTTGTCTTCTTGTGCGAGTGGAGCTGTACTTGAGTTAAAGCAGCCATGGTGTTAATATTACAACAGCCAGTGACATTAAGGGCTGCAAACTCTGTCCCCATGGGGTGCTGCCACCGGATGTAGAACTTTTTCAGCGTCAGAAATTTGGCAACAGCAGCCAGTTTAAGTCCCAGGCTACTTTGGTTGAGTCAGATGTTGGCACCACAGGGAAGTTCCTGTGCTGTAAAATCCCATCTGAGAAAACTCTTTGATTGACAGCAGTACAAGATATATCAGCTCACTCTCCCCTGTCAGATCTCACTGTCCAATGGTCCCTTTATTCTCTTTTCTTTAGAAGTTTTTCCACAACAACACCAAGTTGGGTTGAGATAACTTTCAGGTCTGACTCCATGAGCTGCCATAGCAGCAGATAGTAACAAAAAGTATCATTAAAGATATCAGCAACTACTATCAATTCCAATATTTACTCTGCTGATGGCAATGTAGACAGGGTCAGGGTCCTGTTGGTATTTGGGCCTGGTAGATAGGGGGAACAGACAGGCAGCTCACAGCCAGGCTAGAGAGAAATATCAGCTCTGCACAGACTGATAAGTTCAGCTATATAAACAGGTGTTTTTTTGGAAAGTCTTTGTGGACCATTCAGATGTCCGGCTCTTTCTTGTTAAAATGTTTGTCCCCCGACTGAAGGCACCGATCTATTTCTGTCTGACAGCACATTGTTTCACTTGTTTTTTTTTTGCCTTTCAGAAAAAAGTAAATATCCTTCAGTTTCAGTGATCTTTTCTGTGTTTGTTTACTTATCTATCTCTCCATATATCCACTTTTATTTATTCCACTACATGGCCTCTCAGTCTTTGATGACTTCACACAACATCGGCTTGCATTACCAGCTGTCATCTCCTTCTAACAAGGAAACAATGGCATGGGCAGAATGTCAATAAATTCAATGTGCTGTGCTTCAATTTCCATGATCTCTGGTCCGTATACAATCTAAAAGAAGCAAGACAAAGCAAACTTGAGCCAGTTAATTTGTAATTATTCCAGTGTCACTTCGAATTTGTAGTTGCTGATAGAAACGAATGGTGTGCGGTGTAGGGGGAAAAAGGGAAAGATGACCCTTTGCAAAATCTGCAATGGCAGAGAGGGTTACGGTCCATGCCGATTTCATCAATGAGGATGACAAGGAAGTAAACTACACCAGGCATCTTTATAGTCTCGAGCATCATGAGTGGTTTTATGGAGGCAAAATTTACATCAGAGAGAGTGAGTCATCCATGGTCATTTTTGAAGCTCTTTTTATTATGGTACTTAATTAAATACAACAATTCTTGTAGTAGACCTGAGGGACCGCCAAGGTCAAGAGGGCATTGGATCTCAAAGAGAAAAGTTTCTTCTACTAAATGGGGCTAATGTTGATTCGTGTCTGCACATTACTTAATCATATTTTTTTTTATGATTTTATTTTTCTATGAGTTCAATGAGTTCAAACCATTTACCCTTTACAATGAGTCCTTCATTAGCTGTCAACATCAGATGCACATTAACAGTGTCATCTAATGCTGAATGTTATACTTTGAAGGTCTCCTTTTAAATTACGAATCACTTTGACATCTTATTATCCTCAAATTAAAAAGAGTTGTTTCTTACGTGGGCTTCATGAAGTGACTCAAAATCTTGTCTGATGCTGATAAAGCCTCTGGATGTAAAGGCCCTGACACACCAAGGAAATCTTTGGCCGTTGGTCCTAGTTGGACCGTAGGTGAGCGATTGTCACCCTAGATTTTGCGGTGTGTCCGGCTCAGTGAGAGGAATCTCTCTCATTGGCTGTTCGGAGGTTTAATTTATCTCCAGCTCTCGACACAGGTTTGGGAAAGCCCCTGTGCTAAATCGTTCTTGGGTGACAGCTGATGTGTTCCAGGATTGCATTACGGTGGATACTAACCGCGTTCCTGCATACAACCAATTCCTGCTGAATGCTAGTGGACGATACCATTCAGGCTACGAAGGAAAACCAGAACACTTCCAATACCATTTGGTCCCTCGCCTTTAGATTTTGTATTTATATGAAGAACCTGCAAACAGAAATGAAGGAGGTGTAAAAGGGGTTATAAATGGAGAGCTCATACAGCTTGCTGCTGTTCTACCAGTGTATCAGGATTCACTTTAAATGTCCCAATTAATAAACAGCACTAATCGCTTTTGTTCTTCTTCATAATTAATGTATCTATAGATCCGAACTTGTCATTAGTACTAAAGGTCTAGTATTACATATAAGTCTGCTTGAACAAGAAGACTGTTAGCTTAGCTTAGCATTAAGCGCGGTCTTCGGAGGTGGTCTTGTTTTATGCAGAGTGAAAAAATGTTTCTAAGGAAAGGATTCAGGATATTTTTCTTAAATGTCAAACCATTTTATCCAAATTTTAGTTTGTTCAAAAGCTTAGATAAAGATGCTCATTCTGACTGCATGAAGCTAGTAAAGGAGCTAAGGGCTTCTTTTAGGCTCCAGCTGGTCGTTATGAGTATACACACTAGCCTCACTGATATCATTTAGTTTCAGCATTCTCTAACAAATTATGAACTCAATTAGCTCGATAACTCAGATTTAAACTGAGTAGACTGTATTTATACTAACACATGCTGATAATAGCATGTGGGTGCTGTATTTTTTTTAATTTGTGTTTCAGGTCGACAGATTGGCCCAGATAGCACATGTAGAGAAAAGCTGGAGAAGATGATCATACTGTACACCAAAGTTGTAAGTTGAATGTTTCATGATTAATAATTGTTACAATGGTGACTATTTTGTGAGAACTCGCAAACTAATCAAAGTATTTAATTGTCTCTTAACTCTTTTTTTTTTTCTCTGTTTGTCCTCTTCTGTACCTGTACTCTCTCTCCTTCTCTCCATGTAGCTGTTAGATTTCCTGGAGTGCCATCCCTGTGCGTTTATACCGCTGATCCAGCGTTCCCTCGAATTTGCCGTCAGCTATGTATTCACACCTGCAGGCGAGGGAGTCACCTTCGAACGCTTCATCGTTCAATGCATGAACCTGATCAAGATGATTGTAAAAAACGATGCCTACAAACCTGCCAAGAACATCGAGGGTAAGAAATGAGGCCACTGGGAAAGGAGAGCGGAATGAAAACGGAGAATAAAGGATGTGTGAAGTGACGACTTGAGGGAGTTTAAAGAACGGATAGATGAGCGATAAGAATTTTAGGCATTCAGGAGGAGAAAGTAGTTTCAGTTAAAAAGGTAGACGTTCTTATCTGGAGTGTAGGTCTATGATTGGAGGCCTTCATAGGACTCTCTCACTCTTCAGAGCTGACAGTGATTTAAAGAAAACAAGCACAAAGTTCTCGTGTACGGCACCTTTCCATGGCTCATGTTTAATGCAAGCTTTCACAGGCCTCCCGTGCTTCATTAGCCATGGTAGCACAGTGTTTGTTCTTCTTAGGTGGGATCTCTGCTGTGCCCTGTTGAAGGTTTTTTTTGTGTGCGATTCATAGTTGACAGTCAGGAAATGTGCTATGTGGGTATTGGTGCAGAACTTTATTCTAACTTTAACTTTATAGGACAAATAGTAGAGTCTACACCTGCTCTTTATAGAAAGTGTTAGGGGATAACTTCAGTTGTAATTTGGTTCTTTATAAATTAACATAGAGGAGTGACTGATTTCTAAACATGTAGTGTAAGTAGCTAACACAGCTAAAGGGAAAAGTTCAGCCTTGACAGACACAGCACAGCCCAGAGCAGCCATCTGACTTATTTATTATGCCGCGGCTGTCAGTCAAATAGACGGACAGGAAGGCCCACGTGTGTCAGACTCAGAGAGCATTAGAACAGAGCCTCGAGGGTTGCATTGTGTGCAGTGACATTGGGTCAGGGGCCACAGGTGAAGTGGAGGTGTGAAAGTCAAATCGAAAGACTGACATACATCATTATGCCTTTTTTGCTTAATAATCAAGAAACGTAATTAGACACTTTAAATGAGCCTGCAGATTGAAGAAGAGGATTTTGGATGATCATGTCTAAGACCCCCCTTTTACTTTTACCATTATGTTTACTTCTAACCTGTGCAATCATGCTAACTTGTATTGTATTTTGTAGATCTACCTACTCAGGGTGTCAAAAAGTTCAATACTTCAGTACTTTTCAATACCACATGTTTTGATACGGCACAATCGCCGTTATTCAAATGATTGAAAGTATGAAAAAGAACCAAGGCTTTTTAAAAACGTTTGATCGTCAGTCGCCTTTCTTTGCGGCCGCTCAGAGTGTTAAAGTTGAAAAATCTTTTAACTTTTCAGTAAGGCGCTGTTGATGTCATCAGGCGCTCGTTTCCAAATGTAGGATATTCCCCATATTTTTGCAGACTAAGGATCGCAATCGTACCAATATCCTCTTTGCTCCGTGTCTGGTGGGGTAAAAACAATCTCAAATAGAAAGCATACAGTAAAAAGCAATGAGGCGGTGTCGGTCATATAGCGACTGTGGTCAACAGACTGTTGTCATAGAGACAAGGTGAACGTGCAGCACTATTCTTCTCAGTGCACAAATGCTTCATGCAAGCGCTCCCGAGGACACAGCCGGCACTTTTCTGGAAAAAACGCTAAGTGAACACAAGGCCCAAGGAAGTACCAAGGCATAACTTGAGTGGTAATATTAGTTCAATTGTATGGATTGTGATTAGTTATTTGGAAATATCTTTCTTTTCATCATTCTTTCTTTTGTCTCTTTTTACATTCCCTCCCTCAGACAGTAAACCAGAGAGTTTGGAGGCTCACAAGATCAAGACGGCATTCTTCACACACCCCACACTGACAGAGATCGGGCGCCGGCTCGTTTCACACTACTTCCTGCTCACAGAGGAAGAGCTGGCAATGTGGGAGGAGGACCCTGAGAGCTTTGGTAATAATAAGTCATCAGCAGATACTCAAAGTGAATCCAAAATGTCTTCACTTATCTGCACACGCAGACTGGCAGGAATCAAGAGTAGCGAGGAAGTTTTTACTATATTTTAAATCCAGATACAGTTTTCTGGATATGAATGCAGAATCTACTGCCAATGATAATGTTTCTTACTGCAGTTATTATTGCTTGTGTTATTAGTCCACAGTACAAATGGTACTGATCAAGCTTGGTTGCGTGCAGGAAAATGCATTTTGTACAGATGAAGAGGAGGAACACACTGACCAAAATGAAATCTCGAAACCCATTAGCTATGAACTCACATGGTATAGCCTCTCAGAGCAACGAGGGGTTCAGTACGGCCAGAGTTTATTCACACAAGTGATAAAGGAACTCCGGATCAGGAGTTGCATTTGGGCCCTTGTCATGGTTTACAGTCATGAAAAGTAAATCACTGATGCAACTGAAGACAGAAAATAGAGTTGTTGAGAAACAACCTCTATGACTGTTAAGATTATAAGCTTTACACACAAGAAACTGTATTCAGATTAATAAAAAGATGGATGGTTTATACAGTAGATGAGCCAATGGATTTCAATTGACTGTTTTCCTGCATAAGGCTGGCACGAGGAGGAAGTCTTGGCTCAGACTTTCCTCTATCCAGGTATCTACTGTCAACATTAGAAAGCCTATAAGTTTTGGCTGCCGCCCCAGAGATTGATTAATTGCCAATCGGTGCAGATTTCGAATTTCATAAAAGCAACACTGCGTCTACGAGTGCAGGCTTCCCAAGAAAATTTAGTTGAGCTGATGTATTGATGAAGTGGTGATGCACTTTTCATGGGGGGGACATCTGTGTAGGTTCTGAGTCATCCAGGTCATGGTAGATTCAAAACCTTGAACCGGTCCATTTGCCTTGGAATCAAGCTTTGAACTTCCCATGGTGACAATCCAGACCCCGGTGTACAGAGTCTACATTTGGAGACTACATGTGGAATCTGTAAAAAGAGATTAGGTTCTGCGTTGAACACACAAATGAATCAAAGCCCTTAAATTGTGATTTTAATGTGATAATCTGCAGAGTTTAACATCTTTCACCTAGCATTAATTTATTGACTGTTTTTTATTCAATGGATAAATGTCCTTTACTTACCAGAAGACATATCACTTACATAAATAAAATAAATCATTACATGCTTAATTCCCAAGTAGTATTACTCTGGACATTCTCGTATTATTCTAGAATGTGCTGATGTCGACTCCCCTTGGAAAAATGACCAGAGGGTAAATATCTTGCTTTTGATTAAAGCTTTGGCAGCAATTGAGATGTCAATAACAAACTATACTTTGCCTGCAGCCTGGTGCCCCTGCAGACTTGATGTAATGACACTGATTGCTCAGATATAACACTTTATAAAGCCAGGACCGCACGGGCTCAATGCAGTGGTGGAGAGTATTGACTTTTGGATTCAGTTCTACTGTCAGGCAGAACAACACACAAGTGCAGAGGAATACATTCGCACTCTGACAAGGTGTACACTATTCAGCAGCTTCAGCCGTAGATAACCCTCTCTCCTCTCCTCTTTATTCCCCTTCCCCTTCTCTCCTCTGCAGCTGTTGAAGAATCAGGAGGTGACTCTTGGAAATACAGTCTACGGGTAAGAAACATGCACACTATGAAATAAAATTATTTTATTGTTGTTAATGACCTGTAAGAAGCAGAAACCAACTCAAACAGAGTCCTTCCAGGTCTCTGAGTCGTTGGAATTTGGAGTCGTAAGTGCCCCATTGATTATGGTTGTACACACTATGCTCAAACCTTTCTGCAAAATAACCGCGCTGCATCTTTTCCCTGGTGTCCCTAGCTTGTCATAAAGGCGGGAATGACAAGAGGAATTGTGTTCATAAAAAAATAGTATGTCCTCCATGCTTCATTCGAGGTAAAAAAAAACAACATAAAAAATTGCCTAGTTTGTCATGATCAAAGTACAAACATTCAAGACAAAAAACTGAATTTGGAATAGAATTGCATGCCTGAGCCGTAAGCAAAGGTAAAGACTCATAAGAGCAGACAATTTCAGTTTAATGGAATTGCTATCATATTACTTGCCAAAACAGATTCTCTCTGATTTATGTATCAAATATGAAAAGTTATTTATGTGGTGGCTCCAAACAGATGAAATACATTGCAGTTTATAATCCTGCAGCTGTTCCGTGAGTTGGCAGCGGCTTTTTTTTCTAGCAAAATATACTCCATTATGACATAATCTCTTATCCAATATTTGATTTTCTCTCTGTTCCCCTTGTTTTTTTTTCTCCAATTTCTCTTCTTTGTTAAGTTCCATCTGCTTAACCCCTTCTTATGGAGAGAGAGAGAGAGAGAGAGAGAGAGAGAGAGAGAGAGACACAATAATGCTGTGAAGAAGTCTGGCCTTGGTGCTGGATTTGCATTTTTATGTAGGCTCCCATCTCTGTTCGACTATCCTATCTGATAAAGGCAAAAAGGCCAGAAAAAATAACTTTAAAGAAAACACAAAAAAACAGCAGCAAATACTTCAGGATACATACTAAATGAAGCTCATCCATTAAACAACCAAAGTGGACCCAACAGTAGCTGATGAACACATCAAATAAAACAAAAATATTCAATGAAAATGAGAAATAAAGGAGTTTTCTGAGGGAATAAGTGACGCTCCCTCACACCAATATTGACAGATTTGTCATGGAACTACATTTTTTACCTTTATTTTTTGTCTTATGAAATGGGTAGACAGACTAACAAAGAGAATATAAGCTTTGAACTGCTGTGAGAAAAAGAGCTTCACTTTGGTCAAGTCAGATGGAAACCCTCTCATGCATCGAATCTCATTTTAATTCAGATTTTTTTTTTTTTAATCATTCAAGGAATACTTCAGCAGAAAGATGAGACATTTACACAGTGGAACAATAACCTCAATTTAGAAGACTTTCTAAACTGACGTAGAAAATACTGAACAGCTCTCTCACAGAATGTATCCCTTCAGTGTTAGTCTTTCATGCAGAGGTGTTGGGTTTGTTACAGGTATAAACACCAGCTGCCAAATCACTGCAACTTAATTAAAGTTTAGAGTTGCCTAACAGTTTTTTTTGTACATAATTATGTTCATTATATTAAGAGTTTATACCTTCGGCGTCCCTCAGGCTGGAAGTTTGAAATGATCCACGTCAGCGTCTCTGCAGATCTGTGCACAGAAGGGTAACTTCATTTAGCTTCTATTTAGCTTTCACAAAGGCATTGAATACACACATAGCTTCCTGCGTATGTATGCCCTCTTCTGGCCTTTGAAGTAGCGTATCTTTATGCTCGGGAGGTTTCATGAATTACAACACCTACGCAAATCCATTCTTTCTATGTTTGCCCATTCTAATGACTGATTATGGTCTTCCTGCATATCCCCCCCTCCGCCCCCCCCAACAGAAGAAAGGTTTGTTCTGTGTTGTCTTTTTCAATGTGTCCTCTGACCTCTGAACCACAATGGCAGAAAAGCTTTAAGACATCACAGGGGACGTGCGTTAAGAAGTCTCACACAGCTGCTGTTCATGAATTGGCTCAGTCCATGGATACTCCTTTATTGAATATTGATTTTTCTGTGACATCTAAAATCCAATACTCTACTGAAGGTGATTGAGTTACCATCACTCTTGTTTGAGCCACACACACCGATACACACGCGCACACACACAGATACACAAACAAAGAAATCCCTCGGACAGTGACTTATTGCAGCAGCTACAACACTTCGGTTCAGGCTTAATTGATTGAATTGATTTCCAAACCTAACTATTTTTTTATTTTTCATTTAAAGACTTAATGGATTAGCTGAACAATACATTTATGATCAGCAAATTCAATATTCATGCTCCACGTTATGTAGGTTAACATCCCACCAACGCGCCCCCCCCCCCCCATTCTACATATTAACTTGCCTTTACTTGTGTCTCTTCTCTTCCTCTATTCAGCCTTGCACAGAAGTACTGTTCCTGGATATCTTCCACAACTACAGCCAGACACTGACACCAGTCCTGCTGGATATGGTTCAGAATCTCCAGGGTCAGTTAAATGTCACTTTATATATCATTTCAAGGCAAATGTACAGTGTGCTCTCTTTTCAGCATACCTTTTAACATCCATTCAAGTATCAGTGTTTTTTTGGGCCGATATCGAAATTGTGGGGGAAAAAAAATCTGATATATCGGCTGATATCTTTCTGTGTTGAGATATGTCTATCTGCAGAGATAGATATAGATATACACATTTATTGCGTCGATTCCTCAAATGCAGATTTTCAAACACTCAACTGGAAAACAACTGCTCATGTACATGCGTGACCGCTTCACACTGTGGAGGGTAATAATACTTGATATAATCCATGTAGCACATGCTGCTGGTGTAATACAATCAAACTCAAATTAAATGCTATTTTACTGGTGAATAAATCGAGTAATATCGGCACATGTCTGCGTTAAAACTAGCCGATACCGATAGTCACTGGATATGCCCATATGGGAATTGGTTGGGCTCTAATATGGACCTATGGGTCTGAAATTAAGTATAAAGGATTTGAATATTGCTTAGTTTCCTTCATGACAAAAAAATCTTGATGCGTCTCATCCATCATTATATGTCCTGTCCTCAGTTGACGTGATTGATGCATTTTTTTTTTATACATGTATCGGGTTTCTCTCAGCAATATGTGCAGTATTTACAGGTCTGACCTCACATTCATGTTCCTTAGTGACAGCCTCCTTCACCATTACAACCACTCTTAACTCTCTAGTCAGTCAGCCAGCCAGCCAGTCACATAAATACACACACACACACACACACACACACGTCCCTGCTACTGGTCCCCTGATGCTTCCAGCCTGTAGATCTTGTTCTGGTACTGAATAACTGGGGCCATTGCTCAGACTAGCGGATAACAGGGTCTGCTTCCGGCCTGTCTCCCAAGCTGCTTTTGTTTTCAAGTGACAGACTGGAAATCGCTTCTGCTGGAGCAAGAAAGACAGCAGATTGGGTTGAAGGCAGGTAGCTATTGATTTTTGAGACCTGAGTACACAAAGAGGACTATTACAGTGTGAAAAAAACAGAAACTGTAAAATGACTGAGACAAGACGGATATAGTGACGGCCCAGGCCTCTGTGAGTTGAAGCTGTTACATGATGTGGTCACTGGGTCCATGTCTGTTTCTATTACATGTTTCTCCTAGCTCCTGTCTGTATTGTCACAACCATTAAATATCTATATTGTATCTGTCCATTCAGGGCCAACCAACGTGGAAGAGCCTGTTCAGCTGCTGATGAAGGATGCAGGTGAGTCAAAGGCTTCCCAACACAGTTTCCCTTTCAAGGACCACATTCACCCCTCGGGCCAGATGTATTAAATCACTGTTGTGAACTCAAAAGTCTGAATTTCTGGCTTAACTTTTTAATCTTTTAATCCAACAAACTTGAAGGTTTTCAAGTTCATTTTGTCTCCTTATTTAAACTCTACCAGAAACAAAACAAAAACAAAACAAACATTGAAAGCAGATGAAAGGTGGAGGACTTCAAACTGAGATATGGATTTGAATAAATAGAGCAATAGTATGCATTAGGGCCGGACCGATATGGGATTTTTTTGGGGCCGATACTGATATCGATATTGGTGGCAGAATAAACAATCAGATACTGATATATATATATATATATATATATATATATATGTATATGTATATTGGCTATTGTCCGATATATTTTTTTAGATCTAAGTTCGATAAATAAACATATATATTGCGTTGATCCCTTATATGCAGTTATCAAACACTTGTGGAAAAGAAACTGTATAACGAAGATAAGATGGTCACTCAACTGGAAAGTAACTGCTCATGCACGTGCGTCACAGTTTGACACTCTGGAGGGAGCTCATTCTTGCTGTAATCCATATTGCACACGGCGCTGGTGACAGCAACAACGTTTCACTGCTGGTGTAATACAATGATAGTCAAATGAAATGCTGTTTGACTGGTGAATAAATCTAGTAATTTTACAGATATCTGCGATAAATATTGCAGATACTGATAGTCCCTGGATATGCTAATATCGGCCTCTATCATCAACCAGCCAATTTATCGATCAGGCTCTAGTATGCATTACCGTAATATTTTGACATCTGCGTAATCACATGAATATGAAAATTCAAAATACGGATACACTTTGTCAGTACTGCTTTCTGACTCACCCAATCTGTCCGGTCTTTGTAAATCTTTTCTCTCCCCTCTCTTTTGTCTTTCATTGCTCTCCCTTGTATTCCTCTCTGTTTTTTTTTGTATTTATTTCTCTTTGGCACGCCAAGGCTGTCATTCTGTTGGTTTTATGGCAGACACAACTAAATCACAAACAGTTGGGAAAACTTGCTCAGAGAGCCTCTGTTAAAGCAGGAAACCTGTCGAGATCTCAGCAGGGTGTTGACAGTGTCGATAAACAGCAGACTTGACTGGATGATGAAGCTGTGGTAGCAGCAGGGGAAGATAAGTGGAACTGTGAGCCACAGCCACAAAGATAGAGCTGCTGAAAGAGCCAGGGTGGCTCTTCATAACAACAGGTGCTGATTTAAATAAACAGTTATAGACTGAAACTATAATTACACTGCGTTAAACTCTGAACCCAATTTTAAGTCTGAGCTCGAGTCAGGGAGCTAAGGATCAGAAAAGGTTTATTTGTCCATCTGATGTGCGATAATGACATCTGCCTAAATACGTACCGTCATGCGACATGACCGGGGGCCGGCTGCTTAAATTCTTTTTTAGCTGACAAACGCTCAGGATGTGACTTTCAGATAAATCAAGAGTTACAGATTTTACTGACGTGAAGAGGTGACCCTCGTGAATCATAGACATCTGTTTGAAGACACGTTTTAAAGGTGTGTGTGTGTGTGTGGGGGCGGAGTTAGGATGTTTTGTGAAATAAATCCCTGTCTCTGCGTTAAGAATTCTGATACCAGCCTTGATGACACCGAGGTCCAGAACTCTGTGTTAACTATAATAAACACGTTTATTCAGTTCACAGACTTTATTCACCTCACAAGTGGAAACACACCCAGGTCGTCTCTACACACAAAGGCGCTTACACGTGCATGTGCAGTTCAAGGATCACAGCCGTAACATGTTTTACCTTAAAGAACAAAGTAGTATAAATTCATGTTAACACTCCTAAAATGCAGAAAATCAGCGTCATCTATAAGGACCTCTGCACTTTTTTTTTACCTGACGCTATAAGTGATCAGTCAGCTGTACAGCATCTCTCTCTCTCTCTGTCCCTTCTCTCTCTTTCACTCTGTCTCTCTCTTTCTCGTTCCTCTCTCTCTCGCTGTCCCTCTCTCACTCTCTCTCCCTCTCTCTCTCTCTCCCTCTCTCTGTCCCTCTCTCTCACTCTTTCGCTCTGTCTATCTCTTTCTCGTTCCTCTCTCTCTCTCTTTGTCCCTCTCTCTCACTCTCTCACTCTGTCTCTCTCTTTTTCATTCCTCTCTCTCTCTCTCTCTCTCTCTCTGTCCCTCTCTCACTCTCTCTCCTCTCTCTCTCTATCTCTTTCACTGTCCCTCTCTCCCTCTCTCCCTCTCTCTTTCCCTCTCTCTCACTCTTTCGCTCTGTCTATCTCTTTCTCGTTCCTTTCTCTCTCTCTCTCTGTCCCTCTGTCCCTCTCTCTCACTCTTTCACTCTGTCTCTCTCTTTTTCGTTCCTCTCTCTCGCTCTCTATCTCTCTCTGTTCCTCTCTCTCACTCTCTCTCCCTCTCTCTGTCCCTATCTCTCACTCTGTCACTCTGTCTCTCTCTTTCTTGTTCCTCTCTCTCTCTTTCACTCTGTCTCTCTCTCTCTCTCTGTCTTTATATCTCTCTCTCTGTCCCTCTCTCACTCTCTCTCCCTCTCTCTCTCTATCTCTCTCTGTCCCTCTCTCACTCTCTCTCTCTCCCTCTCTCTGTCCCTCTCTCTCACTCTTTCGCTCTGTCTTTCTCGTTCCTCTCTCTCTCTCTCTCTCTCTGTCCCTCTGTCCCTCTCTCTCACTCTTTCACTCTGTCTCTTTTTCATTCCTCTCTCTCTCTCTGTCCCTCTCTCACTCTCTCTCCCTCTCTCTCTCTATCTCTTTCTCTGTCCCTCTCTCACTCTCTCTCCCTCTCTCTCTCTCTCTCCCTCTCTCTTTCCCTCTCTCTCACTCTTTCGCTCTGTCTATCTCTTTCTCGTTCCTTTCTCTCTCTCTCTGTCCCTCTCTCTCACTCTTTCACTCTGTCTCTCTCTTTTTCGTTCCTCTCTCTCTCTCTATCTCTCTCTCTGTTCCTCTCTCTCACTCTCTCTCCCTCTCTCTGTCCCTCTCTCTGTTCCTCTCTCTCACTCTTTCACTCTGTCACTTTTGTCCGATCCCTGGATGCTGCTAACTGGCATTAAACCAAGTATGAACCTCTCTAGAAGCTGATGAAGTATTATTTCTGTTGCTGCAGACATCCGTGAGGTGTTTACATATTTGTTTTCTTGTCCCACATTTGTCATCATAATGCTGCACTCGTAGCAGCATTTACCATCCGTCTCAGAAATTGCACATCTAAACTGAGTTGGTATGCTTAAGTACCCCATTAGCCTTCTGAAATGCCGTTTTGTGAACTCTAAAAAGACCGAGAAAACTTTTCAGCATCTTATTTCAGGGAGCCCGAAGAATCGGAGAGTAATGGAGCAAGAAATAACACTTTTGACTTAGAAAGAAGCTGAACTGTGTCAGTTAAAACATATATCGTTCTCTTTGAACAACAAACATAATGTGTGAATTAATGTACTAATGAAGACTGGAGAATAGTGAGGATCCAGACTCGACAGCTTGCTGCCTTTCTTGGCGTCAGCCTTCCTAAAAAAAAGATTTGAAGCAAAAGAAAGATGCTTGTTACTCTTTCTGACAGTTTGCAATTTTCTCTCAGTTTTATGTACCTATAAAAAGAAACTCCTCATGGCTCCTCATGGCTCCTCATGGCTTTGGTTATTGCAATAAGGACGGGGCCACTGCTTCAGCACCCTCAGACTTTCTATATTTTCTGCCTATCCCTCCATCCAATCCGTCTCTTTGTCATGATAAACGAGCGAAAATATGTCGAAGAGGCGTTTAGCTGCCCCTTAAGTTTCGGATCATTCCTCTGAGGGACATCTATAGTATTTTTATATCCCTACCCTGCTTTCAACTGTGGCTTTTCTCTGAGACACACACACACACACACACACACACACACACACACACACACACACACACACACACACACACACACACACACACATCCATACAGACATGCCATAGATTCCAATATGCTCGGGCCTAGCGCCAACCTTTCATAATACTAGAGGATTAAAGTAATGGGAAAAGTTTCCGTTTCATAAATCATATTAGTCCATCTTAGTCCTTGTTCTTTCCCTTTCCTCTTCTCTTCTTGCTTCCATCTTTAAATTCATTTCTTTGAAACATGAAATATAAATAGTAACAGGAGACATTGCTTTATGTCCTGTATGACTCCTGTCCCTTTATCTCTGCCATTGTATAACTGCTTTCAAACTGCCAACTTTATTCTCATCTCTTCTTTTATCTTTTTCCCCTGAAGTCTTATTACTACCCCTCTCCACTTTCTTGTCACTACTATACCAATTTCTGCTTGAAATGTACCTTTTAGTGTTGTAACTCTGTTATACGCCTGCTCCTTATATGCCTTCCAACAACATTATGTTGCCTAAATTATTATTATTATTATTATTTTTACATTTGGCCATAACTTGATTGCATATTTTAAGGACAGACTGAATGACTGTGCACTAAAAACCACATACACTTGCAGGTTGACATCATTGACTGTGTTACAGCCTCCTCAAACAAAAATGCTCGATGCATGGTAGGGCAGATAGGGCATGCCACACGCATTGAAAGGTTTAAACCCAGAGCTTTACTCACATTAATCCCCCCCAAAAATACACAAAAGATGAAGATAAACCAATGCAAAACAAAAGGGACTTGAGACCTTGCAAAAGATGCAACAGGCCTTCGCTCTCAGCACCTCCCCCTAAAACTACGACTTAAGCAAACCTAAGCTAAAACAAAAGACTGAAAACTGGACCTCCGGTTATCTCAATCCCAAACTAAAATAAATCAAACGGTCGTGCATGAGGAATCAAAAAATACTGCTTGGGGGAAAACAGAAAAGTAAGGGTGTATTTCCATCTCATCCCGTTATGCCAAAATAAAGCCAAATAGCCCTTCTTCTTGGACATAATTCAGCAGAATTATGATAACAGATAACAGAAACCGTGATGGAGACTGGATAGATTTGAATGGTTTTGTGGTCAGAAGTAAAGGTCAGTCCAACAAGGTAAACTTACTGCCAGATGTTATGGCTATATCATGGCTTTTTATTATGGCTATGTCACTTCATATGTTAGCACCTTTTGTTACATTCAGTTCGTTGTTATAACTCCATGACTACTCAACAGCTCCTCCTCAGTTGCTTGGGTCATGGATGATACCAGTTTAAATATTTGACGGCTCATGTAATCAGCGTAATCCATCAATCTCAGATTTGAACAATTGTGCAGCTTTTTAGGTGTCCTTCATTACTTAGACTGTTGTTCATATACGTTTTTGTTTTCTGACTCAGGGTGTATTTTTTCTCCTTCAGTATACAATGCCGTGGGACTGGCTGCCTATGAGCTGTTCGACAACGTGGACTTTGACCAGTGGTTCAAGAATCAGCTTCTTGGAGAGCTTCAAGTCAGCCATAACAGGTAACGTTTTTTTTAAGCATGTTTTCTTTTCTTTTTCTCATCTTAAACTGTATCATGACGTACAAAAGCGTATTATTCAAAAGATTTGTACTCCACAAGAAAAAAACTCCAGGACCTCTGCGGTGAAATAACACAAACACCAAACTTTGTGATGCGTTGTTTATCCACTTTTGGCTTTAAGGGTCATATATTATGCAAAATGCACTTTTGTCTGCTCCACTTTTCAGAAAATGTGTGCTCAAACAGGCCGTTTAGAGATTTTCACTTTGTGACCTCACAAAGGGCAGTAACCCCTCCCCCATGTGGGTGACACTCCCACAGCTGAGTGTTTGTTCTGCCCTCTTAGTCCTCCTTCCCACCGTAAACAATTGTGCATGGTGAAGGAAGCACAAGTCCTTCCAGAGAGGGGGTGTGGTCAAACACAGCTCATTTAAAGCGACAGACACAGAAACAGCCTGTTCTAAACAGGGCTGAAATAGAGGGGTTTATAGGCATGATCAAATCAGGATCTTATCAAAATAAACTTCACAGACATGTTTTGGGGAGCTGTCAGATTTGTGTTGTTGAAAAGGAGTATTATATGTGACCTTTAACTTTCATAGAAAAACTTGACAGCATCCTCTCCAGTTCTTTAAATGTGAAAGTCTGATAACACAACAGAAGATCTCAAATGTTTTTCAGCCTAAATCAGCAATTGTTTAAAAGAAAATGAAGGGTGTTGTGTCAGCTTCTGAACAAAAATTGAATGTTGAAAGCTTCCCTGGGCAAGTTCTATTTTTTAGCAGGGTTTCTTATTTTAGTCCCATTGTTCAGTTTTTTTTCAAACATGTCCTCTAGCCCCCGGGTGTACAGTTCCTTTTGAACGCTGTTGGGAAGGTGATGACTCGTGACTCTGTCGAATTGTGCTTCACAAATGTTATGAAGCGTTGAAACAATAAAAGCAGAACTCGAGGCAGCGTGCAGCTCTTTTTAAACTGGGAGCATCAGGCAGTTCTTTGACTCACAGTTTTTAAGCTCCTTTCAGACCCAACCAGAGTCTGTAGCTTTTCATATTCAGCATTCCTTTGATTGGAGGCAGAGCTAATTGACGATTGACCTCTGCCTAGGTATTGATTACAGTCTGCAGAATAAGTCAATGCAGGCTAAAAGGCACAAAAGCAGTCAACTGAGCCTTTGAGTAAGTGTGAGTCATGTGCACGGTTACAACTGCTGCTTGTTTTAACACACCCAGTTTAAAGTAAGGATGTCAGTAGCTATAGAAGAGGGGCAACACGGTCGATTTGAGGCTTTAGACTGGTCATAATTCAAACCCAGAGTGTAGATGTGAGGTTAGCAGATGACAGACTAGACAAAAACAGTGTGCAAACATTACAAGAGATTGATAAACTACACCAATAGCACAATTATCATGATTCAACACATCATACAGTGACACGCTGCGAAGCTCGAGACACCAAAAATATTAATAACATACAGTGGGAGGCAGATTTAAAACCTTATGCTCGCCTAAATGACTGTAGAGCCAAAGAGATTACTACTTGCAGCGGTGTGAGCTGATGATTAAAACATTAGAGCCGGTTGTAATGACCCAACGTTTCAAAAACTTGAATGAAAACTTATATTAGACGACACAAAATCAGTTGTTGAGAAAATGCCGGCTTTGAAATGCTTCTCTGCTTTAGTACCACTGGCTCCAAGAGGCTGCAACTCTGTTCATTTTAAGAGATTTTCCCCATATGTACAGTATATTTATAATATTTTTAGGCTTTTGCCTTTAGTTTGATAGGACAGGGGATAGAGTAGGGAATTGGAAGAGAGATTGGGGAACAACATGCGGGAGAGAAGCCGCAGGCCGGACTTGAACATTTGCCGCCTGTTTGTGTGTATTTATTTGATTTGGAATTCATTCTTTATTTTAAACAACAGATATTCTAAGTGTCAATTCTTAAAACTTACTATCATAATAAAAAAGAATCAGTGAAAGTATATTTTCATTTTTTTTTACATGTATTTAGAAAGTGACTTCACTCTCATGCCTCTATCAAAATGAAGAAAATCTTGATAAAATGTTTTTTGTGAACTCTGGATTGTGTTACGTCAGTCGAGTATATCGTTGCATCCCTAGTCTGAAGGCAGCTGGCAACTGTGTCACAACATCAGCCCACTAAAAGGCAAGTTAAACTAGAAAAAACATTACAGACGTCATCATGGGAATACGGACAGTCAAGGAGATGGATTTATACATTTGAAAAGTAAAGGGGAGAGGGAGGGAGAGTGGACACAGGCGAGGTGGTGAGACCGATGTGAAGAACAAAGAAGTGCCCTGCACACGCAGACAGAAGGACAATCAAAAACCTAAAAGCCCGCAGCACTCAAAGAGGTCGGCCTGTCAGGCTGGTGGCTGACGTCAGAGGCCTGATGTCACTGTGGTTCTACTCCCACACAGTTCAGGCGTGAGTAACCTGTCCTCTCTGCACCTGGGTCCTTTGATTTCTTTATTTTTTATAAAGTTCACGTCCCCTCCATACGATGTGGCTCATATTTCCTTTTTGATATTGAAGTTTTACTTGATTTTGTTTTGTATTTGAACTAAATGAGCACACAGAGACACAATAACCAGGTGTGTCTGTCAGACTGCAGGGGCACATGAATAAAACATAGAGAGAAATGAAACCAAGAGGCCAGACAGCACAGGGGTGCACTCAAATGCCCCTCTGTTATTTTCTCTGTTTGATGTGTATGGAGATACTCATGGACTTCTATTAGGTCGGCTTCACTAACAATTGTTGACAAATTAGGACATTACGAAGTAAATGGAAAAGAAAATTGGAAATCTATGCCATATTTTAATACTTTTATTGAACCTTTATTTAACCAGGTTGGTCCCATTGAGATTAAGAACCTCTTTACCAAGGGAGACCTGGCAGAGACAGTCAGCAACACAAAGTTACAGACAGAGGCACAAAGGGAGTCACAAAAGTACAATTCATAAACACTAAAATGTGCATTAAAGAGAACCGTCTATGAGTGATATTTGCGAGTCAGTAATTCAAGCAATCAAGCTAAGAACATCAACATCCTTTTGAATCTGCTTCCAGGCCTTTCATTTTAAGTTTACTTTTTTTTTTTAAGGACACCAGCTCCTTGACTTTCAAGTCATTCTGCAACAGATTCCAGGCTGAGGGCGCAGAATACCCAAAAGCCCTTTTCCTTATTTCAGTTTGAGAGTTTGGGACAGAGAGAAGTCCTGAGAACACAAAGAATTCTGTCTGGTACTTCTCTGGGTGATAAAAACACATAGATAGTGTGGGAGCAGAGTAGACCAAGAATTGCCTTATATACTGTATAAAGGTGTACCAGTGTATGAGCCTACGTGTCGCCAGAGCATGCCATCATACCCGATATACAACTCACAATACTGTATATACTCTTTACTCAGTTAGCACAACACCTGTGTTGCATGCCAATCTCTTTCTCCATCATCTCTCTTCCTTTACACTAGCCTCTTAAAGATGGTAGCACAAATATGGCCCATGGTTTCTTTTAAAGTTCTTGAGGTTTAGGAAGCTTGTTGACTAGTAAGGCAGTGTCGACACTCACATCGGCCTTTACGTACTACCAGTTTGCCCCAATCTGATTGGGTTTAAACACAATGGAAATTGTCAGGCCAGCCAAAACAGAGACGGGATATGATAAGGCTGAAATATTTCTCAAGAGGCAGAAACACAATAACTATATCAGCAAGTGCCAGAAATCAAAAGCAGAAATCCAAAGCAGATTTTCTGGCCTGAACAGTTCCTTTGTGCACATTTGGTGCCGTTATCAAAGCATTCCCAAAGCATGCTGCACTGATTGCTTTCCGTTGCCCTCTGGGCTCTGGCTGTTGGATCATATAATACAGCTTGCTAATTTGTTCCTTAATTCACTAATGAAATAACAATAAAAACAGTAAACATCAACAATATGCTAATATTGTCGTAGAGATATGAAAACAAGACAACAAAAAAACCAGCCTTAAAGCCATGTCTGGTTTTATGACAAACAAGTAGTAGTACAAAGTAGAGCAGCAACATGAATGTTGTCCATGACGTCTCTGGAGTTTGAACCACAGATCTGCATCCACCTGCTTCCACACCTGCAGGAATCTCTGCTGCCTGCTATTTATCTGTGTCACTTACCCTGTTGTTTCCAGAGTGGAGGCTGTCATTTAGATTTTATTGATCCTAAATTTCCCCATCAATCCTGATTCTGAATGCGTTTCTGGGCATTTTGTGATATTCTTCAGTTTGAAGTTGCTCACTTGTATCTCTCGACAATCAGGCTCTTTTACTAAAGGAGGCAAACTTACTGTTTTTTTCATTCGCTGTGCAGCTGTGATGACGTTTAGATAAGCATCTGTTGATAACTTTACACAATGCCCCATTAGACATTTATCCAAATATTTCAATGGTATAGTTAAAGAGGTACAACAGATGTACTTCATTAATCCTGCGAGGGGATATTACATTTTACACTCCATTGTTTAGCATGCTACACACACAGGCAGAAATACACACAAACAGGATCCTGTGGACATGCACTAATCGAGAGGTGTCAGAGGGAGGCGGGCTTCCCACAGCGAGTGCTCTTGTTCACTCTTAAGTGAACTGAAACTTCCCCAGCTTCAAGACCAATTTCCAGACTTGGTCCGCATCGGGACTTAAACCGGCAACCCTCAGGTTTTCAAACCAAGTCCCTACAGACTGAGCTACTGAGGCTACCCAATGTAAGTGCTTTATTTTGAAAGTGTCTGAAATGAAATGAAAAGAAATCAAAGAGAACTATCATCAGTTGTGGAAAACTAGCAAAATGAAGCGCTCTATTCCTTTACATGTATGGAGGGTTTTGAGAGCAGTGAGAATTCTTTTGGACATTGGTGCCCCAGTTTAGTATTTATAAACTCAAAATCTGTGAGCATTCCTTCCCATTTAGCCAAAAGTTCCCCTAGAAATAGAGGGACAAATCATTGTTTGGACCAGTAACTTTTAATTTAAGGTTAAATGCAAGATCAGACAAAAGTTTCAGAATTTCTGAACATGTGAAACTTGTTAGCCAGGGATCTGTGTTATAAGTGGGATAATTCTCTCCAAGTTTCTACTGCATGTTAATATTGAAATTACAAAGGCACATCCAACTCTCTTTGAAGTCTGGCTGTTCTTGGTGTTTGTATCATCCAGTACAATCATTTTAGTGCAACTTATTCCAAAGTATACCCTCCTGTAAATGGATTAACTATGTCAGTATCTATTTATTGTCTCGCAGGTTTGATAGTCTTTTCCTTTTTCAGGGTATATAGTGTTATTGTGCCTTTTGTTGGCTTTAACAATTTAAGTTCACGTCTTAGCCCATGTGCATCTTACTGTTTCCCTCCATATGAATCAGCAACAGTGTGAATATTTGCCCATATATTTGTCAGCTATACTATTGTGCATGACTTGCGCTCATGGCTAAGCCTTGGGCTATCAGTAAGCTCTTTTGGAAAAAGAGTTGGTTATCATTCTTTGTCATCACGGTAACACCACCACAATCTGTTTGCACATTCCTACTTCTGCACTTACCAGCACGCGCACCAAGAAGTTGTCTTGACCTGTTTGTCTGTCGGTCTTACCCTCCCTTCTCTACCTCAACCAAAACAGTTGCCATACCTACAATGGTTCACCATTTCTCAGAGCCACCCAGATGACAGCAAGTCATCTTTGAACACACAAACAAAACACACGACTCCTACTTGGACAAGGACAAACACTTCAATATCAATCACACTGACACCTCAGAATAGCCAGAAGAAGCTTTTTGTGTCACCCAGAGACACAGTGAGATACAGATACAGTGTGCTCCATCATTCAACTGTCACACTCTGCCAGCATAGATGACTGTGAAGTACTTTGGATTTTCGACATTGCCTTTTGTCACCTAGCCCTTACACCTGTCCGGTGTTTCATCTAAAGTTTGTCCCTATCTGTGGTGACCAAGTGAGTCCACACTGGAGTTTGAGTACCTCAACTTTATTTTCTTCTTTCTGCTAGTATTCTCCTGTTTTTTCTCCTAATCTACTACTCTCCTCACTTCTCTTGCCACAGAATCAGTGAACTCTGCACGCTCGTGTTTGATAAGCTCTATGATGAAGATTCCTATTCCCATCAGGCCTGATTCAGGTTGGGTCAGTACCAACTATTGATCTAAAATCCTGTAGTTTAAAGCTACAGTTGGTCACATTGTTTAAGTTAAATGTTTGTTAAAAGAAACGCTGATGAATACATGTTGAGTGATACAAATGATGTACAAATGGTTATTGCAACAGAATCATCACGTGTCAAACATCTAGATATTGTGTTGCACTGGAGAGACAATGTTGAATCTGTGAACTGATCATGAATGTGATGGGTTTTTTTTTACATCTTACTATTCTAGTAAAACTGTTACTACTTCCATTGAAAGTGTTGCACGGTCTGTCACCTTGTGTTTAAACCAGTGTGAGAGTGTATCATTGTTGAAACTTGCTTGCAGTGCAGCATTTTAAAGAATACGTGGAAAACTGTGAGAAACTCTTTTATGTCTTTTGTCTGAGAACTATTTACCTTAAAATTCCTTATCCAAACAGGAAGCAGAGGAACTACGTGACAGCTTTTTTTTTTTATGGATGATTAGGAGACTGCTTTTAATCCAGCTCTCATTTTGTCCACATGGATTTCCAATGTAATAGTTGGAAGGATGAACAGCTGTTTGAAGTTATGGAGGTTTAGCGCAGATGAGTCACGTCTAACCTTTGACTGGAAAAAAAAAAAAAAACTACCACTGTCAACCTGCCTCTCCATCTGCCTCCCCATCATTTTCTTCCACTCCACCAGCACAGTAGCATAAACATTACCAGCTGTATTCTCTCCAGATGAGCAGCTATTCGGTGTTTGTCGATCAGACACGCACCACTCTGTTGTACTGCATTTGGAGCTGGGACAACACTTAACTTTGAGTCATTTTAACAGATGCCAGGAGTGGAAAAATAATCAGCATGTGGATGAAGATGTCATTGTTAATGCTGTTGATTTTTGAGATGGTGTTGTGAGAATCTAAATTAGCTAATTTTACAAAACTGATAGGTATGTGTGGGACAAAATTTTGAAATAACAACAACTTATCGTCTTGACTCGTATGATGCAATTATTGAATCACTGGTGCCAAATATCCATATTCCAATAGAAAATAGGGCTATAAACAGAATTAATTGTTGAAAGAACAATTTGACAGTAGAAGAAGACAGCTGGATAATGTAGTACAGCGGGGAAAAGTTAAGAAGCCCAAGGAAGGAATATGACATTAAATTGAACTGAATATATACTGTACATTTTTCCTGCACCATGCCTCTTTGTTCATTACTTGTTTTTAAAGGTTTATTTTTTATCTTTATTGTAGAGACAGTAGGTAGGTTTAGAAATCAGGGAAAGAGAGAGTGGGGGAATGACATGCGGGAAAGGAGTCACAGGTCAGATTCAAACCCAGGCTGCCTGCTTGGAGGACCGCAGCCTCTGCACACGGGGCAGATGGACACCAGCCACCAAGCACTTTACCTTTTTAATTACATTTAGTATTAAAATAAATCAAAGCTCCTTGGCACACTGAATATAACTTTACTATATTTTGAATACAGAAAAAAATACAGTAGTCATTTTTTTCATCTTTTGTTCCTGCAACTGCGCGCACCTCCGAACGTATAGGCTGTGCTGTGTAGCTGTTGATGTATCGTTGTATGATTGTCTTGCAGTATGTCAGTTGTCGCAGAATCGCTGTCTGGTGATTTTGTTATCACGAGCCACACATGTATCGCATTGCATCACATTTCATCATATATCGTTGGTGACCCTGCCATTGCCCCCCTGATTATGTTCTTTTTTTCCATCTGAAAGAATTCTCAAACTTAGCTGTAGGTGTGGCCTCTTTGAGCATTATTTTTTATTTGTTTTCAGTGCCACAAAGCTGTTTTAGTGCCAAGCTGTTGTTTGGAACCTGATCATAGATGACTCTGGGAGTTTGCCTAGATTGGCACAACCTCCCCAGTCCTCGCCATATCATGACAGAATCATCCTGTATGTTGTTGTGTACGCGCACAGGAGCTTTAAGAAAAAGTGTTTGGATTCTATTTATCTCTGCATGCGTGACTGCGTCTGAGCAGTTTAGCCGAGGAGTGTCTGAAGTGCCACCCTGTGCTTTTAAGATGGTGGGAAAATCATGTTACTTTAACACAATGTTGTTAGCGATGGTAATCTAAAACTCAATAGCAATCCCGTTTTATGTATAGAAAATGCTATCATTTGAAAACCTATTTGGAAAACAATCAACCATTTGATTAAAAAAGAAGGTCCACACACACACACACACACTTGCTACTCCAAGTCCTGACTCATGCTGTTGTTTAGTATCTCCTGGCTTGGGGCCCAGACTGTGGTGTCTGTCTCCCTGTGGATATTTGACAAGAAGCCAACCAGAGTGCCATTGCTCTATCCCTTTATCCTCTCATCTCTCTGTTCCTCCATCCCTCCATCCACTCACTTCTGTCGAGGCGGTCTGCAGACACAGTTTCTGCCTCAGATACAAACAAGGGCAGATGCCTAGGGACATGTCTTTCCTGATACAACTTTTTAAAAAACCATCAGCTCCCATCATGTGGTGTCTCATATTTGGGACAGGCAGTGCATTACATTTCAATCCCTATCACACAGCCTCAGTGGGCTTTTGTTTGTTACTACTTTTTTTTTTTTTTTAACTAGACAGTTCCCTTTAGTTTTTCTCTCACTGAATGTCATGTGCCTTAGGCCTCGCTGGTGTGAACTCTTTAAACAAATACATACACCCAACATACTGACTTTAAAAACTTTCTTCACCTTTTTGTCTCAATGTGTACCATGGGTCTTGTTTTCAGTCAGATTTATTTGTACATTTTCAATGTGGTCTCCACTATTATTCATAATAGTAGAACTGTCTCTGTTTCTCTGAGGGCTGTAATGAGCTTGGTTGCACCAAAACAACCAGAGTGGTGGTAAAATTTGGCTTATATATGGGGACATGATACAAGGGCTTGCTCCTGAAGAGCACAAATTATACTTCAGTCTGACCCATGCATATTCCACTTATAAAACCAAATATGTGAATGAACTTCAAGATGGCAGCACTGCTTTAGTCATTTCAGAGGTTGGCATCGTACTGTATCATATAGTTAGAGATAGGGCCGACCTGATCTTGTATCAGCTCGCACATTTTCAGCTCGCAGTCTCACTTTGAAGACGTTCAGACTGAACTGTAAGAAGTGCCCACAAATTGTCTCCATGATGATGTTCAGATGAGATGGCTCCTTCTGTATGCTTAAAAGTACAATTCTTACACTTCAGTTTAGATTTAATTTGAAATACCAGACAGCTGTTGCTGCTTCCTGTTTGTATGTGAAGCGAGCACAATGCAATACAATGCTGGGTTTACTACAGCTTTGTGTTGCCTTACACACACTGCCAACACCAACAATAACATTGTCAGTTATGATATAAAAATATCGGGATCGGAATTGAAAAAAGGGAATAGGTGCTTCCTTAATCATAGTAATGTTTATAAAAAAATGTCTCAAGACACTTTACAAAAAGAGTAGGTCTGGTAGGTCTAGACTGTTATCTTTGTCATATTATTTACAGTACAATACTGTATCTTATTGTCTCCTATCCTATGGTCTCCTATGGTTTGGCTGTAAGATAACAATGTCAGCTGATCCATATCTCCAAATTATGATACGTATAGAACTTGCATAGAATTGTTTGTGAACACATGTCAATGCAACCACAGCTTACGTGCCTTTCTTCTTTTCTCTCCAGGTACAAGTTGATCCGCAGACGAGTCATCTGGCTAATAGGACAGTGGATCTCTGTGAAGTTCAAATCGGACCTTCGTCCTTTACTCTACGAGGTCATCCTCAGCCTCATGCAGGACCCTGACTTGGTGGTAAGACAGCAACACACAAAGCTATCCTGTTTTTTTTTTGTAAACTGATTATTTCAACTGGCGTGCTAGATTCCCCTGAAACCATTGGATACGTAATGACTGAATCAGGCTTTTAGTGAGCAGGGCACATTAAGCTACACAAACACAGCTCTCCGCTTAATAGCACGGAACCACAGCGATTATGATGACGGCTTTCTACAGACCAAGCTTGACATATTTATCAGCAGTTGCAGGAAAGGTTTATCAACGTACTATTTAAGGTTTTTGAATGGTTGTGTTTTAAAATCCACACCCTTCATTAACTTCTTAACATTTGTATCAGGCCATGGCCTTGAATAACACATTGGTGAACCTTTTAGTAGAAACGTGTTTATTTATCCAGCCGTAGACATTCCCTTTTGACATATAGTTTCTTGCCTCATGGGCCATGTGCTTAATTGATGTGACAGAACTCAGATGTAGGAATATAATATATACTCCATGGGAGTTAATCCATCAAAAGTCACCATAGGCTCGATCAATGAGTCTAATTACGTGTGTTACTTCATAATCCATCTTATGTGGAGGAACTGTTACATCATTTATTTTCTGCATTTTCTACATTTCATTTTAATGTGGTTGAAAATGAATTAGCCAAATAGCAGGACGCACACAAACATCATTCTCTGGTAACGTTAATTTGCATGAACTGTGTAGTATTTGTGCAGCTCTCTAATATTAAAGCTCCAGTGAGGAGTTTTGTAAGATGGTTATGTAACTTAATGAAGTCAATATTCATGCCTCTTTATTAACTACTAATGCAAATGAGACAATGAGCAACATGTAACTGGGAGTCAGTAGAGAATCTCCAACATAGCACATGACACAGTTGAAGTTACCATGGGTATGCAGCATCAGTGTTGACCTCATTGGTTCCCAATAAGCCATTTTTTAACATTATATTTAAAGGAATGATGGGATGTTGACTGTCTCATTGATTGCAGTATCTAATTCCCCTTGATGAGGGTTTCCCTGAGTGGGATTGTGCAGTCCCCCCCTAGCTGCACCTCCTAGTGGTCCTGTTTGAGGCAGCTTTGAAGTTAATAAAGCTGCACAGTGGAGGGGGAGCTATACCATGAATAATTCCATAAACTAGAGAGACATTTTTGTAGACATCTTTTCTGATAAGATTTACCCAACCAAACAACTTTTGGTTTTAGCGCACACAGAATGGAGATTTATTCCCTTTTTATCTCATAAGCAATATAATGCTGCTTCCTCAAAAAGCAACACAAATACAGTGAATGCTATCTTTTTCCAAGGGTGTCACAAATACTCAACACAAACCAGTAGTTGTTAGGCAGTTTTACTCTTGTGTGCCCACTTATAAAATATGTGATGGATCGGCCATTTGTTATACTATTTAAAGATAAAGAACAGAACCACACATGGTAGCACTAATATCACTTCTATTGACACTAGCACAGGACCCTACTGTTTCCATTGATACACTTGAGCTGAGGCAGGTCATATATACCTGGAAATTTGAGACACAAACGTATTAGTTTGCAGCCACAGTTGATTTGAACATGTTATCGTTGCATTATATTCATGTAGTTTCCATTTGAATTGATATGTACAGTATTTTTGAGGCAGAACAAGATTGGGCCATTAACATGCAAACAGTTTCACAAGATGTGATTTTAATTGGATGTATAGTTGTGTGTGTAATAAAATGAAGGCCATTACATTTATCTCTATCTAATTCCATACTGGAGTTTTCATGCCACAAGTCGTGCCACATATTGGAATTATTTTTGGCATTACGCAGCTTGTGGGTCACGGCAAAAGAAAAAAAGGAGTCAGAAATGTTCAATGTTAAACGATTTATTATAAAATTCGGTCAATAAATGTTCAATAACAAGAGTCATGAGGTGTGTTTGATCTGCATCATCAGTGGCGAACATGTGGGTGTGCGTGAAAGCATTATATGGTGTGAGGTGTTGAAGTGTGCACCGACTTAAAGAACTAAAGCGACAAATGTGCAAGTGTCTGTCTGGCTTAGTGAGACAGAGAGAGTGGCACAGGAAAGTTGATTTTTATATCCTGGGTGGAGCATTGGGCCCTTTTGCTCCAGATCAGGAGCCGTCACACATTTACGATGGCAATAATGCCTGTTACAGTTTTAATAGTTCTTTTTTTCTCACAACTTTCTTTTTACATCTATGACCTGTTCACTAATCATCAGGTGTTCTCTGGTCAATATTGTCTGGTCCGATTAGTGAGAGCCTCTGGGGCAGAATTAATGATTGATCATAAACTTTTATTGGGCTAATGGAGAAAACTGCCCTCCATTAATCAGTCCAATTGGTCATCAATATTTCTATTGATATTCTATGTTCCTTCTTGTTAAGATGAGAAGTGAAGCACTCATGGTGACAGCCATATTCGTCTCTGACATTTCAGTTTCTGTACATTATCGAATGGAGTCGTCCAAATAGGGACTTATTGATTCGCTCCTATGGTCATGCCTCAACTCTGCCACTTGGGTTAATAGCTGCCTTTATTGTCTTAAGGTTTTTTTTTTTTTTTTCTTCAAGGACCCTGGAGGTTATTAGAAAGGATGGGAGGGGCAGATAACCGTGATGTCTTTGTGCACGTAGTCTCAGTGCAATACTGCTAGGAAGCAACTATAAAATTACTGATTTCTCTGGCTTTGATAACTGTTGGAAAGATTTGTGATAATTTAAGTACTCAACAAAGAAATAAACATATAACATAGGTTTAGTCCATTTTTAATTAACCTAGATATTTGAATGTGAACATTGTCATACAATTCTACATATTGTACACTTAACTAGAACTTTACAAGGTTACATGTCCATCACTCATTCTGACTGAAACAAATCTCCCCCTGAGAGTCAAAACTTCTATTTCTTGTATTCTTGTGTATTATATGGCATCATTCATCATGGAAGTGTGTTCACAGTCAAACAAACAAACATTTAATTATCTTTAAAGAAGATAAATTAATTGTATTTTCTGCATTAAGTTCAAATTTGAGGAAGATGTCAGTGGTCTGTGAAGATGGAGAAATGCGGTCGGAGGCTTGGTGCCATTTTGTAGTGAAAAAAAACCCCAACCTTTTAATTACAGTATAAAACATCAGATTAGTAAGAACTGACGTACAACTGAATGGACAGGATTTCTAATTAACAATCGACATTTGCTTTTGTTGTCACTAATAAAATACAGAACTGGTTAATCCTCAGGGAGTTGTTTTATTTAAAGCAGAGACGTGGGCACACAAACAACACTTAATTGGCATCTGTGTATATGAACTGAATCCTACTTCCAGTACGTCCTCTCTGCATCAGCTACATTTTCTGATGTTTGCTCACAGATTTGGAGTGAGGGCTAAAAATATTCCTGATGGCAAATGCAACTCTTGTATTGTCAGGCCATTTGTATTCTCTGCGGGAGTTGTAAGGTTTTCTAGAATTTGCTGTTAAGCCAGCTTTGACGACATCAAGCAGTGACAGTTAAATCAACAGTCTTTTCCTTTTTTTCCCCCCAGTCTCCTCGACTGCAGGAAGGCTTTTTGGCATCAGACTCAGATACTCATATTATCTCATTTCTATCATGTCAAACATGATGATTTGTTGTCTGTGTTACTTGACGATCAGTATTTAAATTTCAGAAAAAGGGCTGTGTCATCCCTACTTCCCAACGGGTTTAAATACTACAACACCCAGAATGCACTGGGCTCATTAACCCTACCAAGACCACTCACAGGCTGTTCACTATTGGATAGCTTGACCACCGCTTTCGGTTGGTGATTATAAATGTAAATATAAAAGGTCTTTGTATGTTCACTTGTTAGAAAACAAAAAACACAACACAGAAGTGCGTGTTTATGTTGAATTTAAACAGTGAAATTTGCTGCAGCTTAACAACTCCACTTCAGTTTTTATCGGTGCACAATTACCGCAGAGGCACCACCAGCTCACCCCAACTCAAGCTGGCTCTTCTTGCCCTCTCTCCTCTCCTGGTGTTGCTTCACCCTGCGCTGCAGCGACCTCTTGCTTCTCTGCTCATAATTCCTTCGCGCTTTATTATGGCTCTTATAAGTACTCCCTAATGTTGCTTTCTGCAAATGTTCTTCCAACGTGGGTTCTCACCAGTTGATCTCGGATGTGATATTTTGATTCTGGCGCTGCTCCTCTCTTCAGAGGACTCTGTTGGCAGGCGGCGAGAAAATATGGAAGTACATGTTGTAATTTTGAGTTTTGCTGGTGAATGAGCAGAGAGCTTTCCTTGCTGTTAACACTGAGGGAAGGGAAACATTGTTTATTAACAGATAATATCAGTCTGATACGCAGCTGGTTGAGAATTGCCAAATATACCCTCTAAATAATAAGATCCTGGTCAGTACATAAAAAACATTATGATGTCATTCATTCCTTTTTCTCTTGTGAATAAGGACATAATTAGAAGACACTCTATTTCCAGTAGTTGAGATGATAAGACAGCTGTTGCTACTTTTATAAGCATCATTTTAGTTTGTCTTTCGTTCTAATGACATAAATTCCACGTTTATTGTAGAGCCCGACCGATTAATCATCCAGCCAATAATATTGGCCGATATTAGCAGATCAAGTAACTATTGGTACCTGCTAATTTTATTACAGATATGCGCCAATATTACTCGATTTATACCCCAGTCAAATAGCATTTAATTTGAGTATTGTTGAATTACACATGCCCAACATGCACAGTAACTTTACAGTTCAGTGACCATCTTGTCTTCATTATACATCTTTGCCATAATAACTGAATTTGATAGATCGTCCATATCTATCTATCTTTACAGATCTAAGAAAGATATTGGCCGATATATCAAATTTTTTCTCATCCTAACATGGAAATCGGCATCAGCCCCAAAAATCTCGTATCGGTCCTGCCCTACTTTCTGTGCCTAAGAGGCCTCAAAAGAAGCCTTTGACCCATTCCACGGCTTATTGAGCTAATTCGGTCAATGTCAAATATATCTAACGGCCTCTCAATGACTTTAATAATCCCATCAGTTCATCATTTTCTCTTCATTAAGTGTTGCTCTTTAATGAGCAGTCGTAATGTTCAATCTTTCCTTTGGATCCTTATTTTTTTAGATTCATAGATGAGCTGTGTAATTTCCACTCATTAAACTTTGAATCCCTTTAAAGACAGTTTGAGTCTGAATAATGATGTCAAATAAATGTGAATCATTGTCAGGCGTTAACGTTTGTGTGCATGCTTGTGTGTGTGGGTGGGTGGGGGTGGGGGGTGGGGGTTATGAGGCCCAGCTGAGTATTTCATCAAGCAATCTATTATCTTCTACACTTTGCTGTAGAATTGAAATGCAGTTTCTCTCATTAGGCTGTTTGAATTGCCAACAAGGCCTGTGCTGATGGCAGCTGATGGGCCTCATTCATCAACACACTCCTTTTGTTGCTTGTTAATGTATGCAGCATTACCAAAAACATTATTCCGTATTTTATGATCCTGCAGGCACGGGGGACTCATTTTTTACTCTAAATTCAGCTAAATATCAAATTGAACTTCAAGCTATTTTGTACCTTGGATGTACATTTCACAAAGGTCACACTCTCACTTTCATCTTCTTCTCTTTCGAAATAGAGGACCATTTAGCCGGTGGAAATCTATTTGATGGATTTACAATGAATGACACAGTACTTTCATGTCATTCTGAATGAACATGTAATTATCTTTAACGCCGTCCTTCCTCCACTGAAGATGAAAGTGGGTCCATAACTTGATGACACTGCATTAGCAAACCCGATGTCCAGTATGAAAGAGTTACATGAATGCACATCATTCTGTACGGATTATGCAAACAAGCTCATCCAATTTAATGTGTCATATGTTTTTAATAGCTTGGTTTTTATGCTGTATTCCCTGTCCCTGTCATTTTTACTGCTGCAGGGAGAGGGAAATCACTGTTAAATATGAATGACACGCTTCTTTGGCAGAAATATGTAAAATGATGGTCATAAGTATATTTACAAGTTTCAGATGATCGCAGCAGTCTTAGATTCTGTTTGCATTTGAGAGCTTTATCAACTCAGACTGTTCAGAAGTACCAGTACTTAGAATATAAAAGTCATCATGCAGTATAAAGCTTAGCATTTACCACTTTTTTAATATATATGTTGAAACGTGTTCCAGACATACAGTGTAGTTAAGATGCAGTCAACAGTCTTTTTCTCTTTTCTTCTTAAACATTCAGAAGCCCAATATCACTTCGACCTGTAAACAACCCTCCCAGTTCAACCCCTAGACCAGTGGTTCTCAACTGGTAGGTCGGGACCCAAAAGTGGGTCGCTGAGCCTTTTTTAGTGGGTGAGGATTCTGTCTCTGAAAACAAAACGTGTCAAAAAGACTCTGAAGCGCTTTTTAAACTTGTTTGTTTTATTCAGTTTCTTGCCTCTGTCACATGTTTTGTATCGTCTAAGGTCCAAACTGCACAGTCATCTGACTGGTTGAAATATATCAGACATTTGGGTCATGATTTCTCATGGAGGAGTTGGTGGTGGGTCCTTATGCTAGAGGAGTTGAGAACCTAACCCAAAACAATGAGAATTAAAAGCTCAAAAATAGAAAACACAAAATACTGAGAAGTGACATGACAACGAAACAAATGAAAACAAATAAAAAAATAGAAAGAATGAGCGTGGTGATGAGCATACAGCACAGTAAGACAAACAAAACAATATCAACTGTGAGAGAGACGATGCCACACTCCCACACATCGCTAGACCGGAGCCACAAGAGGACAGCTGCTCACATGCAGGCAGAGTAAGATCCCACGCAGAAGACGGGTTAGAGCCTGTGAACCTAGAGCTGGGTATCCGTGTACCCGGTTTCTAGGGGGCTGACTGCATATCAGGCAGACCGGTACTGAGGGAAGAGGATCAGTGTTAGAAGGCCGAGGCTGTAACGTTATAAACACACCTCTCCAGGTGGGAGTTTTTCAAAATAATTAAGCAATGGCCTCCAGTGAGTATAGACTGTTTAACTCTGCTGTTTTCATCTTCTGCAGGACTGACAGGTCTCATTTATGGACCCATTAAAATCTCTTGTGTATTTAAATCACTTCTTTCAATATAAAAAATGTAGCAGTTATTAAAGTGTGATACTGAGCTTGTGCTTTGGTTTGATGGGCAAAAAAATAGACATGGTGCAAAATAAGAAGCTGTTAGAAAAACACTGACTAACCTTTGAAGTGAATTGATTGGCTTTAAATTATAAACATAAACACACAAAGCAGAGAAACTCCCACCACCACCATCAATGGAAATGATTTGTGTGCCTTAAGACTCAGAAATATTTATATAAAAAATAAATATAAAGTAAGTAACACATTTTCATGCACCACACGCATGCTGTCTTTGAAAATACCGTGATGAGAATACTGGGTTCACTGTATGTGAAAATATGGATATAGAAGAAGGAGGATTATAATAATTGATTTTTGCAGACAGCGTTCACACCAGAATGTTTGTTGTTGTGACTCACAAGTCGGCTGGAATAAAAATGAAATCAGCTTTTGTTAATAACCAAATTAAAGGTCAAACATATTTCATGTGATCACTGCTGTTTAGGGCAATAAAACATCACCTACCTTCAGTCAGTGAACTTGAAGATAAAGCTGAATCACCTTTTCTTGTGTCCCGAGTCTTGATGCAAGCTGCAATAAAACTTTAAATTCCCCTCTAAAGAACCAGAAAATAGCTTATAGTCGCTGTCTAAAGAAATAAAGAGAGAGAAAAAGAGCATTACAAAGAGCTTTTTTTTTTTTACTTGATAGGGTTGATAAGTTTTGTCTGCACCATTGCACACAACACTCACTCACCACCACCCTCACACTCGCTCTTCCATCCATCGAGACTTGTGCATTTTGTACTTTAAAATGTGCTGTGAAATAGTTGAGTGCAAGAACCGGCTGTAATTGAGTTCTCAGTCCCCAACGTTTCTCTTCACTCGTTTACCTTCTTTAATCTCCTTTCTTCCATCTGATCACACTCTCCCTGGTGGGCAGTTCCACCTCCATCACTCTGACACTGTGAGATTACACTGTTCGAGTCTTTGAGAGCAGACGGGCTGCATTCATTTATAACCATAAAGAACCTGTATTTAACTAACTTATAGTGGAGGCACACTCATTGTGTTCAATCAGTCAATAAATCCCACTTTATTTATACCTGGAAGATCACTGAGAAGCAGCCCTCATTAATAAGGATATTGAGTCAAGTAAAAAGCAATTAACAGAGTGTTACAGGAACAGGAAGACAGGGAAAAGGGGAATTAATTACATACAATTGACGCGCAGTTTGAGACAATTAAAAATAATTAAAAACATGTGTAAGAAAAAAATTTTTTTTTAAAACATGTAAAATAATTACAATTAGAAGTTTGAAATTAGATCTGTAAAATGTCCAAAAGGTAAAATTACAGGATTTAGAGAGATGCATGTTTTTCCAGAAATAAGGCCCATAATAATAATAATAAAAAAAGCAGTCTTTCAAAAGCTGTGGTCTTTCCAAGACTACCATTAAATAGAAATGTAAACATGTTTTGTTTGGATGTTTTTCTGTATTTGCAGACATATATATATATATATATATATATATATATATAAATATAAGTTCTTTTTTGGGCCTATTTGCCTTTTTTTTAAGATAGGTTGTGTTGGGAGGAAAGATGGGGGAATGACATTCAGCAAAGGGCAGAGGTCGGATTCAAACCCACGGCTGCTGCGACGAGGAAGACAGCCTCTGAACATGGGGCGCGCGACATAACCGCTGGACTATCAGCGCTCCCAAAATATAAATTTTCTAAGCAGCTCTGACACTCCAAATGCACCAGTAAAATCGTTAAAAATGTGATGCCTAGTGTTCTAAAAGTTTCCTGTATACTTTTCTTTTGTCCCTTCTAGGTGCGGATTGAGACAGCTACGACCCTGAAGCTCAATATCCTACATGTGGTTTCATATCATACATATAGTCATACATCGATCATGCTATTCTTGTACCAAGCAATGTAGCTCTCACTTGCATCCAATCCTACACAGGCATTATGATTAGTTTACTTACGCCAAGGCAATTGCATAATGAATTGTTGTGTGCTAATGGACTGATTGCAAACCATCCTTAACCTGTGACCACCTGTTGATGACTTTGAGTTCAGGACAGAGCAGTTTCTCCCAGTGAGTATAACTAATGTGATAATAATGACTCTATCCATTAATAAGTGATTTTTTTCTATTCCTAATTGCTCTCCTTTCTCTTTAGTATCTGGAGTCCATCTTCGGGCTGCTCTTCCAGTTGTTGCAGCAGGTGACGCAGTGCGACACTAAAATGCAGGTGCTCCATGTCATCTCCTGTGTCATCGAGAGAGTAAACATCCAGGTGAGATACGAGATAGGGTGGGGGAAAAACTGAATGTAGATCACTTTATATATACTGCTATCGAATCTCCTGGGTCCTAACGTAACGCTGTATCTCAAGTCGAGTCACGTTTAAATCAAATCACTGGTGCACAAACATACATCCATTGGCACTTTTTTTAAATAAAATTGAACTGCCAGCCAACAAGCACATCAGCATTGTGAATCAAATTACACCAAAACGCAGCACCTTCGACTGTCTACGGGTTGAAAAAACTGTCGTCTCGAGCTGCTGCCGCTGATGAAATCCAGATTGGAATCTGCATGAGGGGAAAATTTAGAAACTTGAATAAATATATTTTGGAGGAGACCTTTTTGTGTTTGTTTTTCCTAGCAATATAAAATAGATATGCCGGTTGAAAATGTATTGTCGTCTCATCTTTCAACCAAATAGCATAAAGAAACCGATAGGGGTGTCATTATAGACTTAATGAGTCTTAACCATGGTGTCGGTATCCCCATCCCTAAACTTAACCAGTATCAGTTTACTCTGTACAGTACGATTGAGTCCAACTGGAATGTCTTTGTAGGAGCCCATGTGTGATACATCTTTGGGAGATATTGTCCTGCCATTTCAATAATTGTACTAAACGAGAATCACCTCTCCTTGGGCTCTGCAGGGGAAATGTGAAGTTTTCAAAACATTTTTACACAGATACAAAACATGTGTCTCCCTGTACTAGCCCCAGAACACTTAAAATAAAACACCCTAAAGATTGCTAGAAATGCATGTTTTCACAGTTCACACCCTTGGACACAAAAGCAGAGACTCTCAGTCCAAGACTCTTAGTAAATCACACGGCCCGAGGCTGCCCTTGTTCTGATGTCTGCTCTCATTTACCACAATGATAAAAGTCTCCCTCTGCCTCTACAGCTCTTTTGTCGCCATATGGATTTAATTTTTTTTCTGAGCATCCAAGAAGTCGTTCTAATCCACTTAACTGTCAACCCTTTCAAAATTGACCTTCTTCTCGACCCCATAGGCTCTTTACAGATCTGTTTTAAGCACTTTCTTTTAAACGATCCCGTGACTTAAATCTGTCACAGAAAAGGCTTTCATCCTCACAATCTGTCATTCTGGTTAAGTCCTTCCTCTTTCACTCACCCTGGCTAAACTTTTATAGTCAGTGGAAGTCCTATTAATATTCTTACCCATCACACAAGGGATTTTTGAACCCACAAAGAGTGGCAGCAGCTGAGAGAACTCCTCAATGAGGCCCTGAGTGCAGCTTGAGTTGAAACGAACGTGATGACAGATGATGAGATTTAACTCGTTTTTCTGCTTGCGCTCTCTCAAATGTCACTCGAGGCTGGTTTGTGGATCTGTATTTCACTCCTATTTTTCTCGTCAAGGCTTTTTATCTTGTTCCTTTTGCACCTTACCATCTCCTTGATAAAGATGTAATCGTGCAAAAAATCCCAGCGTGGGGTCTGCAGCCTAGCCACACAGCCTCTATAGGGAAAACATGGTGGAGGACAAGACGGCACAAGAAAACTTTGAGAAAGCCGTTATTCAATGCCATTTTTGGATGTTTTAGAGTTGTTTGGCTGCACAACAACTGCACCTGAATTACAAAGTGTGCCATCACAGTTTTCAATTTCACACAGGGATGGAAGTGATTGCATCCAATTGATATCAAAACAAATGAATTTAGTCTTAATGTGTTCCTAACGACTATTTTCCTGCTAAACAGAAATTTAATTTCAGTCCAATCAGCTCGTCTAAAAGCTGAACGCTTTCCAAAATCATATTCCTTGTAGCGTTTTAAATTTATATCTGAAACAGTTCATCATATTCTTCAAACTACAAGCAACACTTTGAGACATCCTGCAGGTAAACAATGTCAAATTGGCTTGTGTGTGGCTAATGTTAGCATGGCTAGCACCACCAGCTTTCGGTCACTGTGCCCAATGTTGGTAACGCATCGCTGTCATCGAGTTGTTTTTTTTTCCAGTTTAACGAGATGACAGCCGACCACTGTGCTGTTTTTACATCTGGGCAGTAGACAGGGAAGAGCAGGACCACTAACCAGAGCTACAGCCCCATCTAGTGGCCGGTGGCTGTCTTACAGCTTGGACACAACATTTAACCTGAAAATGCTGCTCAACGTCAATTAAAATATTATCATATCGTTAAGCCAACTTGTAATTCTGATGCCGACCAATGTAGGGGATGACGTGTAAGCGTTCAAGTATCCCACAAACATAGTTAAAAAGGTCAATTTAAGAAGTTAAGATAACGTTTAATTTGAGAATAGTCAATAATTCAACCCCATGTTATGACTGTATAATAGATCATTTTAAGAGGCATGAAGCTTGTTTTTTTAATTTATTGTATAGTTTCCTTATCTTCACTGTTTTTACAACTCTAAGAGAAATATCAGAAACTCTGAGTAGATCGTCGTGGCAACCGCAGTCATTTCAGGTTGTAAGAGTTAGTCAGCAACTTAATCATCAATTGACAGTGTTGATCAGTATGATATAACAGGCGGATGTTTGAGGCTATTATATCTTCAAAATTACAATCTGAAGAATAAGAACATCATTACGCGAGCTGACAAAGGAGCTGAGCTCGTGTCTGTTGCTTCTGTAGCTGCAAGCCAGCTACCATCACTCCCGTCATGTGTCAGCCAAATGGACTTCCTTTAGCACCCTTATGGATTGTAGAGTTGACACCTGAATGGGTAACCTTGGTGGAATTTTGATTTTCACTGTCTCACACGGAAAGAATGTGTCTGTATTTTTAATCACCTGTCCGACTATTTCTTTCAAAGGTATCTCACTGAAAGGTGAATCACAATGTTCTTATCCTGCTTTAGATCCGTCCGTATGTCGGCTGTCTGGTTCAGTACCTGCCGCTGCTCTGGAAGCAGTCTGAAGAACACAACATGCTTCGCTGTGCCATACTCACTACACTCATCCACCTGGTACAGGTAAGGAGCAGCACTAAAGTGTAATCTTTGTGTCAGAACAGTTTAAATGCATTTATTTTGCTTGTCTTTTTCCTCTCCTCACATTCATAAATGTATCAAGCTGTAGTGATGTAGTAGTGAGGAGAAGATGTGTGGTCATGGCCACACCAACACCTGTACAATATGTGGTTTAAATAATCAATCATTATTTGTATAGTGCCAGTTCATAACAAGTGTGATCTCTAGATGCTTTACAAAAAAAAGCATATGGGACAATATGCAGGCAGGATTTCTACTTTGTAATCCTCGTGTTCCTGGAGTCCGATGATGGAGGCTGTGTGTCGGGCGGTGGTTGAGGGACGACACAGTCCGATGGTGGAGGCTGGGCGTCAGGGAAGTCGGGTGGTAGTAGTGCCAGATCACCTGGCTGAAGGTTGGGGGAGCTCCGTCTACTTTAGATCCTGGCTTCTGTTGCCGGGACAAGGCCTCCTGGGCTTCTGGGCTTAATGAAATATACAAATGTTGAATCGCAATTAACTTAAGTTAACACCAGTTGCTTGGACAGAAATGCAAATGAAATTTAAATTAGTGGTTGTAAGAAAAAGGCAGATTAATCTTTTTAAAGTTTTTTCTAATCATCTGAGAAGGACGCTTCCTTCGACTAGACTTCACAACAGCCCCGTTGACCAGCTTGATCCAAGGCGTCTGTCTGTCGGATAGAAATGTGTCGTCTGAATCAAACTCCACAGAGCAAATCTGGCTGGCTCTCATTTGTTTTGCTCTGTTTTTTTTTATCTCCAATGATCACAGAAAACAAGCCCCTTAACAAACTGTTAAGAGTGAGTAAGGTTAGATTTAACGTATGGTTCTTTTAGTGAGATAGCTCCTTACATTTAAAGTTTTGTTTGTCCATAATTGTGATCAGAACTGCTGGGACTTGCTGTGCTTAGGTTTTACAGATGGAGTCACTCTGCAAAGGCCTATTTCCCTTATCTGATTGATGTAAATAGGCCGACTCTGTTTTGAAAACAGCCATAAAATGAAACTCCCTTAACACCTCTTACACCTTCAGGCGTGTCATTTGTAGTGGAACATTGGCCCTTTGAGTACAAGAGGCCAATATTTATGACACCTTCTCTATATTAAAAGCTGTCACCCACCACTGATCTCGTCCCCCATTTTAACATCGTGATTTAAAAGTCGCCGTCCGTTTTTGCGAGTATGGGGACAGATGATTAAGAGCAGTGGTGTATTGAACTTTTTCTGCAAGTCTAGCAATCTCCTCTCCGCTCGTATGGTCTGAGATAAACACCCATTCAACTAAAGCACGTTAACAACAGGTTGTTTTTTTTCAAGCTCCCTCCGTCTGCATTTTGTTTTCCCTAATTTGGCGACACCTCTCTGTATCTGTGTGTTCTCACAGGGCCTGGGGGCAGAGAGTAAGAACCTGTACCCTTTCCTTCTTCCTGTCATCCAGCTGAGTACTGATGTATCCCAGCCGCCGCACGTGTATTTGCTGGAGGATGGATTGGAGCTTTGGTAAGCACACACACAATGTTTCACGTCGTCATGCATACACACAACATACTGATTTTTTATTTAAAACTCTGAGGTAGACGTTTGTGGAGCACTTACTAATCTCATTTCCTGTCTTGCATTTCAGATCACTCACATACTATAACTACAGCTTTCTTTATCCTCCCGTCTTCCAGCCTTTTCTCTGTTGTTGATTGTGTTTTTTATAAAGTAACATTAGTAGTCAGCCGTATATACCGACTAACACTGAGCCCTTATTTTGGAAGCAAATGCAAACACTTAGCAGTTAAGTGGAGGAGAATGGACGCAGTGTGACACACCGCCGCTATGTGGCCAGTGATGCTAATTATAATTTATCTCTCTCAAAGTTTCCTTTTATGTTGTTGTTTTGACACATGCCATTTCTAAAGCTAATTTCCCAAGCATCTGTTGTGAAACCCTCACTCGCTACACTCACTTTATCAAACGCATTACATCGGCAAAAGGTTTGATTTGAGGAGAATTTGCTGGGTAACCTTTTGTGCCTCTCCCATCATCTCTTTGCTTATTGACTCTAATCTCCATCGCTGTGTTTTTTTTTTTTCCTGGCCTGAGAGAGCTGTGGTTTCAGCAGGCCCTGTGTGTGTGTGTGTGTGTGTGTGTGTGTGTGTGTGTGCTTGTAGAGCAAAACAACAGTCTCATGTCTCCGTCCTTTCTCTTCCTCTTGTCTGATAAATAGCCGTGCCCTAAATGTTTGCTTCTTTACAAAGTGAATTACTCTTTCTCTTGCTGTTTATCTTCTTTTTATCAGCTCTTCCTCTCTCCATATCCATCTCCGTCCGTCTTGTTTATTTCTAGAAGGTCAGGAGTGTGCATCAAATTAGTCTCGAATGTCGCATCTCCTTGAGTTTTTTCGCCAACCTATGTCTGGGTTATTTTTATTCAACAAGCCCTGAATGAAGCATCAAAGATTTTTCTAGGCTACAGACAAACACTTCAACATATTTTATGAAACACATTACTTTGACACTACACTGTCATTTGTGCAGAAATCCTAGACTGTAGAAAAAAAGATTAGAATCGACATGTGATTCTAATCACAATGGTGACTTCACACCATTGTTTGTGGAATGTAGTTTTTGGAATGAAGTCCCTCGCCGTCTTGGTCTTTTGGCTCATGAAGTGGGCATATTGACTAAGGGTGGAGCTGGAAGTAACAAGTGGATGAATAATGCTCAGTTTACAGAGGTATCCATTTAAGGAATAGCATTTTTCACATTTTGTCATCTACTTTGACCACGTTGAACCCCCTCACCCCCTTTTTTTCTTTTAATACAGTTTATGCCCAAAGCTAATTTCATTAGCTGGCTTATATTATGAAACCAAAGAGTTTCCGAGTGTTTTCCTGCTGGGCTAAAAAAGCTAACACAGCTCGATGAACATAGCACTTCTTATACAATTGCCATAATCAAACTTTTTTTGGTTCCAAGCTGTAAAGATGTTTTATTCTCCTGGAAATAGAAGCAATTGAAAGCTCCTGTGACGAACTGGTTGAGAATATATGCATTAGGAATAATAAACAATGGCAGCTAACCTGAAACACACCCATCAGCAGTGGTTTCAGACCTTAAAATAAACTATATATATAATAGCGTATCTTTCTTCTAATGGTCTTGTTTGCTTTTCTTGGTCATATAGTCGCATAAATATCAATTCTATTCTGTTGACAACCTGCTTAAAACTCCTCACAGGAGGGGCGCTGGTGGCGCAGTGGTTAGTGCGCGCGCACCATGTGTGGAGGCTGTAGTCTTCCAAGCGGGTAGTCTTTTCTGCCTGGCAGAGGTCAGAACCCATCTATAGGTATTCTGTCCATTCTGCCCAGTGTTGTTCAATGGTCTGTGCTTCAGTCCTTAGATAATGAATCAGTCTCTCTATGTAATACATTTCTTCTACTTTGTCCAACAATGTGGTGAGAGACCTTTGAGAATCACTTTTCAACCTGTTTTCTTTTGATGGCCTTTTAACAAGCAAGTGTCAGGACATTGACGGGGTGGAAGTCCTTCTTTAGAGCTATGTCACTGAGAATCAGGCCCAGGTACACAATCACTAAAGGGGTGTGGGAGTCTTCTCACTTTTGGCCAGCCTCAAATGGTGATTCAAAGTTTTTGGCTTCCTTTTTTTAAGTCCCAGAGTTTGCTTCTTTCAGAGATGGGGAGAAAAGTCTGGTGAATTCAAGTCTGGTCATTAACTTATTTGAACTTTTTTCCCCATTAGTCAGTCAATGTCTGGCATATTTTTTAATTTGCAATGAACATCTGAGCTATTCTGTATTTTGTTTGTTATGTATGTTTAAAAATGTAGATATTTGTCGCCAGTTTACTTTAAGATAAATGAATCCATATTCAGATTTATACCACAGCTAATCTTACAGGATACTCTTTGCTCTGAGAAAACCACTCACACTTGTTTTCCCCTTCCACCTCCTCCTTCCTGTTTGTTTTTTACTCCCACTTCCCCATGTATTATTTTTCTACCTTTGCATTACTCGTGCTCTTTTCTTCTTCCTGTCTGTTATTTCTTTCCAACCCATTTTTCTTTTGCCTCCTCTAATACATGTCTTCCGTTCTCCAAACCCCTCACATTTTCTGTGTGATGCTCTCCTCTGCAACCCCTCTCTCTTCTTCCATCTCTTTAACTTTTCTCTTCTGCCTGCTCTCCTTCCCTCCTTCCCTCCTTCCCTCCTTCCCTCCCTCTTGTCATGCAGGTTGGTGACTTTAGAGAACAGCCCAGCCATCACCCCGGAGCTGCTTAGAATTTTCCAGAACATGTCAGCTTTGTTAGGTAAGCTCACACCAGATTCTTTTGTTTGCTTATCTATCCAGCTGTGTGTGTGTGTGTGATTGTCCGCGTGTGCAAGTGTGAGCATGTGTGCTTGTGTGTTTGTGCGAATAAATTTGGATTTGTTTTCATTCCCCTCTGCTACCGTCATGGTGTTTGCATTACCATATAAATTGAATTAATGGTAAAGGGAATGATATTGCTGTAACATCAAAAACATTATTACATTTTACATTATTATTATGATGACGCATTGTGGATGGTACTATGCCTCAAGCCCAATTCACACATGCTCCGTGCGCGCCGCGGTCCGTCAGCGCCGTGCACTACGTTGTACTTAGCTGCCACTCTAGTCAGTCATTGCGCACGCTGCGGTCCGTCTCCGGCGCGTGCCACCGACGGCCCTACGCTCTGCTCCGTTTCAAATACGCAGCGAGTCTATTTTCGCCGGAGTGCGCTGCAGGCACACGCGTCAAGCTGGACAGAGTATGACAGCCCGGACAGGAAGTCAGACAAGGAAACGCACAGAGCATCCGGTCAATTTCAAAATAAAACACAAATACGGACTCGCGATCTGTTTTTCATCACTTTATCAACATTACGTCAAAACAGGCTCTGAATTAACAACAATGCGTCCTCAGGAAGACAAAGCAACATGTTGTTTGCATGTTTTTCTCTTAATTCCCGCGGGATCTTGTAGTTCTCCTGTGATGTCTCATGGGTGTGCTCCGCTGCGCTGACGTCCAGTGTGAATGGGCGCGAGCCGAACGACGGAGCAAAACCGTGGCGCGCATGGAGTATGTGTGAATTGGGTGTCAGGTTAAACTATGGGTTCTCTGTTTGTGATAGGAACGTGGGTTTGGGTGTGTGTGCTTCAGAATACAGCCACACACAAAAAAAATCACATCAAAGGAAAAAAGAACAAAATCTGATTATGTAATCGGATGCTTTTAAATCGCAGAGACACTGAGAGAATGAGGAACTAAAGTTGATGCAATCCAAGGACATGAACTTAAATTTCCGAGCTTTTATCACTGAAGGCTCTTGCAGCTTGTAAAGATCACAATTATGGCTTTGCAGTAGCCTCGAGGCACCAGGGCCAACACACTGTGTCTCCAGGCAGCTGTGAGCGGTGTCACGTTGAATGGAACTGGCTGGATGATTTATCACAGGCCTGGAGCACTGGGACACCTCAGTGGCTGCACTGTGTAGAAATGTGTGCGTGTGTGTGTGGGTGCCTTCACTGTGATGAGGAACAGTATTGATTTGGTGCTTCTGATCATAACGAGGGGAGTCAGACTAATATGAGCACCCAGTCGGGTTGGTTTACTGGGGTATTTGATCACTTTAAGTACAGATTGGGAGTCCGAGAGGCACAGACCAAAGGACTGACAAAGATCATTTTTGGATGAGATTGTGGGGGGAGGACTTAATGAAGATAAAGAAAGAGCGATGAACACTGACACACAGGTGGTTTATGAATGAATTATTTCAGTAAGTGATGGTAGGAAAAATAAAAGAAGAGGTCGTGACATGAAAAGCGAGGTTAAACATGGGAGTTGTGCTCTAAAGGAACTGGCTCATGGATGGATAGCAAGACAACAGAGGCTTTTTAAAAAAAAAAATCAAACCTAGTGCTGAACAGAGACGTTAAACGGAGTCGATAAACAAAGGAAACAGAGTAATTCTTTTTCTTTTTACAAAGCAGCACAGCACAACCATTCATGTTTAATTCCAGACAACACAGACGATTACACAGAGGCAGTTGGAACATGATGAAAAGTATAACTGCAGCCAAGAGGCTTTTTCACAAAGGCATATAAAATCCCCAAAAAAAAAATCCCCAAAAAAAAAAAAAAAAAAAAGAAAATGTCTGCTTTTCATATTTAGTGTAGCAATTCTGAAATGTTTTATACAGCATTCATCTGCTTTTATGTGAAAGCAAATGAACCGAGTAAAAAAGAGAAACAAAATAAAAGTTGACTTAGAACTCTCTGGGTTGGGATATACTGACACAGCAGTGTGTAGTCGCCCTGACTCATTTAATGAAATGATTGAATCGCTTGTGCCAAATATCAGTATGCAGCACTCTCTTACAGATTTCCTCATCACCACTTCATGACTCCTCACGTTGGTGCTTATGACATTGAGGAGGGTAACGGGAACAGAAGTTAATCAGCCGAAGAAAAAGTTGACAGGCTAAAAGAGGAAATCAGGGGAGTGAATTGCCTAGTGGTTAGTCCGTGTGCTCCATGTACAAAGGCTGTAGTCATAGAAGCAGGCGGCCCAGTTCAAATAGGACCTGTTGATTCCCCAGTCAGGGCGGCTGTGGCTCAGTGGTAGAGTCGGTCACTCTCAACCTGAAGGTCAGGGCTTCGATTCCCCATCTCCTGCAGCAATATGTTTGATGTGTCCTTGGGCAAGACACTTAAGCTCCCACTGCTCTATCAACGTTGTATGAACGGATTAGTTAATACTGATGGACGCTTGACATACCAGCCATCAGTGTGTGAATGGCTAGGTGTGACCTGCGGCGTTAAAGCGCTCTGAGGAGTCAGAAGATTTAAAAATTGCTATACAAGCTCAAGTACATTTACCATGTAATCTCTCTCCCCAATTTCCCACCATACCCTTACATTAATCCTACACTTTACACTTTCAGGGGCATTTTCTATTCTTCAGCTAAACAGATATCGAGACATATCATAATACAGTATGATTGTCTCTCTATATATCAATTATCACAGAATTGCTGTGTCGTGATATTATCATTATCAGTGGCCATGTATCACGTACTGTATTTAGTTGTATTGTTTCATATAGGAGAACACGTTATTGAACATGATACACACAGCATAGGCCAGGAATCAGACACACATGCACAAACAGAATCCTATGTACTAATGGAGAGATGTCAGAGTGAGGGGGAAACATGCAAACAAGCACCTGGGGCCATTTGGGGTTTGTTGCTAAAGGGCCCCTGGGAAGTGCCCCGGAAGTGGACTGGTTACCTCTCCAGCAACCAGTCCCAATATCCAGACTTTGGACATGAATGGACAATACTCGTGTTCCCTACCTCCTGTCATACTATAGCATATGGTGAGTAACCCTGTGATTCTCACCCCTACCAATACCACAAACGACATGTTTTGCACACTCATAGTCTAGCAGCAGTAATGAGGGTATGTCAGTCTGCATTGCCTCACTTTGACTGATGAACTGTCACGTAATTAGTGCTCACTGATCAGCTGCCACGTTACAGGTATAAGAAGCTTTAATGATTGATTGAAGGAGGGCAGAGTTTATTTAAAAATGGAAATAAGGTGTATGATTAAAGAACCGGAAATGAAGGGTCTGATGAAGGCAAATAAAAGACTGCAGCACATGTTCACCGTCAGATAAGATGATGTAGGGTAGGAGACTGACAGATGGAGGTAAAGGCACAGAAGGATGTATAGGTGTATGCAAATGAGAAGACAACTTTGATAGATACTATGTTCATGAGCTTGTAGGTTTATACCTACAGATATGCACTCATTATCATGTATAATTTATCTTAAATCTCACTCATTATTCTGAATGATTCATCGATGACCTCATTGACGTAAGATACTGACATGGGATTGAATTAGATCCAAAACATTTATTGATATGAGGACTACTTGTTTAAGTTATTTTGCAAGCAGAAATGTCACATATGACAGTTCCACATACTGACTGGGCAGGACTGGCTGTTTCTTGGCCTCTAAGACGTTGTATATTTTTGAGTTTCTTTCTGTTTTTTGAACAAAATAAGACATTGAATCCTTTGTTTTTCAGAATGTTTTCAACAGGTTAGCAAAGCATTTTGACTGTTTTCTGATGGTAGGCAAAACCATTGAATATATTCTCCAAAAAACAGACCGAGTTTTGGATAATGGATCATTACCAACCATGATTTTGTACTTGTTTTATGTCTTAAAAGTATGCAGCAGACTTTGAGTTTGACTATGAATAACTAACGATACACAATACATGGCCCACTGTAACGGTAATATCACAATACAGTTATTCTGTGATCATTTATATATTGAAAAAAATCATAAAGGGAAACATCACGATATCTGATCATCCTAAGCATACAAAATGCTCCTCCACCTCCAAGGACAGTAGCGGTCCTCAGTCTCCTGGCTTATTTTTGGGGTCGCGGGCTGAAAAGTTTTGGAACCCCTTGTCTAGACAACACAGACCAAACGAAAGTTCCTCGTACATGATACCCTGTTGAGCTTATTGTCCATCTTGGTCCACATGACATCATACAAAACGGCCAATTTTAACCAGATTTTTACCACAACCATTTTTGTGTTTTCTTTAGATACCATTTCAAGTCACATTTCCCTTTTTCAATGCTTGGTTCAGTGAATATGAGTGCTTTTTCCTTCTTTGTCAGTGACAAACACATTAAAGCAAAGGAAAGGAAAAAGCTTTTATACTTCTCAGGTTGCCGTCAAACACCGTTCCATTAGTAAAGTTAAAAACAGAAAATCACAGGCAAACACATGATGGAGGTATGTTTTCCCTTTCAGCTGCTTTGTACATCCATGAAAAAAATGTCGTCATAACATGTTAGAGTGCGTGAACATCTTACACATGCTCTGATGAGGCACTCGCACTTATCTGTCATATTTCTTTCACATTTCCTTTGCCATGTCATCTTACACGTTAATGTTCCCCTGAGTCTTAAAAGCGATTCTAGCTCCATGATGTGCTTTAATGTGCAGTGGTTGTCGGCACATCATTAACTACATGACTGATACAAGATGTACAAAAAGTTAGAAACAGTCTCGCTACAGGCTCCATTAAGAAGCTGTACATAAGCTCTCAGTCATGTCACATGATAACATCTTGAACAGATGGAGTTCAGTGTTTCCCGCAGGGTTTGAAATTAAATGAAGCAAGGCACAAACATGCAAGCAACAGTAATGACTAACTCTTTGCTTTGCAAACAACCAAGTGTTAAGAAA